ATTTAAGTTCTATTATTAAGATACAGACAGACTGGAGTGATAGAAAGATAGTTCAGGCAGATAATAATTATTAATAAAAGCTCCAGATAACTGGCTGCTGGTCAGACTAGATACAGAATAATAAATAAAATATAACTCAAGACTATAAATAAGATTCCAAACTTTTGAAGATAGATAGATTTTGACTTTATAAAAAATTATATACTCAGTAGTCAGTTCTGGCAGTATTCTAAGATTTTACTAGAAAAATCTACAAAAGATTTTTACAGAGTCATTCTGACATTATATTATAATATTTATTTAAAGAATTATTATAAATTAAAAAAAGACTATATTTAAGACTCTACTTAAGATTCTATCTAGAGTGGCTTAACCTGACTGTTATATCTTAACCTTAATCTGGCCATAATTTGATGATTAGATTAAGATATAAAAATTTTTTAATTATATAGTTAAAATTAGATTAAGATATAATTATTATTTTAACTATTTATATCTATTAATTAGAAAGATTAGAGTGGCTTAATCTGACTGTTATATCTTAATCTTAACCTGGCCATAACCTGATGATTAGATTAAGATATAAAAAAATTTTAATTATATAATTAAGATTAGATTAAGATATAACTATTATTATAATTATTTATATCTACTGATTAGAAAGATTAGATATAGTAGATAGATTAATAATTATAAATTAATTTATAATATATATATTCTTTTTATATAAATAATATATAAAGTATAATATATATTTAATTATAATATAAATATAATAATATTTTTTAGATATAGTCTACTGCTTAATTTATTTAATTAATTATTTTAAGAGATATATTATACTCTAAAAAAGACTTTTATAGAATCTAATATAAAAAAAATAAAAAAAGATATTAAATATTAAATTTAAAATATAATTATTTAACTAATTAATCTGATTAATCTGATTAAATTTAATTAAAATAAAAAATATTTTCTAATCAGAACTAGTCTAATAATTTATTATAATTAATATTTATTTAATATTTAAGAACTTTAATAGCAGCTGTATATATATTTTTTAAATAATTTTATAAGATATTTTTTAATTTATATTTAATTAAAAGAACTTGATTTTTAATAAAGAAATAAAATAATAAAATTAATTATCTATTTAAATTAAATATATTTAATAATTTAGAATAATAGATAACAGATAATTATAAAATATAGAACTTAATTTTAAAAATCTTATTTATTATAGACTATAAAAATCTAAAGAAAAATAATAATTAGAAAAGATTTATCTTAAAAAAATAAATAAATATTTATAATAAATCTTTACTTAATATCTGACTAATTATTTATTTAGATATAATTAATAATAATTTTTTTTTATACTTCTTATAAAAATAATAGTTTATAAAACTAGTTTTTAAATTTTTAATTTAAAAAAATAGAAGCAGAAAACTCTATAAAAATAATTTATTTTATTTTAAAATATAATTTTATATAAATATAATTTATTATATTTTAATATATAGCTAATATATCTATTATATTTTATTTATTTTAATAAATTTAATAAGCAGGAATTTATATCTAGAATCTAAAATTATAAAATAGTTTCTTTTTTTAAATAGAGTTACTTAAAATATAATCAACTAGAATAAAAAATAGATCTTTATAAAAAATTTTATAAAAAATTTTTATAAAATCATTTATAAAAGCTATAATATTATAATATAGATTTAATATATTCTATTTATTTTATTTATTTATTTCATTTATTTTATTTATTTTATTTATTTAATTTATTTTATTTATTTAATTTATTTAATTTATTTAATTTATTTAATTTATTTAATTTATTTGATTTATTTAATTTATTTAATTTATTTAATTTATTTAATTTATTTGATTTATTTAATTTATTTAATTTATTTAATTTATTTAATTTATTTAATTTATTTAATTTATTTAATTTATTTAATTTATTTAATTTATTTAATCTATTTTATTCTAATAATTCAACTATTTTTTTAACTGCTTTATATATAATCTATAATTTATTCTTAATTTTATTAATAGTTTTTTAAGCTATATCTTATTTATAAATCTAAGAATAATCTAACTTAGAAGAAATAATAAAATAAAAATAGTATATTTATTTCTAATATTCTAATTAATAATTAATATATAGTTTTTTTAGTATTCTATAATATAATTAAAATATATAACTAAAATAAAATAATAATTTTATAAAAAACTGAATTTTATTAATATAACTAGAATTTTCTTATTATTTTTAATAAATAATAATAAAAAAGATACTAATTTCTTTTTTAATTATATTTTTTTAATCTAAAAAGTTTTTTTTTATATATTTTTAAATAATAATAAAGATAGCCAGATTAATAATTATTTAATCTAGATATATCTTAATTATACTAAAGCTTAAAAAAATATAATAGATAGATCTTAATACTAAGAATAATTAAAATAATTATTAATTAACTATCTAATTTTTAATCATATTATAATTAGATATAAAAATTTAATAATCTGATTATAATCTGGCGGTTAGATATAAAAATTCTAATTAACCTGATCTGATCTGGCTGTTAGCCACTCTAAGAAAGATTAGATATAGCAGATAGATTAATAATTATAGATTAATTTATAATATATATATTCTTCTTATATAGATAATATATAAAATATAATATATATTTAATTATAATATAATAATATTCTTTAAATATAGTCTACTACTTAATCTATTTAATTAATTATTTTAAGAAATATATTATACTCTGAAAAAGATTTTTATAAAATTTAATATAAAAAAAATAAAAAAAAATATAGAATATTAAATTTAAAATATAATTATTTAATTAATTAATCTAATTAATCTGATTAAATTTAGTTAAAATAAAAAATATTTTTTAATTAAAACTAATTTAGTAGTTTATTATAATTAATATTTATTTAATATTTAGAAATTTTAATAATAGTTATATATATATCTCTTTAGATAATTCTATAAAATATTTTTTAATTTATATTTAATTAAAAGAACTTGATTTTTAGCAGAAAGATAAAATAATAAGATTAATTATTTATTTAAATTAAATATACTTAATAATTTAAAATAATAGATAATAAATAATTATAAAGTATAAAACTTAATTCTAAAAATTTTGTTTATTATAATTTTATAATAAACAAAATTTTTAGAATTTATAAATTATAAAGATTTAGAGAAAGATAATAATTAAAAAAGATTTATTTTAAAAAATTAAATAAATATCTATAATAGCTCTTTATTTAATATCTGACTAATTATTTATTTAGATATAATTAATAATAATTTCTTCTTATAACTCTTATAGAGATAATAGCTTATAGAACTAATTTCTAAGTTTTTAATTCTTAGATATTATAAGATATAAAGATATATAATATAATAAATATAAGAGATTTTATTAAAAAATAATATATTTTTTTAAAAGCTGTTCTATATTATTAATAACTTTCTTTAATTAAAATAAAATAGCAGTTTTTAAGTTTATATATAATCTTAAAAACCAATAGTATTATAGTACAGATCTAATATATTTTATTTATTTTATTTATTTATTTAATCTGTTTAATCTGTTTTATTCTAATAATCTGATTATTTTTTCTAATTACTCTATATATAATCTGTAATCCTTTTAATTATTTATTTATTTTTAATTCTATTAATAGCTCTTTAAGCTATATTTTATTTATAAATCTAAGAATAGTCTGATTTAAAAAAAAATAATAAAATAAAAATAATATATTTATTCTTAGTATTTTAATTAATAATTAATATATAATTTTTCTAATATTTTATAATATAAGCAAAATATATAACTAAAATAAAGTAATAATTATATATTTTTTATATATATTTTTTATTATAAGAATAATAATTTTATAAAAAGCTAAATTTTATTAATATAACTAGAATGTTTTTATTATTTCTAATAAATAATAATAAAGAAGATATTAATTTTTTTTAATTATATTTTTTTAATCTAAAAAGCTTCTCTTTATATATTTTTAGATAATAATAAAAATAGTTAGATTAATAATTATTTAATTTAAATATATCTTAACTATACTAGAGCTTAAAAAGATATAGCAAATAAATCTTAATATTAAAAATAAATAAAATAATTAATTATCTAATTTTTAATTATATTATAATTAGATATAAAAATTTAATAATCTAATTATAATCTGGCGGTCAGATATAAAAATTCTAATTAACCTGACCTGACCTGGCTGTTAGCCACTCTAATTCTATCTAAGATTCTGCTTAAAATGTAAGATAATTCTATATAAAAATCTATATAAAATTATATCTATATATAATTATATATATAGATCTAAGAAGAATCTTATAAATAAGAATTTTTAAAAATAATAAAAAAAAGTAATATAGCTCTATAAAAATTAAAAAATTAGATTTTTAAAATATATAATATAGCTGCACAGAGATTAGAATTATAAATTCTGATTTTTAATTAATTATATTATATAAAGATCTAATTAAGAATCAGAAATCTTATCTGTAAAATATTCAACTTTCTGATCCTTCCGCAACTTTTTCTGAACCCGGCGCAACTGGGACCCCCTAGGGTGTTAACTAACTTTTGTCTGGCACTGATGATGTCACGCAATAGCTTACTTAAACAGCCGCCAACTAGTTACGGAGTACCTTGGTTATGTTAAGACCGAATAGTGGTATTCCATGCTAATCTCATCTCCTGTGTTCGACCAAGTACTTGAATTTCTGGTCATTGTAGAGCTTCTGCAGGCCCGTTATTTCTTACCATCCACACACCCACAACCCTTCATCCAGAGGGGGGAAGTAAACGATTTTCATGGGGCTGCCCGTTACTTCTTTCGGACCTTTTCGCGCCCATTGCATGCCATTTCGCAATATCACATACAAGTCACCTGTCTTTCGAAATAGCCCGAGCCAAATGGCATCGTCTTCGTCCCACGCCAAAAGAAGGGCTTCGTTGGCAGATCTTCCCAAGTCCAATGTCTTTACTTCTAAACTTCCCCCAGACCCGGCTTTTGCAACCCCGGATATATCCCACAGAGCTCCACGTGAAGCTCTCGGTCCGCGGCTAGTGAAAGGCGCACTTTATACTTTTGTCAGGCCCGAGCCAACAGAGGAGAGTGAAATACTAGGGATAAGCCGAAAGGCAATGGAAGACCTCGGGCTGAAGTTGGGGGAAGAGTTTACACCCCAGTTCAAGGCATTAGTTTCAGGCAATGCTTTTTACTGGGATGACAAAGATGGAGGGATTTACCCATGGGCACAATGCTATGGAGGTAAGCTGCATCGACTGCGCACCAGCATATTGAGTCGAACGGAATATTCACTAACGTGCTCAAGGATGGCAATTGTATGTCACCCACTATCAGATATGTCGAACTTTCGGAGTTGACAGTTTCCAGCGGCTCATGGGCTGGGCAACTTGGTGATGGAGTAAGCGTTAGCTTCTGATCTTGGATTTGATGAAAATGTTGACACCTGCCAGCGGGCAATTAGCCTGTTTGAAGCCACAAACCCAACGACCAACATCCGTTACGAATTCCAGCTGAAAGGTGCTGGGCGGACCCCTTATTCCCGGTTTGCCGATGGAAAAGCCGTGCTTCGATCTAGCATCAGAGAATTTATTGTGTCGGAAGGTATCAACCCAACACAAATGGTGATTATGTGACGTGAGCTAATTGTGAATGAAGCTTTATCTGCACTAGGTGTTCCAACAACCCGAGCAATATCTCTCACTTTGTTGCCTCGATCTAATGTTCTGCGAGAGCGCATTGAACCAGGAGCTATAGTGGCTAGATTTGCCGAATCGTGGCTGAGAATCGGAACCTTTGATCTCTTACGTGCCCGCGGAGACCGCGACCTGATTAGGAAATTAGCGACATACACCGCCGAGGAGGTGTTTCAAGGCTGGGACGCTTTGCCGGCTGCGGTATCGCTGTCTCTGGATAAGAACCAAGTCTCTGACGCGGTAGATAACCCTCCTAGGCATGTTCCATGGGACAAAGTCCAAGAGCATCAAGGAGTACAAGAAAATCGATTTGCAAGGCTATACCGAGAGATTGCACGTCGCAATGCCAAGACCGTTGCTGCATGGCAAGCATATGGATTCATGAATGGTGTGCTAAACACTGATAATACTTCCATATTTGGGCTTTCGCTAGATTATGGACCATTTGCTTTCATGGACAATTTCGATCCACAATACACACCCAACCATGACGATCATCTATTGAGATACTCATACCGGAATCAGCCTACGGTTATATGGTGGAACTTGGTAAGACTTGGAGAGTCTCTGGGAGAACTTATTGGAGCGGGCAGTAAAGTTGATGATGACGAATTCGTGAAAGATGGTCTGACGGAGGAATCTGCACTGGCTGTGTATCGGCGTGCTGAGGAGATTATTGAACGAACGGGCAAGGAATTTAGGACGGTATTTCTGAACGAATACAACCGCCTTATGGGCAGCAGGCTAGGCCTGAGGAGCCAGAAAGACTCGGATTTCGAAGACTTGTTCTCGGAGATGCTTGACATGCTGGAAGCTTTGGAATTGGATTTTAATCACTTTTTCCGGAGGCTGTCGGATGTATCACTTCAAGATCTAGAAACTGAGGAGATAAGGAAAAAGATGGCGTCTGTTTTCTTCCATGCCGAAGGGTTCGGTGTTATTGGATACAGTGACGATTCTGCAAGACAACGCGTCGCAAATTGGCTCAACAAGTGGAAACACCGCGTTATTGAGGACTGGGGTGATTGTGATTCTGAGAGACAGAGGTTCATGAAAAATATCAATCCAAAGGTGAGTCGCCAATTCTTTGGCTGTTTTTGCCATTCACTTAACGTAGACTTGCAGTTTCTTCCACGCGGCTGGATTCTAGATGAAATCATTGAACGTGTCGAGCAGCATGGGGACAGAGAAATCATTGGGCGGGTAATGCATATGACACTCAACCCTTTCAATGACGAATGGGGTCTTAACGGTGACGAAGAGCGCTTCTGTGGGGATGTCCCTCGATCCAAGAGGGCCATGATGTGTAGCTGTAGCTCCTGACGTTCGTTACAATATTATGATCTGTACGGAAAATTTCCCCGCAAGAATGAACGAATAACTTGCTTAGGTTGCCCACTTCTCTTGTTCTCTGTGCATAGGAAAGAAGGAATATAACAAAGACCATGAATGCAAATACAAAGTGCAGAGTAAGTTTGTTTTCCTTCTTGTCTGTACGAATATAGCTTGATTGGTTTACTGCCAAAGACTTGTTCCTGAGAATGGACAGTCGGACCAGGTCAAGATCGAACATGGCAAAACTGTGGAATCGAAATTGCTTTCTTATGGACAAGCTTCTTCTGTGTTACACGAGATGATTCACATATTTGCCCGTCCGCAACCCAGGTCACCATTTGTCAGTCTTGCAAACTGATTTTCCCGTTCGTATTTGGAAGACATTAAGTCATCCATTCGATTTCACGGCATTTGTATCATCTTGGATATCTTGTCAACCGTTGGGGCAAGTCAGAGACAGGCTCGTAAGCCAAGTCGAGCATTAAATTTAGGCAAAAACGGGGGCGACGCATTGCGGATCGGCACGAAGAGCGCGATCAAAAACGATCCCGTATTTCAGTCCTGCATGAGCTAGCGCGACAGAAGACAAACGATGCAGAAGGAGGATTGAGTGATTAGTTAGGGCACGCGGCTTGGACATGCCCAGGTTGCTTGCAGTTGTAGCACACCCGTTCACCCTTGGCTTCGGTAGGGCAGTCGCGGGAGACATGTCCAACTTCTCCACCTGGAAATTAGGTGTCAGTGTTCATGAGCGTGTCACGATACCGGACGCGGCAGCAACTTACAGTTGTAGCACTTCTGGCCGTTGGTGCAGTCGCGAGCCATATGGCCGAAGCCGCCGCAAGAGTAGCATGTCTGTTGACGGCCACCAAATCCACCTCCATAGCTGCCACTTTGGGGGCAGTTTCTCGCGATGTGGCCAACCCGACCGCACTTGTAGCATTCCTGACCGCCAGCAGCGGCACCGTAGCCCTCGGCCGGGCTTGCCTGGCATTCACGAGAGATATGACCGGTAGCACCACAGCGGTAGCAGGACTTCTCCTTGGGGGCTACAGTACATTCACGACCTATTAGAGGTTATTGATGTGTCTTTAATGTGAAGGTAGCTCGCAAGCTGGACGGTTGACTTACTGACGTGTCCCTGACCTGCAATTGATTTTGACGATGCGTCCAGGTTAGAATCAAGTAGCATTAAATCAAAGTAAGTGGAAAAATGGCCGGGCATGGGTAGAGAAGGCCAAGAGACGTACCGCCACAGTTATAACTAGCAAGTTCAGTCAACGATGTTCACGCAAGAGGGAAGTGGAAAAATTTAGCATACCAGGTAGGGGTGCCCTTCTTGGGACAGTCACGGGCCTGTAGGGATTAGAATGTTATGCAATCGAGATGATGGGGTATACGCCAGTAAGAGCTGGGTGACGAGCATGTCTAGGAGTGGACGATGGGGAAGGGGGCAGGATTTTACCTGGTGCGAAGCATCACCGCCTAGAATAAACAAGAATTCTGTTAGCTTTCCGTTCTCAGATACAAGCAGGGGTAATATGCAACAGCGTCCGTGGTCAAGAGATCCAGCTCTCAGACATCAGCCCGGCAAGTAACACGGACTGCAAGGCAACAATGAGACCCGGGGGTCCTTTTGAGCGTTGGCGAACGATGGGGATGGACGGGGTGTTGGTTGTAGATGTAGATCGAGACTTACAGTTGAAGCATCCACGACCTCCAGCTTGGAAACTCATTGTTGATAAGGATCGGGTGAGACTGGTGGGAAAGAGATTGATAGTGGTGCAAGGTGAGCTGGGATTTGAAAGCTTCAAAGAGGGCAAGGAAGGGGAGAAGAGTGAGTGAGAGAGAGGGGGGGGGGGGGAGGAGGGCGTTGTTTGGAAAGGCTGGGCGATCAGAAATTTAGCTGGGCCTCCTGCGGAAGATTTCTTAGTGCCGATAATAATAATCAGATACTAGTATGCGGACGTTCGGTGCGGGGGAGCGCTTCCCGTGGTTCCTGCAGGGCTTTAACACCGGGAAGCCGCCAACACACAACAACTGGCGTGGTTCGCTTCAACCCAGTTCATGAATTTTGATTCCTCTTCCTAGCAGACTTTGGCGTTTCGGAAAGGGGGTTGGCAACCCTGTATGGCGATCATAGTATCAGATATCTTGTCAAATATCCTCAACATCAATACCAGACACCGGCATGGCAGCCCATGTGCTCCCCTCGGTGCGGTGGGAGGGGAGACGCACAGTATATCAGAAAGAGATTCCATTTTATATGCCCTATGAAGCCTGGTAGGTCATTACAAAGTGACCCATGTCGGGCAGCAAGTGTCGTTAATCTTATATGTGTGGTAACATAATGGAGTGCATATGAAATACGAAGGGAAATGAATTAGCCTGCATCTTGATCAGCAGGTTTCCTACTATATTGTGGTTCCTTCCCACTACTTCCCCAAGATCCGCAGGGCCAAACTTCTTGGTTGCATCTAGAATTCTCTTCGTAATTGTAACGACTGTATACAAGCCGTCTTGGGTCCACAGTAACCGTCAGTGTTCAAAGTCTCTTCGCTGGATGAGTCGTGTGTCTACTATCTATGTGTTACTTCTAGTGAGACAAAGGTTCTGTCTCATGTGAAATCATAACATTCCAGCATCTGTGTCCCAGCCTCCTTCTCTCGACGCAGAAGAACACGCTCGTCGTCAAAACCGATGCATCCACGCATTGTGCCTAATGCGTGGGGGACCTCGAAAAATCTCGACCGGGCTGGACTGATGTCTTGAAAAGATAACGCTAACTTAATGGTATCCTGTCGCCCGCTTCTCCTAACCTCGGGACTGATTCGGATGCCATTTCCATCCTGAACAGCCTTTTGCCCCCTGAGTGAAGAAGCCAATGACTCGAGCTCCCATATTCTAATCTCATCTCCCCGAGAGCTAACAGAAATTGCCTTCCCACGATCGTTAACCTGAACCGCCGAGACTGCTGATGTGTGACCCCAAAGTCGCCGGCAGCCTTTCACGAAGAGGCTTGTAGACGTGGAAACCACAAGGTATATGGTCAATGTATTATCCGCGTGCGAAGTCAAAAGGTAAGGGTGAGAGTAGGAAACCGAAGTCGGAGGGTTGTGGTGTAGTATTGAAGGGTCAGCTGGCCTTGTGTATGGTTCAGTACTAGCATCCGTGGCCCAAGAGGCGGTGCCGCACTTTCCACTCGAGCGGTTGGGAGAACCTAGGTCCACGCCATAGTGGCAGTCCACTGTGGTGGTGACCCGCGAACCTATCTGTTGACCGACCAGGTCGAAATGTAGTGCTTGGATTCCCAGCGACCAGCCGCATCCGATATGGTAAAAACTGTACACTATAGACGCCATTATCTCCGAGCCCGCAGTACGGATCGACAGTGAAATTGGCTCTAAGATGTTGTCTGCCTTAAGTGATGTGAGCAGGAGCGTGCTGTCGCTGGTCAGTAGCCCAGCAGTGTCATTGGTATCCGTAGTGATTTTATACAAATACAGAACCTTTTGCTGAGAAACTAGGAGGATGTAAGGGGAATATGAGGCCATTGCGGTGATAGCCCCGCTGGCTCGTTCAAGACAAGAAAAGCGCATGTCAAGCCGCAAAGTTACGGTGTCCAAACTATAGACGTCGAAGCGGCCATCCTCGAAACCAACTGCAACATCGACCAGGCTTCGCTGTGAATCGCTCGTTGCCGTCATAGCTGTGGGAGCAGGAAGTATTGACGACCGTGGGTGTGCCAGAGAAATCATTGCGAGGCAATTCTCTGGTTTCTCTGCGGACCAGACTCTAAGCCCATTATCCAAATCCACTGTAAACAGAATGCCGGCGCAAAACGTTACTAGCATCTGTCGACACGGCGGTTGCGGGAACTCGATCTCTGTTACTCGACAGGCTCCCTTTGCCCAGTTATGTCTCAGACGATACTGCCTCTTCCAATTTGTGCCCATTCCTTTCTTTGCCAAGTGACCATGACCGAGCCAGCTCGATACTTTAGGTGAGTACTTGACCTCAGATTGGGGGGGAGGGTCACGCCTGGCATTAGCCAGCCGACGTGCGCGAGGTCGCACCCATCGAGAGTAATACTGCTTTTTCCAAAGCTCTGAGTCTCCAGCCAAGTCATGGAATCGCCGCGATACCCTGTGTACACAAATCGATGAGATACGAGCCCGAATGTAGTAGATGGATAAGAACGTACCGTTGACAGATGAGCAAAGAGGGCATGGGAAGAAAAGACAGTATCTGGAGCAGAAGTTCGTCACTCAGGGTGGATATCTGGTCAGCATGATCGCTTCGACTGGTGCGAAAACGCTTTGGGGAAGGATAGAGGGGTGGGCTCGTAGCACCACGTCGTTTTGACATTTTGTAACTGAAAAGAACGATAATAAATGAGTGATCAGAAAGCCAGGCACTAGTAGGGCTTTTGTCTCCATGAACCGATAGGTCTCTTCAGCAGATTGAACATACGTCAGTATTGGGGCTTATCTGAGGACCGGGGCGGCGGATACTGGTAGATACATTGACTGTACACAGAATAAGGAGCCAGAGCTTACATACCCAATACGGTAAATAATTTGTATTAATACTTAGTACTATTGGTATATGTACTGTTTGCAGGTATACCTATGTTCAACGTTACCAAGGTAAGGTACTAGGTGCGGCTCTGTGATAGTACTGCCAAGGGGGAAGGCGGAAAGAGGTGGCGATTGCCCCTTTGGGTAGTTGCCGCGGCAGAAACGTCAGCCAGACAGATCACCTCTTCACCTACGAATTCCTGTTACCTAGTTAGTAGAGAATCAATCATCGTTTTACTAGTATCTTGCTATTTGCGAATAGCTTCATCTGATATCTTTATCGTACGACAAGGGCTGCCTACCTGCAGCATACCATAGCGAATCAAATCATCCTTACCGCCACCAAGTATAACAGTACACCGTATTCTGTATCTATAAGTATACAGTACTAGTACCTAGTACTACTACCTACCTAGTACCTTAGGATAATGATAAGTTGCTGTGCACAAAGTAAAGGTATTTTCTATCTATTACTAGATACTAGATACCTAGCACCTAGTCCTAAGCAGCCGCAAACTCGTATTGCCCCTTTCGATTTGATAAACGAAGCTATACAGATGTAGTCAAGATGTGTGTTGTGTGGCAATAAGAAGGTTGATTGTGGATAGACACACACACACACACACACAGAGAGAGAGAGAGAGAGAGGAGAGATGGCCGGCTAGCAATCAGACTAGCCCGATTGGGTAGAGTCCCTTCTGCAGCGGGAAGCGCCCCCAACTTGTACCTAGGTAGTGGTAGTACCAATCCGTACCGTAGGATAGATGCTACTGTGCAGCGCGTCTTCTCGACCCACAGGTGGAAGACAGTTTGTTCGCTAAGTACTTCCTGCGTATAACACTGGCTTCATTCATGGAGGTTTTAAAGGAGCTTCATACTTCTGTTACCAAGACCCTTGGGCATCACTTCGATAACGCCTATAGAGATTTATATCAAGAGCTCGCTCTTCGCGATGCGAGAGTCCAGGCGGCCAAAGAGGCGACTGAGGTTGCAGAAGGCGCACGTCAGAAAATTATCGAGGAAGTGGTGACCTTGAAGAAAGAAGTTACACTTCTCCGGGAAGAAATGCGTCTCAGCGATATTGGCTCAAATGAAGACGGGCTTATCCGCGAGAAATGTCTTGAATTGGAAGCAGCATATGCACCACATCGCATACAAGAACTCACCAATGTTAATGCCATGGAAGCATTGGAATCCACTTGTGGTGCTGAGACCATTTTTCAAAAATATGCTGCACTCTATCATGAAACCCAGACACTTATGAAAGCCTCCGATGAACTCAAGAAACAGGTAAAACGCCATAAAAAGAAGTTGACATACTGGCGAAAGAGCCTTGACCGCGACAAATTTACGCTGGTGCTTGACGGAGTAGAAGTTCACTTTCAACGACTTAAAAAGGCAACGGATGATGATCAAATGCCGTCAACTCCTATGATGCCAGTAACTTTTACAGAGTCTTCTGGGCCGGTTGCTCGAATTGCCGTGAACGAAGCTCTGACTCCTGTTCTAAACAGCCCATATTCTGATACATGCAATGACGTGTCAAATGATGGCGCTCAGATTATAAAACCGAACGGCTGCAATGATTTGCTCCAGAAGCCACAATTAAAGCCAACATCAATGCAACCAGTTGATACATATGCAAACAAGGAAGCGGTAATAACCCGTCAGGCATCAAATCCCCTCTCGGAAGCAGCGAAACGGAAGTACATTGCATTAGAAGAATCCGCCCAGGGTTCTTTAGTTCTACGGGACAACTTCCCCAGTGACAACGCCGTCAGGTCATCGCAGTCCCTTTTGATCAAAGACTTAAATACGCCATCCGACCCGCTACAGCCTTCATCCCCAAATTGCAACGTTGTTGGGACCCAAGACTTAGATGAAGTTGGCGATGCAGTGGAAACACCAAGGAAGAAAAAGAAGCACAACCATAGCCAGCATCTCCGAGAGGCTTCTACTGCCCTAGAAGGGCGGCGCGTCGGAAGCGAAGATAGCTTATACTGTAGTCCGGCATCTACTCATTCAGCCTTGAAAAGATCGACAGTACTTCAATCTGCTGATTGCAGCTTGAAAATCAACGGACCTACTCAATGGCCAGGCGGGAAGCTTGCGAGATCTACAAGGAACCCCCCCCAAAAAGCTATATCTTCAATAACTGAGGATGGCGACCAAAATTACTCGGCTGTGTCAGGAAGACAAAAGTTCAACACGTTAGCATCCAAAAGTGGATCCCGACCCTCGGGCCTAAATAACACTGACCGGAGTACCGATCAACGACTGCAATGTCTGCTTGAGGGTCCCTTGCCTGCTAAACAAAATCTACAACCTAAGCCAGTCACTAGAGAAGTGCCACGGACTCTCAAAGAACGAGATTCTTTGTGGACATGCGATGGAGATGTGACGGCACACTCGACTGCAACGGTCTTCTCATCAAGCTGTGATACAAAGGTAACAGGAGAGGGCTCTCTGACCGAGCCATTCAGGGCTCAGCCGCTTCACCGTCTTGAGCTCAACCATTTCAAGCTCAACCCAAACTACAACCAAGGAGTAGATTATGCTTTCAGCAGTGTGGTTCGCAAGAGGGACGAGCGGAAATGTGCAAATGGCTGTACACGTCTCAGCTGCTGCGGCAACAAATTCCATGCCATGGCACGCCTCGGCGATCTATCAGCCAATGTGACATCCACCAGGGAGAAAGAAAATGAAGATCAAAGAGTCCTGGAAGACTACTTGGCTGATGGAAAACATGCACTTGACTGGTTGAGCTCCGAAGATCGGGAGCGCCTTTTACAAGAGGCGAAAGCAAAACTCATTGCTGATCGGTATGGAAAGCACAGACATCACCATCAGCGGTTAGGGTCACCCCCTGGATATTGGCGCACTGACATGCCTGACACGCAGGAGCTGCAGCGGGATCACAAGGAGGCGAGAGAGCTTGAAAGAGAAAGGGTGACAGATCGGTATAGGGAAGCAATGCGACCAGGCGGCCTCTGGAAGTTTGCAGATGAGTGAGCATACTTATGTTCTCTACTTACATAACAAGTCACCTGGAAACACAAACATGAAATCCTGCACAACATATAGACTCCCATTATCTCTCTTCTGGTTATCTTTCTTCGGGTTTATCCAAGTGCACTGATATTATTGAGACCAAGCGACAGTACAATTACATGTATATAGGGAAAGAAATGAGGGATATAGTGAAAGCATAAGGGACAGTACTCTATAGACTAGCATTATCAAAGAGTACAGTACAGCCGTGAAGAAAATAATAGTAAAAAAATAATTAACTCACTAACAGGTAATAATACTATTATATTATAAACTGCAAGCCAGAGCATGCTATATACTCTGCACGTCGACGGAAACTAGGACTCCGTACGGAGTAACCTCCGAAGGATTTCTCTCCTGTGACGGGGCACGTGCTTTATCAACCACCCCTACCTCCTGCCGAGGTTTCTCTACCCGCAGGTAGAGTACTCTGTACTAGGTAGCTATACATACACCTTTACTACGGAGTACCCCATCATCACTGTATAGAGACCGTGTCCTAGATAACCCTTATCGAATCCATATTTTACACAGGCTTCTACCACCTTCCTCACCACACAACTTCCGCTTCTCTGCTAGGTATGGAATCAGCACGGGACGCCAGAAATCCAATAGCTGCTGCGCTGTTGCAACCTTCTCGATGGCTTCCACTTTACGAGGAGTTCGTGACCAAGAACGCTAGCTCCGTGAGTCAAGTAGAGTCGGCCCTGAGATCACTTACATATATCATCCCAGGTTAGACTCCAATTCTGGAAAAGCATGCGCCTCATAAGGAACCAAGGAGAGCTGATGGCTTCGTGCAGGGCGATACCGAGATTCAGAGATAAGTTCAGAATGCGGTACGTTTCTCCCGGGTATTCTTCTCGGATGATGGAAACTTTCCCCTAATGTCGAATTTTCATGCAGTGCACTCGGGTGTACAGCTTCTGTCGCTCTATCATGACTCTCTTGTTTCTCGAGTCGTCTCTAGACTACCGTCGACGGCCCCTCGACCTATACCGTCACCTCATGCGCGATATACCAAATTTTGGACCTCTCGTTCATTACTGTATAAAAAAATCGCACTCAGTCTACAGATGGTCCAGTACACTGAACTACTGTGGGAGATGACTGCCCGACGCCGTGGGGAAAAGGTCCGCTGGCGTGTGGTTATCCTGATTGAAGTCATCAAGGCTATCTGCCGCCTGTTACTGCTTCGCCTCACAAACTCCAGACCGCTCGTTAGTCCTCCGTTGCCTGAAAGGGAGGTAGATCCTAGGTTCCTGGAAGAAGAGGATAGTGACTGGAATGGGATGCAGACACCCGTTAGCCAACAGTCGTCGGACTCGTGGACAATGCCTCGTACGGGGCTGTCGCTTCCCTCCCTTCCTGACGTTAACGGTCTTTCCAACTACCTTATAACCAAAGTTCTCACAGCCGATGATATAAAACCACCAAAAGCGCTACTGCGTCGAGTTACTGGCCAAGGCCAATTAGCAGAGGTGCTATACATACTTCGGCCAATTATATATGCGCTCGCAATGGAAAGATATTGTGGGAATAAGCGAAGCTGGCGGCCCTGGCTGATTGGATTCGGCATGGAATATGGTTGTCGACAATTGTCTAAGTCTGATTTTCGGGAGACAGTCACTGGCGGCCTTCGGGGGCTGACTGGGCTCGAACGAGAGGAAATGAGAAAGAGAGGCTGGGCCATGGGTTGGTGGTGTATGCGAGGAGCTTTTTACGAAGACATAACTAAGTATGGCTTCCTCGCCCTTCCCCGTACGGAGAGACCAAACCATCATACTTACATTTATTAGATCCTTATTGAAGAGCTTGACCGGGAAGATGAAGGGCAAACCTTTGGTTGACCTGATAGGCAGCGTTGTTGAGGATTATGAATATCTATGGGATAGTTATTATTTCTCAACGGCAACACTGTGACCATTACGTTGATGCTACTTTTTTTCGAGCCTTTCCTTCTTGCAGGCCTTGTGAGCCCTATTTCTCTTAATGTTTTTTTCTGATGGTCAATCTAGATACCCGATATTCTCGTGCCCTCCCTTCTCCTTTTCTAATATGGATGCTGCAGTATGGTTTCCTTCTATCCCCTCGTCCACTTCCCTCGGGACATCATGTATTGTTGCCTAACCAACCCCCAAACCTTCTGGACATATTGAACTTACGGAAACAATGAAAGGAGGGAGGGTATCACATTTGTCGTTACTATCTTTTCTATACAAAACCTCGGGGTGAATTTGTAGGGTTGTCATGCGACAACAACCGCTGCACGTTTCGACCCGTACCATTCCTGCAACTTGTTGGTCGGTTTTCCGGTAGCACCAGTAGATGTCAACAAAAAGTCTCTGAGCTGCGTATTTTCTTCATCTCCAGGCCAATCGACTGGTAGGCCCTCCTTTAGCTCGAGCAGTTCCTTTGAGGTACCCCAACTAAAACGGCATTCATTGCCCCACCCAAAGATAGGATCCATATTCTTCCGCAACCAGTTGATGCACTTTGAGTCAGAGGGATAGCCACTCCCCCAACTGTCCGGGGCGGTCCCCTGCGAAGAATACTCAGCCTGGAAGTTCTCATAGACGGCTTGATAACAGAGCTCCAGCGCGATATCCCTGGTCACCTTGGCAGCAACGCTCGCAGCGCTCACGCACGGATACAACGAGTCTGCCTTCTTGGCTACTGTGATCCTGAGAGAAGGAAATATTCTCTCTAGCTTCTGTTGATAAGTTGCTGGGTTTCCAATCGTGTCAATGTAGACTTCCCTGACGTCCATGTTCCGATCCTCGACGATCCCGCGAATGAGTTCGATCGTAGCATCCATCGCCTGAGCATTCAGATTATAGACTCCCGCTCCTGATCGCATCATACCCGAGGAGATATCTCGCGCCGATAGCAGCTTAACAGCCCACCCGCACGACTCAAAGAGCGGATCTCCCGGGGAGCATAGCGACTTCATCAAGTTGGCGCGCACTCCGGGTGTAAGAACTTTACTGTCGTCAAACCTATAGTCGCGAGCCAGAAGGCTATGATGAAGGCTATGAGGCAAATAGAAGGCGCTGTAGACCATAGGGCCCAAGACCGGTCCGCGCCCAGCTTCATCCACGCCCAAGACAAGGGGGTTCAGCGACGAGTTCGTAGGGTGTTGATCAGATGGTGGAACTGTGATGATAGACGGACAGAGAGAATAGTAGGAATAGGATCGACCGGAGAGCAACTGGCGTTGATCTATGCTGGGAGGGATGAAAAGGCCTGTGGCAGTGGGTAGATTCTCCTCGGCGACGTCGGACGGGGTCTGAGTTGTCGAGTCCTCCATTGTTGTTCTTCCCGTATTCCTCTCGCCCCTTGTTTTCCCTTCCAATGGCAAATCAAATGGGGGCTAGAGGTAGGGATGTGGTATATAGAGGCAAAGACGTGGGGGGATTGTAGAGAGTCGCCGAGGAAAAGTAGTAGTGCGGTGTAGATAGTGGACGGCATGCTGGTAGATGGACGCGTCCCAAACGGTTCTGGACTAGTGGCGCCTCCGCGCGTGTTTGTTCGCCGCCTTCACGGATTCCAACTCCCCTCCGCAGCATTCATTCACCATCCCTCCCCTCTTTCAAACTGCAACAGCGCCTCCTTAGGCTTGCCTCTGTTGCAACTCCCCCTTCCCGCCTCCTGATCTCACACGGCAGGCTTTTCCCGCAGCTCCCTCCCCCCAAATCTGCCTACGGTCCGCGGGCTCGTGTTTCCTCCTGTTGAAGAAGCTATCTTGCCGCATACAGCTCCCGAACCTCCGCAGCGATGGCTCCTCGAGGGCCTGCGAAGGCTCGCGACTACGACTATGCCAATGTTGGTAAAGCCGGAAGGTCGGTATATTTGGAGGCGATTCTCCATCCTTACTGTCCCATGCCTTCATCCCCTTCGATCCTTCAAACCTCGTCCATCCATGACACAGAAGGCTGATGCAGGGGACGGGTACAGGCGCACTGGAATAACGCTCAAGGAAGGGAGGCGTGATGAACATGGAATGGAGGAAGTGGATGGAATATTTTCCTCCCCCGAGAACTCCCCCGTCAAAGAGATTGGGTTCAATAACGGGAATGAGACCTCGATCGGCTCGGACGGTATGTCCATGGACGAGGGTGAGTGCCCTGCCCCCTTTAATCTAGCCGTATCGCTCACGATGCAATTCTCACTGGCAGGTAATGGACCCGGTCCCGCCGACTTTCTCAAGGGCAGACGTGCATCTTATTTCCCGCCCCCCGTTGCGCGCTCTCCCAGGAAGACTGGGCTGACTGGTTCCCCGCGGAGGACTCCTGGCCTACGGTCTTCTCAAAGTCCGCAACGCGAACGCCTTTCTTCGAGTCCTTCTGATGGAAAAGGACTGGGAAGTACGAGGGGGGAATCGCGGCGAGGCATATCTCCGCTTACTAGTCGCTCCATTAATGCTGCACCATCTTTCAACCATGTAAATGGTGCGCGCAACACCAAAGGAAATGATAAAACACCGGCCGAAGCCATGAATGCCGGATTTTTGGACAGCGATGCCAGCAGTCAGCTAAGCACAGATGAGAATGGTCATTCTTTGAGCCATATACGTGACGACTTTGTTGACAGCTTCAACGCCGGTGACGATACCCTTATGGGCGATCCTGCCGATGATCCCGTCGATCATGGCGCAGAAATGGACGCTGCAACAGCCGTTGCTTCTGAGTCGCGCAAAAAGAAAAGGCAGGCCAGATCCATCCCCAAAGCCAAGAGAGGTGCAAGTAGCTCAAGGAATAGAATTCAAAACACCACCCAGGATAATGAGACGGAAGAAGAACCGACACAAAAGCGCAAGTTTCCCGGTCGGCCTCCAAGAGCCCAGCACAAGCCCGACGACGAAACCGGGGACCAAAGGCCGACAAAGAAAGCTCGAGTGTCTGATACAAGTCATGGAAATCCAAGCTCATCAGGCGACGCCGAATTGGATATGGTTGTGAAGGATTATGTCAACCGCACCGGACCATTAAAGGGCCGAAGCCTCTATATCTTGAAGCGCGAGGCGCCCTCGGATGTCGCTGCCACCCACACGCGATCAGGGCGTGTTTCAGTTCGACCGCTCGCGTATTGGCGAAACGAACGCTGTGTCTATGGGGATGGTGAGGCTGTCGAGGGCCAGCGGTATCCTCTTTCGACCATTAAGGAAATTATCCGCACGGAAGAGCTTGAGCCGGAGAAACCGAAGGCCAATAAACGCCGGCCTAGCAAATCTTCCAAATTTAAGAAAAATAAGGGGGAAGACACCGATGATGATGAGGAATACATTGATCCTTGGGAGAAAGAAAGCGGGGTTCTGCATGGTTATATCAGGAAGTGGGATCCCGAGATCCAGGCAGTGGGCGAGGATGAAGAGATTGTCGGTAGGTTTCTTTGCCTTTACCTCTTGTCAGACCTGTGTTGACCTAGCTGTCGCAGACCTCGCGTATGCACCCTCTGGTATCGAGACGAGGAGTGTCAAAGATTCCTCATGGCGGTTTGCTAAACTTCTCAGCTCCCCCTTCTTGGGCTCTGGGATCGTTGAATTACCGCCTGGCGGGGTCAAGAAGCCCAAGAATTCCAAGAAGATGCACATGGTATTCTATATATGTAATGGCAGGGTTCAAGTAGATGTATCTGGTGTGCGATTTAGCGCCGGAAAAGGATGCGTGTTCCAGGTTCCGAGAGGTCAGTTTGTTTCCTCCGCAGTAACCGGATCATGGTCGTCTGATATCGACGGATTCGCTGACTCCATCCCAGGCAATTATTACAGCTTCGCCAACACGCATAACAAAGATGCCCGACTCTTTTTCACACAAGGTTGCGTTCCGGTGGAAAATGACGGTTCGGCTCCGGGATCGGCGACCAAACCCGGGGCCATGGACGGTGATTCTAGCACGCCAACGGGACGTCCGACTGGTGCTGTTAAAGGCAGACCCAGGGGCAAGCAGAAAACAGGGGGCGGGCGTAAAGCGATGTAACTGGCTTCGGAGCCAGTTTCCACCTCCATCTGCTTTATTTTCACCCTCCCTTCTTTTTTTTACTTTTTCGAAACATCATTCACCACCTATATCCTGCCCGCCTGAGGGCTTTGAACTCCAGATTAGCGACCTAGTAATGTGAAATTGCTGGGACGGAGGTGTGCTTACGTCTTCATGTCTCCGTCCCTCTTATCATTTTCTAGGATTGTGTTTTTAAATACGCCAGGGTTTGGGCTGTACTAAAGTTATCGGAGTACCTTGAGTGGGACTGGAGTATATTGCAGGAGCTTGTTTTTTGCCATCTTAATTCCATTCTTCGGCACCATATCAGATTTCCTCCATCATTTCGTCATCCAAGTCCTCCAGCTCTAGGGGCGGGAAATCGCCCACCTCGACCTTCTCAGGTTTCACGAAGACTCCTGTCTTGTTAGGGCAGGAGAAGTAGCTCTGACCGCCTACGCTGCCATTGTTCTTCCCCAATGGCTCATCGAGTTCGACTCCCACCCACATAGGAAGAGCACCAGGGTCTAGGTCTGCTAAATTACGGTCCACTCCAGGGCGAGAGATCGTAGGCACGGGCCCAATAAAGCGAATAGTCCCTCGCCGAATATGGGGTGGCGAAGAGGGTAGAATAATGACCCGTCTGGCAACGGCAATGCCTACACATTTGGCCTACTTTAGCGCATCGTCTCTTGTGTGGAAGAGACGCTGGTGACGGGCATTACTCACCTCTTTGTTGAATTTCTGCTGCATCTTTTTCTGATTGTTGGCGCATGGAATCTTCCGGGGTAAGGGTGCTTGGATCAAATCTGCCAAGCTTTTGATTCTTCTTCCACGCCAGAACCGAGTTTGGGAGCGATTCATATGTCGACGTGGGAAGAACGTACTTCTCCACCGACGACAAATCGGTAAAATTCGGCCGGGCAGACTGAGGACGGGTATCATGAACCTATCAAATGCCATCCATCAATCAAGAGCAATTTGTAAGGCTCGAAACTAATATGGGGGCCATCACGGGTAAGAAACGGGAGTCACATTTGACCAACACCAGCCAGTGAGATATACTAGCCAGAAATGTACAGTACGGGGGTCCATAAGGTTGGCCAAAATGAAGAAGAATCTCATGATATATCTCGTATGGAAATAAAGACTGGGAGCTGAGAAGAAAGCTTACGGGTCACTGGTACATACCTCAATTTCGCAGCCTTTCATCAAACCCCAGTCGCCGATTATTGTATCATCGCCTTCAATCCATTGGTCAGGACGACCCGGTGCCCTGAGTCGCAGGCGTTGACTACTAGGAGAAATGCCTGTCATGGTTTCCAGTTTGCCTTTTAGCTGCATGACACTCCATGTTGGGGTGATGCGTTTCTCCGTCAATAAGCGTGACTCGGTGCTGGGGCCTGTAGTGGGCGTGGTAATGGCGACAGAGATGTCCATTGGGGTTGGTTGAAAAGCCATCATGGCCTTAGAGCAGCCCCGATCTTTCCAGGGCTGTTGGTCTGGAAGAGACTTGACTCTCTCTTCTGTTCTAGGCTGAAGTCAGAAGAGGTGATACCAAATGGAATGGGAAGGACAAGTCTGCTTCGCAAAAGAGACTGTGCGAAGAGGAAGATTGAAGAGTAGCAGAAGGGGCTTCCAAAATGGGAGCGGAGGTAGATTGTCAGTCGATTCATTAATCCATATATATGCACGTGATCCAGATAATATCTTCCATTTTTCATACATACATATAGGATGATAGATGAGGGAAGTAGTTATGAAGCAAGCAAAGGAATGGCCATTATCACTTACGGGCTTGAGGATGATTTAATGTACAGATCAAACAGCCTGTCAAATCTCAATAGCTTCCTGAAAGCGATGGCAAAGAAGTTATTCCCCAAAGCGGTGAGCTCAGGTTATTCTAGCGCGGTTCTGGCGGTGAGCTTAGCCAGTCAGGATACTGCCTCCAAAAGAAAACTCTAGATACAGTACGGAGCACATTGTAGGTGGTACCTACCTTAGGTAGATAGAGTAATTTGTAATCAGTGGCAAACCAGTTCATGTGTGTTAGATAAAACATATGTCATTTGGAGGCGGTATCCTGGACTATCCCATATATAGTAGGTACCTACTACTATTATTGACTTCGTACTCGATACATGGAGGTAGTAGGTACCGTATGGTATGGATTACTTGTACGGTACATAGCGATAGCGGCCCCTCGAGGGTCTTTCTTGCATCATTAATTATTCTCTCGGTCAACTTCATCATCTTCAATCATCCCTCCCCTGTCGGTCGGTACCTTCTCTTTTCCCTACGAACCCCCACACCCGGACTGATCTACTTGCCATACCGTCCTTTCTGGGGAAAGAAACATAGACTCTTGTAGAACCGTTAGGCTACCGAAGGGATATTATAGGGTCTGTCCTACTACCTGTGGGGGAAAGAAAGAAACCCCCCCCCCAAAAATGACCTCTGCCGGTGTGCCACTGCAGACGGACTGCAGTCAACCCCACCGTGATGATGCAGCGTATGAAGAGGAAAACGTCCATGAAGTATACCAGCAAATTGCCAATCACTTTTCTGCCACTCGTTACAAGGTACCACATCTCTCGAGCGCCGCCTTTCTGAACATTTCAATTCTTAAAAGATCTCGGTTAACCATCGATCACTGACAGCCCTGGCCCATTGTGGAACGCTTCCTCAAAGACCTGGAGCCTGGAGCTGTCGGCTTAGACGTGGGATGCGGCAACGGCAAGTACTTGACCGTAAATCAGGACGTCTTCATCGTGGCGTCAGATAGGTACCTCACCCTCTCTCTTTGATTTTCTACCTTGCCTTGATAAAAAGGGGCGTTGGGGGGGGGGTTAAGTGATGGTTTGAATATAAATCTTTCTATTTACAACATTTCGTATATGCCAATATACCCCCCATGTCATTTCCCCCAGAGACTTGTGTGAACGCAGATGTTCCATTTTCCACTGTTTTTGAAGGCTGATCAATCTACACAGATCTGAAAACCTCGCTCGCATTGCTCAAGAGCATCAGCCCCACTCGACAATCATGGCAGATATCCTCAATCTTCCACATCCGGAGTCTTTCTTTGATTTCGCCATCTCGATTGCCGTGGTCCACCATTTGTCCACTCTGGATCGAAGGGTCCAAGCTATTCGCGAAATCCTGCGGACGCTGAAGCCTGCCACCGCAGATTCTCCGGGTGGGAAAGCTCTGATCTATGTCTGGGCCCTCGAACAGAAAAGCAGCCGTCGAGGCTGGGACAAAGGGGACCAACAAGATGTGATGGTCCCCTGGATCCTAAAGGGAACACATTCTGTGGACACTCCACCCAACGAGCCAAAGGTGTTTCACCGATACTACCATCTTTATGAGGCCTCGGAACTGGCGCGGGATATAAATACGGCAGGCGGCTCTGTCCTGGAAGCTGGATATGATAAAGACAATTGGTGGGCTATCGCTTCCCGAACGGATCCAAAATCACTGTGAAATGCATGGATGCGGTGAAAGCCTCAGGGTCCAGCCTCGAGGCCAATCCCCCACATCTGCCTAGCATTAACAGCAGGAATGACGACACGAGCATTCGAATTGCCGCTCCATGGCTCTTTTTGAACGCACCCTTCATGTATCAAAGCCAGATGAGGACAATAAAAAAATGCGAGCATAAGCACTCGGGAGAACCATTTATGATAAGATCTCCCGTGAGTGAAGATATCATTCCGACCAGCGCTCTGCAGTTCGTAACGCAAAATACTCAGGCATAGGAGTCGTGTTCTTCATAACCTCCCTACGGAAGGGTTCGAGGAGGGAGACCGAGATTTGGTCCCAGCGGGCTGCCATGTCCACCACTCAGATCCAAGGGTCGTCCCAGTCTGTAGGATTCACGGGGAGGTGGAAAAGGCGGGAGCGGCGCAAAGGCAGGAACCCCGGCAGTAAGCTCTTCGACGGAAGGCAGCTGGGGCGGAGGAGGGATTGAACGTGATGCCGATCCCTTCCTTGGTCGAGACAGAGACGTGCTGGCTCTGCGGGTCCTAGGCGCTGGCGGATCTATTGCTGTGCTCGACAGTGAAAATGGAACCACACCAGCTCGGCGCGCCATTTCTTGTTCTCCCAATTGCCAATGCATGGCTTCCGCGGCTCTCCACGGAATGGCCATCTCTTCTGCCACCTTTGACCACATTTCTGCTTTGAATCTGGAATGACAGTTAGCAGCCATTTCGAGACTTCATCGAGCAAGCCTAAGAACAGTTCCCGAACAAACATACCTCTCGTACAACCTCGCAAGCTTGTTTTTCTTGTCCTCGTCCCACTCACTCCGGCGCTCCAAATAATTCTGGTAATGAAGACGGCAGCTTATAGCACTCCGGCCAGGAAGCCGCTTGCTAATATCCTCCCATTTCATACCACTTCCCCTCAATTCAATAATCAGAGCATCCTCTTCTGGAGACCATTTCGATTGTTTTTTTGCCGGCGATTCTGCTGTATGAGCTGGTTGAAGGCGTTTGGCAGGAACAGTAGCGGGGATTTTGGAGGTAAGCGGGGGCACCGAAGGGAGTGGAGTCGCCACAGGCATTGACGGTGCCACTGGGGTTTGTTGGATCACACTTGGTGGGAAATTGGAAGATGTGGTCACTGTGGTAGCCTCCTCTTCATCCTGGGGCTTCAGTAACAGTGAGATATCCACTTTGGCGGGAGGTAGGATGACCTGATTTTGTAACGCAATCATATGCGCGGTTCGCAACAGATGATATCTCTTCTCAAGTGGTGTGATGGTTGTGTAGCATAAAGCACCATAAGCCAAGCTGTATAACAATGGTTGCTTCTAGAGCTAAGATATGAAGTGGATCTTCACACCTCAACGCCAGTGAGGCAAGATGCGGAGGCAAAGGGCACCAGGATGCTGGGGACAGGAAGAACAATAACAGGCACAGCAAGAAAGACAGACGAATAAAAACAGGGTTCCTGGCCAGCAAGACAAACACCCTTGTTGAATCTTTCTAATTTGATGCTAACTAGCAACAGCGAGGATACCGGTGGCACTGCACAGGGCACTGCAGAAAGATCAAAGAGTGATAAGAACTGCCAATTTGGATCCCCGGATTACTGAAGCGGATAAGCATCAGAATGAGGCGATTGTATGCAGACGAAAGAGACGTTCCACCGTGGATTCGTGTATACCAGCGAGTTCGTGGGGCGGGGAGGAACTTAGTGTCTGGACGATAGTGTGCAGTTGATAATGTGAAGTCAACAGCAGCAAATCTTGATGGTCGATGGACACTATTGGGCCTCAAGATATACTACCAGCCGCGAGAGGGAAAAAGAGTAGAAACGAATCAAGGGCCGGTACTATGCAACGAGGGTAATGGAGGGGGATGCGAGAAACTTGAAGGCGAGAGGGGAAAGAGAGTTGAGAGCTAGGGAAAGGGAGAAAAGGCCAGACGAGACAGATGAAACACCTGGAGATGCATAAGAAGAGAGATCATCGGCAGTGACAGCTGATGTGCAGCAAATGAGAAGCTCAAGCGGTAATAACGCTCCTATGGGGGAGGGAGAGAAGAAGCTAGGGAAGAGGCGAGGCCAGGGCCAGTGGGTTCGAGAAATCGTTTAATAAATGACATTAATATTATGGATTGACCGTTGCTGCTATTTTTTTTTGTTTTATTTTATTACTTGTTTTATCATTTATTTTTATTTATCGGGATTGGTATTATTATTATTCCTCACCCCCTTGAGGGACAAGCCGTTATTCCCCTCCCCCCAATGATCAGTCCAATGAGATCCCCGCCAGACATCAGTTACAACGGGAGTATCAAGTAGGGTGCTTAGGCTTAAACAGCATCGGCATGATTTGGTTACCAGAATGGCATTTGACTCGGAAACCCACGCAATAGCTTAGCGTCTTTCTGGTGGCCCAGGAATTCGCAGGCCAAAAGTAAAATTAAATTGGAAAAGGGAAAAGGCCCCCTCACCCCCCCCTCCCCCCAAAAAATCCCCTCTTTTCTCTTTCCTCCCCCCTCTCCCTCTCCCTCTCCCTCCAAAATCGAAGAACAAGAAAGAAGAAGAGCCGTGACCAGATTTCCATCCTCCTCTCCAATGCCACTTCGAAAAGAACAATACATGATAGTAGTAATAACCAAACTAACTACGGAGCACTAGTGGTAGTAGTAGTGTTTATCAAAACGGTCCCACCCGCGGGTACTATATACACTCGAACGGAAGGCTTTTTACAGTACTGTGTACTGGCGGTCAAACCTCGCCCGAATGTTCGAGCCCAGCCCTGAGTCTTGTTAATGACTCGGTTGGCTGATTGCGGATGAGTTGGCGAGCGAAACAGGATGGACGCAATCAAACCGTCCTGGCCTTAGGGTACGATCTGCCCGCCTAATTACTATCTGATTACCATCAAGATTTTTTTTTTCTCGAATCGACGCAATACTACTGCTACTACTACTACTACTCCTCCTCCTCCTCCTCCTCCGTACTAATAATAATAATCCTACCACCACCATCATCATCATCATCATCATGACGACGAGGAGAACAGTGCTAGTGACAGGGCCAAGTAGTCTGTAGTTCGTGCCCTGGGAGTATAGGATATGTGGACTAGGTACTTACTTCGTAGGTGTCTCTGTGATAATTAGTATATGTCAACCAGTACCGATGGCACCTGTCTCTTTCGGCATCCCTATTCCAACCACACGATCCTTGAACCTACGGGGACATGTGTTTAGATCTTAATCGACTTTTTATGACTTGTGTCTACATGGCCATGCAAAAAGCGACGCAGTGGAAGGCACTGGGTGCAGGGGGGTTTATATTGTGATTCAACAAGAGGATGGTTGTAGATATAGATCAAGCGAACTACTAATTGGAGACAGAAAAAAAGCTCAGGAAAAAGCCAAAAAGTCATTTAAGCTACTCCGTACAGGTTACCGGGAACCCCTAGGACCCGAAGGTCTTCTACCCAGTAGTGGTACGAAGTACTACTCCGTACTTTCCAACTCTAGGATGGGCCAGATTACCACCAACCTGGAAGCAAGGTCCAAAAAAGAAAAAAAAATTAAAAAAAACCCCTCGTTAGACAGCAGAGGAACATGGTTCCTCCCTGTGGAGAATCCCACCATCCTAGCAGGCTAGCATGGTAGGATGTGGAATGGCCTTAGAAGCCCCAACCAGAGGGTAAAAACGGGCGACAATAATAATGGGGACGATGCGTAACAACGATAGCGTCAATCCCCGTGCCTTTTACCCCATTCCCTCGGCCGAAACGGGAACAAGAGCGCTCCCCATTGGCTTGAAAAGGTGGAAACAGGGTGCTTTATATTTCTGTAGGGGGGGAATAAAAGAGGCGTGTGTAAACCAGCGACTTAATAAAAAAGAGTCCCTGTTTTGCAATTGTGATGATGAGGATGAGTTGTTGTTATTTATTACCTAACTTACCTAAAGGTACTGTACCTTCTAGGTAACTATTAACAGTATTTTTTCTTTCCCCCCTCCTTCCCCTCCTGCCTCTTCCTGTGTTTTGGTTGGTTCCTGCTCAATCTAATTAAATTTCCGAGTCCCAACGGCCCTGGGTTCCTCCAGCCAATTAGTCCTAGCCCGTCCGGATGGATCTGTCAACGGCGAACGAACCCCAAGCCTTGAACGGCAAGTAGAATCTATCACCCATTACTATTCGCCCTGACTGTGGCACCTAGGTAATATCTAAACAGGCGCTAACTAGGATCCGGGGTCTGTTGGAAACCATTCGCCTCCTTCATATTATTTCTGCACTCCGTGCCTTTGCTTATAATTGACTGGCTTTCTCAGTCCAAGCATCAGGGTAAGTCCATAATTACTCTGCCCATGGGATGTCCAGCAACTACTGATCGGTTGTACATCCAAATGCTGGTGGATTCTCTCACTTGCACTACGCACAAAGTATACCTTCGGGGTTAAAGAACAAGTTGTCATTAGTCGAGATGATAAGCCTTTTGGAGGGTGAGGATACCACGGCCCATGGTACGTAATTGCGACAACACCTACCGAGTAGCGAAGTGATACATCCACTCGCGGTGTTGTCAATCGAGTGACAAGGCGGCAAATCGTCCTTTGCGATTGTGGATCAACGGGTTCCGTACCTCGCAAGTGGGCTTTCGGTTCCTTTAATCAACGCCTGCTATCTGTCTACTCCGTAATCAGTTGCAGTGCAAACTCCAGAGTATCTATCTACTTCCATACACAGTCAGTGGTCGGTGGTAGCTTGGTCTTTCTCCCTCGGTTTTCCCTTACACTCTTACCTTTTCTGTCAGGCTAGAAGACCCCACATCTGGCCTTGTCCAACCTTCAGCTTGAACGACTGTGTATGGAATTAGATACTACGGAGAACTTAGATAAATATCATCTTCGATTCAAGAACAACCCCCCCCCACCTCTCCTCTCTTCTGTCAGCAGCTACTCTCCAAATTTATGGGTTGGCTTTTGATGCACCGAATATTGGGTCATAGCACTAAGGACCTTCGATGCTGATCAACTCACAAACAAGGTAGTGCTTGTGCTGATTCCTTCAGACCATCTATTACATTAGTACGGGTTACTTTCCCAGGCCTTGTATGCATCCCACGCATGGACGCTGATGTGTGTGGTCTTTTTGCATTTATTGTGTTTCTCAACATATCAACATCTCAACATACAACGAGCTATCCCTCAATCGAATAAATAAACCCTAATGGGATTATCAGTGCCCTTCGTGAGGCCATGGGCAAGCCGAAAGACCTGTAGATTTATTTGCCCATGTTTTGCATCTCCCGAAGTTCACTGTTTTGTGTGATTAGCTCTTGGATATCTAGCCTTGCATGGTTCCAAACTTAACAGTCATGAATCATTTTCTATTCCCGTCATGGGTATTCCGTACGGAATACTACCATGGTTTCGGGTATGGTTGGATCCCGTCCTGCTGAACCCTTCCGGGTGACGGATGAGATTTCGCGATCCCCGGGTCTCGATGACTCCCTGTAAATTAGTATCTGTTGATCATTTGGGCTGGAACCACAAAGATGCAGTCCATGCTAGCTCCAGACTCGCTGTGCCGAACTGATTGCCGCCAAAGACGCGTCTTTCGCTTGCCCTGCGCTTGTACGGAGTACTCTACTGTGTGGCGGAGTGGACAGTGGTAGGATGGCAACACCTAATGAAAGTTGGGTCCACTATCCTATCCACCTGTTCATTTTCATCTCCTAGCACGAAGTACTCCTCTGCCCAGTACGTTCAAGTACGGCTGGGTCTCTATTTTAACAGTAGTACCACCGTCTGCCGCTGAACAACGCTGGGACGGGTGCTGCCTCTGTTAGGCTACCTCGTATATATGTCGCTCTCACTTCTTCGGTTTCCACTTGGACTTTTTAACATCCTCGTGATGTCGGCATTGAGAAGTTGAAGCTATACAGTGTGCACATACGGAGGCCCTGGAAGTACTGTACCTATACGGAGTACTACCTACCTTACTACACACTACACAGGGTATGTAAGTAACAAGTTGTATGTTTTTTTGGTGCGGAGTACCTGGACCGTCGACCACGGCTTGTCTTCGAACGACGGGGCCGCGGGAACAAGGGGTTTCCCGCCAGCTGCAAGTCCTGCAAGATTACCTAGGGACCAGTGGGGACGGGTCAAACGGTGGCTTGCCTTAAAGTATTATTCCGACCAAAGTGGTGGAGAAACCAGAACCCACCCGCGTCCAATCAGCACCGGCTCGGGCTCCGTGTTGACAGGCCAAGTGGGACCGACTACGCCAGCTTAGTCCGTTCCATTACTCAGTGACATGGCAAACGCACGCACTGGCTGTCGCAGCCTCGCAGCCTCGCAGGGCAGCCCGGCCTCGCTACCACTATCTAATTCGAGAGGCACTGTTACGAGGCTCGCCCACCCTTATTGATGAGTTCATGACCATCTGTCCCGGTGCCCACAGACTTGGAGTCTTGGAGTTGGGAGTTCACCCGTATCCCGAGCATGAAGCTTTGTTGAAGCCTTGAATGGCATTACGTACAACCTTGTTTGTCCCTCCACAATAAATGCAAGCTACGTATTATAATTATCTTGATTCTATCTCCCTCGGATTCCGGTGGAACCTTCCCAGCAGCGATAGGTATTAGGTACCCTAAAAAAAAAAAAAAAGAGAAAAAAACCTGGCCTGCCCAAATATAGTTTGCGGGCGAGCAAACCACGAACATTGGATGGACTACGGAGTACTAGGTATGTATGTGCGATATTGGGTGACGTGACGCAAAGGATGCAGTCCAACAGTACCGTGGACGCAGAGGCGGTAAGTCACCGCCAGATCGATCCATTCGGAGAATTCATTGGCATGAATAGCCAAAACATGGCTCAATACGTGACGCCTGCCTATTACCGCAGGATCAGCTTCGATTTGTTAAACATTATTACGTCCCCTCTTTCGGGGGGAGGGGGAAGGGCTTCACGTAGGTCGAGTCTAACCTTAACAAGCCCCGGGCTGTCTGACTCCTGCACAACAACAACAACAATAATAATCATAATGATAATAATAATAATAATAATGATAATAATAATAATAGCAATCAACCGGAATAATAACTACTATTAGTATTATTACTATCCTCATACCTAACCGTTGCTATAATACTGCGTACTAATAAAATGATGAAGCCACTGTTCATACAAGTCAGAGACTAAGGAAATGGCGGTGGGTTACGCTCTGCCGCGCGGGCCTAGAACATGCACTGCTTCCCGTGTATCTCTGCTTCTTACTGCTACTGTGTACACTACTACTTACCCCCTACTGCTTAATAGCCTGTCAAAACGCGTGAACTCGCTGCTTGCTGAGTCGACTTCGTACCCAGGTGGACCGTAGACACCAGACACCAGACTGCAAAGTCATAAAGTCTACTCCTAGGGTATCAGCACGGTCACTAACCCCCCTCCGCCTCTCTCCCCCGGTACAGAGTACCTAGGTTGGGGACCAGATGCGAAAGTACTACAAGATGACCAGACCCAGAGGCCGTGAACCAGGCAGTGTCTGTTACTCCGTTCCAACTCCGCTGGCTCTCCCCTCGTGTTCAGGGAAAGCTTGGGGCTGCACATGGGGTTTGTGCTTTACTCCTGTCAAGTGTCAACACCTGTCCAATCTAGGCGGGATGGATGGCTACTGATACTGACTGGGGAGTACGACTGTTCTATCTACCAGTTTTTACTACCGTCCGACCCCGCCGAATACTACTTGAGCCGTCGGCAAGCGACAAGTAGATAGACCGCGTGCTCCGTAGAGGACTGAACATAGTAAGGACACTTCCAGACCAAGATCCAGCACGGAGTACTCCGTAGTGATTGGCGTCATCAACGTTGACCGGGAAGTCCAAACGGCGACGAGGGTGGTTGACAAACCCCATTGGACTGACCTCGGTGGGGTTGGGCAAGGATCCTTTTGTTCTATCTATTCCTGGCGCGCCATGATCGTCGCAGGAAAATGTCCGACGCCTCTCAAGTAGTATTAGTCTCAAGCCTCAAGTCTCAAGGACCCCACATCCATGGTCCCATCTGTTGTCCATGTCATTATTATTGACTGAAAGTTTGGTTCTTCCGCCTCCCAGTCCCGGTCCCAGCCCCAGCCCCAGCCTCCCAGCCTCCCCGGGCCATGTTCCTTTCCTTTCCCTCTTACCTACTCCGTACGTGCTTTGGCCAAGTACTAACCATACGCCTGCTCGTTCCATGGCAATTGCCAGTTTGCCATACCTTCCAGCGCCCTGAAAACTCGAGGTAGAAATACTTTTTTTGGTACAATCAATGCACTCGGTGATCGGGAGTAGTGACTACTCCACGGTAGTGGTCCGTCTACGGTTGTGGGCCTTCGGAGTGACTGGTATCTGGATCAAAGCGTTCGCGTTCCCTACCCCTGCCCAATATGATCCCAAACTCTCAATCGCATGGTCCGTGCCTTTGTGAGTAAACAGAACACAGACACCGTGCAGCAGCATCCGCCTCGAGCATACACCCTGATAAAATACCTTCCGGTCATAGAGAAATAAGGATACAGAATGCTACTACTCCGTGGTAAGAGACACGCCACTTCGGCAGGGAGCAGGACGGGTACGTACGTACGTACTAAGAAGAGAGTACCTACCTACCCAAGGTAGGTACTACTCCGTACCGACTTTAGTCTACCTAGGAAGTACGTAGCATATATAGTGTGTAGAGTCTTCGCAATAGAAATACTAGATAGATGCCCCTACAGACTTCTGCAAAGTACTACTGCCACTGCTATCTGCAGAGTACTTAGTCTAGATACTACTATATGTACGTACTAGATAGTCCTAAATAGAGGGTCCGCCTCGGGTTGGGGAGGAAGTCTGGAACGGGCTGGGGATCGTCACTTCGTGGCAAAGCTGAGAAAAGTGGTCCTGTGGCTATGGAGACGACCCTTGATATTCGACGCTGCCCAACATGAGTGGATCTCTCTTCGGGTTAGCTGAGGCCTAGAACCAGGAAGCTTGGAACGGTGTGAGTTGGTTCTCATCTCGCACTGCCATCGCTATTATTATTGCACGGAATTCCAACAATGCCTCGGTACTCGATATTCCGCACCACCACCACCACCACCTCCTCCTCCTCCTCCTCCTCCTCCTCCCCCTCCTCTTCACCCCTCTTAGAGTCCAGAGGGCTGGCAGGTACCCTGACCAGGTATGTGAGGAGTTTACACATGTTGGCACTCCGCACTGAGTACTTTAGCCAAACTTCAAGGGGCGGCACTATCGCACTGTATGTAGGGGAAAGAAGATTGGTGGGTGCTGGGAAGGGAACGCAGCTGTCACCTTCCCGAGCTACTATGTAGACTAGGACAGGACCCATATTTATAAGTTCCTTCGGGCTTTGTCATCCTACTTAGTTAACTAAATAATAACTATTGTGCTGTGGTACGGAATAGAGAGGCACTTTAGGTAGTACTTAGTATCTACCGTTCGGAGTGGCTGCTATCTACTGCTACGGAGTAGATACTGAGTCGTGTTTTGAATTGTTCACTGCTAAATATCCAGAGATCTGTGGAGGATTTACCAATGATTATTGCTCCAGGACCACCCCCACTATGTAATACTCGGATTGGACTTTCTCTAGACCGGTATTCCTGTCTCTCAAGTCGCTGCAGAAGGCCATTATTGTTCCAACTTCCACGATCTAGTAGAATCGTTCTTGTCATTTCTTGGCAGGGTGACGGTGCGCCACCAGCCGATCGCCCTAGATAGACAGACACCTATGACGATTCCGGAAACATTTGCCTTCGGAGGGGGGCCAAGTCAATCTCACTCGGCACTCGTGTCCCAGTCGCCCGGAACTCATTAATGAAATTAGTAGCACCACGGCTATCCAGTGTTTAGTGAGGATTCTGATGATAGAGAGACTGGGATCGAGTGCGGAGTTTTTCGGGCCTGGTTAATCTGCAGGAAACCATGGTTCGTCGCAGATTAGACGCACCTTAGCTATGTACTACTTACTATCGAACAGCAAAGCTGCCGGGTACCGGAGTACGATATGCTATTCCGTACAATATCTTACCTAGTACATATAAAGTACTAGTAGTAGTCTAGATGTACATACCCAATAAGCAGGCATCGGTAGGCCCAAATCAGACAGTCCACGGGGGAGCCTACAGTGTAGTAGATACTTAGTTAGGCGGGAGGAGGGCCCAATGGGCCAGCCCTGGTGGACCATATACTTTGTGCCTCGTAGATAATTGAGATTAACCGAAGTGCTCCGTCGCCATCAATATAGTGTTATCTAGCCTGATCTGAACTCTGAAGCACTGTGGCAGCCAGAGGAGGGGTCCGGATCAGATAGCTCCGTCAGCCTTCGGGTATCTAGGTATTATTTACTATGGACGGGACTTGCGAATTACAGAGTCCTACAACAGGTATCTGATATATTAAACAGTCGGTTATCGGTTATATTGCCAGGGCAGAGTATTGTTTGGCAGGTAATCACGCCGCCCCACCTCCGACAGGTGAAACAGCTACAGGAACACCCAGGTCGAGTGTGGGGGAGGCCAGGAAATTACCACGAGGATGATCGCGATCCCGGCAACCCGGGCTTGGTCATACTGATCCGTACTGGATACCTACAGGTAGTACCTAGCTTACTTCACTGATGAGTCTTGTACGTATTGTTATTAGCATCATCGTCATCGTCATCGTCATTGCCATTATTATTATTGCCAGCCGCGACCTTCAAGAACCAGTTCATGGTCTAGACTAGGTCCCTCCCTACCTTAGTAATAGGCTAGTAGTAGTTACTCGGATGAGCCCGCCCAACCCCGTCCGTAACAAACCACCTTACCTACCTAGTACTATAAGGTAGGTACTCCGTATTATTTGGATATACTTGTTTGTATGGCGGTTGACGCACAACAGGCATAGAGGTAATTAAGTGTAGGCCTAGGTAAGTTTCAGACGCCTCGACAACTACTTAGTAGTTGATAAGAAGAAAAGCCAGATTGAATAATTAGAACGTACCTTAGAGGGCATCCCACAAACCAACAGAGTCGTGTGACAGGAATGGTTTGATCATGACTCCGTAAGACCGGGCGCCCCCAGTCTAGTCCGAGATTTATCGTTTGTTTACCTTCCAGGGACTCATCCCTGTCCCTGTCCGTCCCTGTCCGTCCCTGTCCCCAATCCCCATCGCCGTCCGCCCCCATCCGCCCCCGCCCCGGTCCAGGCCAGGTGCCGCATCCCGCCGCCGCCCAATTTGCTCGAAACGTCCCATGTTCGAGACTCCCCGAAGGTTGACCCCTCTGTCACCGGAATGGGTCATGTCTCGCAGCCGCCTCGCTTGCGGTGTGGCCCAGCAGGGACAGATACAGAGAGGTTCGGTACCTGACTGGTTGGGTCTAGAATCATCATTTCCGCGCGGATGGTTTGGTGGCGGCCAGAACCTGATTGATCTTGAACCCCACTCGATCTCTCGGGGTTAACGTCAATCAGTGCGCTATGGGGAGAGGGAGAGGGGGGACTCTGTGACCTGTGACCTGTGTACTGTGTAGGTATGCTAATTTGTATAGCCAGGTATGTGACAGGGGTGGGGTGTATTCACTCAGTCATTCACCTCGGATCGGATCCGAAGCAGACAAAAAGAAATACTCCCCCTAAGCAGTATCTAGATCCTTACTTGCCATCAGTGTGGTGCAGTGCAGATGTCATCTGACCCTAAAGGGTGCATGGCAGGTGCCATATGTAAGCAACCTCTTGCTATGCTTTCCGATATGCACATTGCACTATAACGAACAAAGACCACTGCGATTTCTTGGGAGACACTTCACAGCCAGGGGTACAGTGGTTTTTCACAACCAAGCATTGGATTCTTCCATAGACAACATAATGATACAATGCCCCATGGCTAGAAGAAAACAGCCCTCAGATGGCGATGCCTTTTCTCTGTGGTACCGGCTTAATATTCCTGGTTCATTCAGGTGGCTCTTTATTGACATTACATCCGAAGAACTCTTGTTATTCTGGGACAAACATCCTATCTGTCTATCGCAGGAGACTTGGCACCGGCAGGAATGGTCAACAGCAGCAAAGGGAACCGGATCCTGACTGCATGTCCGGGGTTGGCCTTTGTCCTATCATCCTTCTTCCGTGGCTTTCTTCAGTTGTTCAGCCAGTCTCCTGCGTCTTTCAATCCTTTCCATCGGACAATGCGGCCATGTTGTACATTTACAAGTACAAAGGAGTCTAAAGAGAACCAAGAGCCGAAACAAACAACTAAATGGGAGAGAAGACCGCCATGCTGTTGCCACGCATATGACTTCAAGCCATAAAAGAAATTGATACTCTGCTTTTTGTTCATCTCTTGATCATGTCTTCTCAGCATGTCAATCGTCTCATCATATATCACCCATCTTCGTCCTTCTTCTCAGCCTCATCTTTTAGAGTCTATCGTGGCTTGAGTCCTACGGAAATCAATCGATGTCGCGAAGCCTATCCATGGTTCAACCGGACTTGCCGCATCCGAAAAACCAACAACAAACGGTGGGTCATCCATGCGTATTATATTGACCGGTTGTCGGTGGACTTACTAGTCTTTTAGAATCCAACGATAATCTCTGACTGGGAGTCTCACTTTTCAAATCACTACATCCAACCTACCAGGGGATTCAAGAATGTAGTGGGACGCAAAATCAAAGGGACAACTACCAAAAAGGGAAACCTGAGCTACAGAAATACGGCGCTGACAGTGTTCCTTCATACGCCTCTTTTTCTGAACTGGTTGGAAAAATACTACAGAGCCCATGGGCGATGCAGCCGCCAGAAACGATGCCTGCTTTGTGGTTTTCATGACCTGAGTAACGCCTATTGGGGCGTTGACCCTCAGAGGACGTCTCAGGTTGAAGATATATTCCTCCCACAAGTCTGGGACAGGATACGAAAAACTTGCTGGAAAGATTTTTCGATGGAAGAACAGCATGATGTGTGTGAGTTTCTAGGAAAGTTATTTGAGCAGCTGCATCATGAAGCCGACACAGAGGGGTGAGGAGGCAATTCTCCTGCTTGCGTATAAGAGTCAGTAACTAACACCAAAAAGTGAACAGGAAGTCAAAGATATCTTCGAAATCCGAACCAGCAATGATCACACATGCCAGACGTGTTCTTATGTCATGGAAAAGCGGCCTAATAGGAAGCTCATCCTTGTTGCTGATTTTGGACCGGAAAAACAACCTGGATCCGACAGGATCACAGAGCTATTGAAGACGTCACAGCCAAAGTTTGAGGCTAACTGTGAGCAATGTAAGAAACAAACTGTGCATCTTCCACGTGAAAGGATTACCTACCTGCCGGAAATCTTTTTTGTCCAGGTAAATAGGTTCTTCTCCAACAAAAAAGATGGAACGAATAGATTGATTCACCCGGTCGAGGTCGGTGAGCAATTGATAATTCCTCCAGAGATTCTCGAGGGGCCGTTAAAAAGCGCGGAGAAGGCTTGCTATGAGCTTTATGCGATCATCTGGCACAGTGGTCAGTCAACAGTTTGTGGTCATTACACATGTGCTGTCAAGGATCCTAAGGGTCAGTGGGCATATGTTGACGACGACGCCGTTAATCCTAACCCATCAACGAAGAGAATCTTTGGCCACAGAGCTCGGCAACAAGAAGCGTATGTATTGGCATACCGGCGCCTACCGTTAGACAGGAAATTGCAGCTTGGTCCTCAGAAATTAGCCGAAACACAGGATGGATCAGGCGCTCGACCGACGACCGACGCTGGGATAGTCGGGTCTGGTCTACCAGAGCTTCTTCCCCAGACAGACCCGCCTGATGACCCATTGCCCCCACCCCAGGAGCTGGCTCCTTCACTGGAAGAGCCAGTCGTGGACCTGGATCAGGCCATTGAGTTTGTTGGAACCAATTTAAATTGGTCAGTGAAGGAGAAGCTGGCCCTTTCCACCGGATCTGGGCCTCTTATACAGATACATGGCAGAGCAAGAATCCAGAAGGCCAAGATCCAGCTCACGCTTGTCTGTGAGCAAACGGGCGAAACTCTCACTGGGGAAGGAGAAATCTCCCTTCGAAATCCCAACAGAAAATCCGAGAAGAAGGCGTCTTCCACGGTCATGAACACGAGGAGCAAGAAGGGTCAGGAAGCGGCTCCAACAACCTCTGGCAATGTAGCGAAGCCGCGGGGCAGAAGGAAGAAGAAAGTGTGAGTTATTGATTATGTATGGGTGTGCTGTCTTCGTTTGGCTTGGATAGAACCTTAATAAATTTCTACCAAACTTGTGCTTGTTGATGCTGTGACGCTATACTATATATTTATATATATATCTAACTATCATGTTTGTATTGTATGTATCCGCCCCACTTTGACTCGACACACTTCTATTTATTGTTCCATCACTACCTCCTAACTGCCCATGACCTCCAACCCGCCTGATGGAGACCATCCATACGAATCAATCCCCCCCTCAAACCACTCCTTCGACCGTACAATTCCTTGACCACCTGATCTCACGCCTTGATACCGCAAGCCATGGCCACCTGTCCGGAGGCTATCAACTACCAGCGGAACGCCGCCTTCCCTTCCCTGCTCTGAATCCATCCCAAATCCCAGAAGTCAAGTCACTGATGCTGACTCTCCACTGCATCTTTCCCAATGAACTCCTCCTTGCATTGGATATCCTGGACCGAAACCTCGTGAAGCGTTTCGTGCGTGGTGACAACCCGCCGGGCCATCCCGCCGACGCTCATGTCACCACTCCCCCAACAACAGAAGATGTCTTTCTGGTGCTTTCAGCCTCTACCAATAGCGGCATCACCACCCCGTCAGCACCCTCGAAGCCCAGACCTTCTGAACTAGACCAGAAAGGCTACGAAGTGCGCCTGCTTGCCTGGAACTGCACCTGTCCCACGTTCACGCTGGCCGGTTTCCGCAACCTCCTTGGCCCAGAAGTGGACGAGAACGAGGGTTCTTCTCTCTTACGCCCCGACTTGAACGAACCCCCCCGTAGACCAGTCGCCTTGCAGAGTCACTATTCGTTTGGCGGAACCTTGACACGGGGATTGACCAAGTCGTCGCCACCTGCCGTTTGTAAACACCTTCTTGCCTGTCTGCTGAAGGTGCGCTGCCCGGGCCTTTTTGGTCATCGTGAGAACGATGCTGTTTCCGTCAGCGCCGCGGAACTAGCGGGCTGGTGTGCTGGCTGGGGTGGATGATTCCATTCCGTGAGAGTTGCCTATGATTTAATATCTCTCATCGTGTGGGATCGATTGATGTTCAAGCGAATATTCGAATAACTATCGTGTGGTCCCTTTTCTGAAGAAGCTCATGGTTGATACAGCCAGCCACATGTTCTGCCAACGCTCGCTAATGAAGCACTATGTATTGTTTAGATAGGGGATGTAGCGTGGTAGCTGACCCTGCGAGGCGGATTTGCTGATAGACCGATCGTCGAGGCTTAATGCTGCCAAGGAAGGCATGGTGGAATGGTGGGTTCTAGAGCCAGCGACATGCTGTAACGGCAGGTGTTGTCTACGCTACTTCGTGGGGAGTGTCCCGGCCAGGCTCTGTGATGATTTGCTGCGTGTCATTGGAGAGATATTTAGACGCTCAGGAGCATTGGAAGAACCGGGAGATGATTGAAAGCAACGAAATACGAGTTTGGCGTGAGGATGTGCACCAATGGCGGATTTGCGGGCGTCTGGGATTCCTAAGATCCCAGGTATATTATTTCCATCGGTTCTCACCTCGGAGGACTTTGACGGAATACTACCGCCATGGATATCCCCAACGTACAAGTTTCCAGGCAGCTATACCTAGTAGTCGCATAGAAATTACCGTAATGTACATTTCGATGCAGAGACTGAATTGGTCTAGAATGATCATATCGCATTGAGCCTCTGGCTCACCTAGTCGCCCCGTTGTCCCTTTTTCTTGGACTTGTCCTTGGATCCATCCTGGTCCTCCTTCTGCTCCCCGTTGATAGCGCCGTTGGCTTTCTTCGCGGCCTCCTTCTCATTCTTGGCCGCATTGGCCTCCTGCTCCCTCTTCAACTCGGTCTCTTCTTGCTGTTGCCGGTTCTGAATCTTGTTCTCGATCAAATCATGGAACGCGGTGATGGCCCGGATTAAGCTACTCAAGTAGATCGCCATTAATTGGTCATTGGTCTTGATGCTCATGGCTCGCGCCAGATCGCTGTTCTCCGTTGGCTGCTCTGGCCCACCACTGATCCGCGGCGTCGCGGCCGGTGTGGAAAGGTTGGGAAGGAGGTTGAACACATCTTGAAGGTTACCCAAGATAGCGTGGTTGACCGGTAGCTCGTGGTCGAGGACTTTCTGCAGATATTGCCCAATGTCCCGCAAACGTAGATGCAGGCCTTGCAGTGACTGCAGTTGCGATGTGATGCGGGTGGAGAGGGTTCCGACAGCGACGTCCCTGATATCCCGGAGAAGGTGCTCCACTCCGATCTCCTCTGCCTCTTCTGCTTCGATTATGGACGGGGTATGGACGAAAGTCTTGGATGTCGTGGTGCCATCCTAGATCATGGTTGATGGATATTAGCTTCTCGTGCCCCCATGCAGATATGAAGATCGACGGTACACTTCAACGACTCACATCCTTGATCTCATCGACGGCAAAGTAGGCGTCTGTAGGGACGCCAACTTCCTTTGGTTGGACGTCCACAATCACCAGCAAGGGGTTTGGCGTGTATCTTTTGAAGAGTTCGTTGATTTCGAGGTCAGAAGCCCGTAACTTCGGGCCCGAGTGATACCATCCAACCAGCTTCTCGCGAGCGTTGATCTTCTTGAACATATCCCTCATCGACTCGACAAAGTTGTGATCCAAGAACCACACGGACGGGTCCTTCTCGTCCTCCTCGAAGGGCACTAGATACCTCGATGTTAGCATCGCACAACGTGGGAAGCGGAGAGAGAAAAGGCCAATGGCGCACCGGCGAAGCTGTTGGACACCCGGACATTCTGGCCGGAGTTCTCTCCCAGCAAGACACCAACCACACGTTTCCGAGTGCCCTTGGCCGAGCGACCGTAGTGATCTGCGACAGAGAGGAGAACTAATGGAGCAACGGTGACGGTCCGCTGGACGAGGGACAGGGTGTCCGCCGTGGTGGCAGGCATGGCGGAAACAGAACGAACGCGGACGAGCTGTTACCAGCAGAGAAGATGGGAACTATGGGATGGGATGGAAGGAGAGTAACAGGAGATCACAGGGGGGATTGGGATGCGGATGCGGATGAAGAGAGGGAGGAGAACGGAAGCAGAGAGCAGAGCAACAAGACGTTGATGACGATGGAGAGGAGAGAAGGGAAGCTGCTGAGCCTCTGGAGCTCCGGGCTTGCGCCACCGGCTCGTGGCTGGAGAATGGACGCCTGAGAGCCTGAGGGCCCGAGGACCAGCCACCGGTGTGGTTGTTGATGCCTCAGGCACTAGTTGGAGACACGTGTTCTGGGACTAGACCCGAGTCGGACGCTCTCTGGGTAGTTAGTGCAGGGGGATGGGGTTGATGGGGTTGATCGGGGAGATGGGGGGACATCATGGATGGAATATGGCCGGTTCTACTGCTACCTACAGAGGACCTGCGACAAGTTGCAGTCCAGTCCAAGACCGATGGCCAGCAACCCTGTCCTCGTCCGAGAAGCGGTGCCGTTCGACGCGAATTTCCCAGAACCTCGGGTGCGCGACTCCACTCTCTCCGGTCGGTCGGCCTCTTTTCACCCCCAACATGCAGTTTCTCCGTCCCCTTCTTCCCTTTCCCCGACTTTGCGCCCTTCCCCGTCTGGCCGATATCTCCTCTTTCTCTCGTCGTCCTCCCCCCTCACCCTCCTCTCCCCCTCCCTCCCTTCTCGATACCCCTCCTGATTCCCTTGCCGGAGACTTCTGAAAAGCGTTCCCCCTCCTCTTTTCATCCATCGCATCACAATGGCTCCCATCACGGAAGAGGTCGTCAATGGCCTGAAGGATGTCATCGGAAAGCTCGAGGCTCGTGTTGAGGAGCTGGAAGGCCGCCTCACTAACCAGTCAAAGCCCAAGTCGGTTGCGGAGCAGATGCGCATCATTCTCATGGGACCCCCTGGTGCCGGTATGCTTGTCTCGAACCCTTCCCCTTCGATATATCACTGTCGTTCTCTCGTTTTCCGCCCGGCGGAACTCTGACCGGTATCCCTCTTTAGGCAAGGGTACTCAGGCCCCCCGGCTGAAGGAGAAGTACTGTGCCTGCCACTTGGTAAGCAAGCAAATTGAAATCGCCCTTGGAGCCATGGACAATAAAGACTAATGCGGGCCGGAATTCTGTAGGCTACCGGTGACATGCTGCGGTCCCAGGTCGCCAAGAAGACGGCATTGGGTAAGGAGGCCAAGAAGATCATGGACCAGGGTGGCTTGGTCAGCGATGAGATCATGGTCAACATGATCCAGAGCGAGCTTGACAACAACGCCGAGTGCAAGAACGGGTTTGTACTCCCTGCACGCGACTCTGCTTACGTAGATCCCTCCAGGCAGGTTGGCTAACGGTGTGCACTTCTAGTTTCATCCTGGACGGGTTCCCTCGCACTGTTGCTCAGGCTGAGCGCCTCGACGACATGCTGGCTGCTCGCCAGCAGACGCTCCAGCATGCCGTTGAGCTGAAGATCGACGATGCCCTGCTTGTCGCCCGTATCACCGGTCGCCTGGTTCACCCGGCTTCCGGACGCTCGTACCACAAGATCTTCAACCCTCCCAAGGACGAGATGAAGGATGACGTTACTGGCGAGCCCCTGATCCAGCGTTCTGATGACAACGCGGACACCCTGAAGAAGCGCCTCGGCACCTACCACGCCCAGACCGCTCCTGTTGTGGAGTACTACAAGAAGACCGGTATCTGGAAGGGCATTGATGCCAGCCAGGAACCCGGCCAGGTGTGGAAGAGTCTGCTCGGTGTCTTCCACAAGAACTAGATGCCACCCTCGCGAAAAGAAGTTCATTGTCTTTAACGGGGAGGAAGAGATAAGAGATGTGATATGATGTCGAGGTCATGTATAGGCTTTGCTGCCTGCGCTGACAGGTTAAAGAAAGGGAGAAAAAGTCCTGCATTGACCGGGCATGGAACTTGTCTTTCTAATGTCCTTATATAGACAGATACCCTCAGGTGGGGATCTATCTGATATGTATAGTAGTAATTTTCTTTTGCGGAATTCGAACCAAATTCGGATGAGACGATTCAACTCGGCTCCTCCAACATGATCATGTAAACAAACCCGGTACCTATATTTCATGGATTTTGTTTGGCTGACGCCAACACGTGCCACTTCCCAGGTTACGCTCATGGGCTGGTCATTTGTGTGTATCACAAACAACAGCGCCACCATTCCGAATGCGTTTAAGGGACTGCCATGTAGCCTAGAATACTAGATACTTTACAACACCGTCGGGTATACAGTGGACTCGATCTTCTCCGGATACGTCAATCCACCCTGTCGCCTAACCTCATCCATGACTTCCATGATGGTAATGCTCTCCTCCCACGGAATGGTCTCACTTTCCAGCTTCCCATCGCGGAGGCATCGCGCGACCTCGTCCGCCTCCCAGAACATACCCTTCCCATCACCAGGGAACGGACATTCAACTTCCTTGAGCTCTCCCTCACCCTTGACGGGAATAATGCGGTACCGTTCGGGACGGAAAGCCGGCCCATCTACTTGGATCTCGCCCTTGGTGCCTTGGATGCGAATTGCCGGACGGGCCGAGTTGGTCTCATCAGGATCCGTCGATACCCGGAGATGTGTCATCGCCACAGCCTGCGACTGACCTGGATGGGGAAGATTGGACGGTGTGCTAGTCGGGAAGCTCAGGAGGATCGTAGTCGCTTCATCGGCCCCGGTCAGATGATAGAGCGTCATATGGGCAGAGATGGCCGAGGGCGGTTTCCGCTGGTCCCGGGGAAGGGTATGATACAAGGTTTGAAAAGCCCAGGTCAACGAATAGACACCCACTGTAAATACGTGCTGGTCAGCTACATCCACGCTTACACACGGGCAGCATAAGATGCTATAGACTGGACGGATGGGGAAGACCTACAATCCAGCAAACACCCACCCGCCAGATCCTTGTTGACCATCCGATGCTCCGTTCCCCATTTCTCCTCGACAGGGTCCCCAAAACTGTTGTCGGAGATAACCCGGAGCACCTCACCGATGGCGTTGTTTTTGATCAGGTCCCTGACCTGAATACTCAGCGGGAAGTACCGCGTCCAAACGGCCTCCATCAGGAACAGCTTCTTCTTCTGGGCCGTGTCGCATAGGATCTTAGCCTGGGAGGCATTGACGGTGAAGGCCTTCTCGCAGAGGACGTTCTTCCCCGCTTCGAGGGCAAGCATCGCATTCTGGAAGTGGTGAGAGTGCGGCGTCGCGATATACACGACGTCCACGTTGGCGTCGACCACGAGTTCCTCGTAGGAGCCATAGGCAGCACAGGGAGCCGGAATACTGGTGTCTGAGATGAACTTCTCCGCCCGGGCTGAAGACGATGACGATGCCACTGCGACGACTGTGTGGGAGATATCGGATGCGCCGCGGATTTTGGGGTCTCTCAGCAGATCTCGCACGAAGGCTGTTTATTGGAGGGCAAAGACGTGAGATGGAGTGTTCGCGAGGATTGGGTGAAGGGTCAAGAGACATACTATCAGCGATCCATCCTGTCGCTATACGGGTAGAAGAGTATTGTACGCATTGATTAGCCTGAGAACTGCGGAAGACGACTGATTGTCTGGGGGGGTGCGGGGATCTATCTTACCCATGATACCCCACCGAACGTTGTAGGGAGCCATTGTTGAATGTGGTTGCGAGGCCAAATGCGACGTTTGAGTTGGATTGGTGCTATGGGATAGGTGGAAGGTCCAGCGCCGACGGGGGGAACGACGTAGTACTTATAGGAAGAAAGGCAGCTGCTCTCAAGTGTCCGATATACCTAGCATCTCTCGAGCCTACCGCGGAGTTGCGCCGAGTGGGGCACGGGCAACCCGCCGACGTCATTTACCGACCATCCTTAATCTCTCCATAGTAAATAAGACAACTAGATACTGTATAGGTTGTGTTTCTTGGGTCTGATTCGGTTCTAGGAACGAGTACTATATACAGGGCAGCAAGCCCGGGGGGGAAGTGTGTGCGCATGCGTGCGTGCTGTGATCCATCACCATCACTTGCCCCGGAACGCCCAGTGGAAGAAGCAATGTCGTCTTTCTTCCAATGCAAAACTAGGAGAGAAACAGCCGCCAGCTGGATGGATGATGCATCTTCGCTCAAAAGCAGAAAACATCGAGAGGAGGTGCTAAGCGAATAAAGTTAAGAGAAGAATGAAGAGGAACGGGTGAGTGGGTGGGCAATGCCCCCCCGTCACATGGGCTCGGCCTTGATTCGCATGTGTTGACCCGGAGAATCCGTTCCCTACATGGGTGATTAGCAAAGGACCGCACAAATAAGCCTTCGCGAACACTCACCTCTGCCTTGCGTTTACCCAGCACGGAGTCAGGGGTTCCAGTTCGCCCAGAGGGCGTTCCTCGGCTGGCTGGAGGAGGCCCGTCCTTGGTCACTTCGGCATAGCAACTAGCGTGGTAGACGCGACTCCCAACCTTGATAGCATCCTGCCAAATCCAATCCTGGACATCTTCGGACCACGTTGACTCAAACTTCTCCTGGCAGATGGGACAAGGAGTGTTTCGCAATGCTGCATCGTTCGGTGCGTGGATCCATTGCTTTGGTGGCCCTTTCTTGGCCATAGGGCCGTCGCCCCCAGCAGCACTCTCAGTGGCCGCCTCCGTGTCCACAAGTCCCTGGTCATCCCCTGCCTCCCGAGATTTGATCCAGTCCTATGAAAGGTCAGAGTTATGGCAATAGGGTTATCGATAGATATGGTTCGGTCACTCACCCGCTCGTCGACATACCAGCTGCGGTTCTGAGCCCGCCTGCCAGCCTCTGACATGCGCTGGTTGGTCCGGAAGTGCCAATCCAAGTGACGTGCTTTCTTTTCCTTTCCTTCTTCGGTTGCAAAAAACCGCTGACCGCAGGTACCACACCGATTTGACCGTACCTCGTAGAGGCTGGCAATCAACGTCTGTCGGGGGCTAAATGTTCATTGGAGTTTAGCGGCGTGGAAGACAATCTAGGAGGCGCATGCAACTCACATTTTCATGGAGGCTGTATTCATCTGAACATTTGTCTGGTCATCAGATGTGCCTTGTGCCTGTGACGTCGGCACAGGAGGTGTGAATCGCATCTGGCCAGGCATCACCAACGGGAACGCGGACGCAAGGTTGGCCGGAGTTGCAGTGGATGGGGCCGGGGGGGCAGAAGCGGGAGGCAGTAGGCCTTGTGCTCGAAGAGCTGCAATGAGAGGATTCTCTGGTGCTGCGCTGATGTGTGGTTGTGGGGTGCTACTACTCGTTGGCATCTGGGGCAGAATATTCGAAACCTGTGGCGGCGGAGTGGGCTGCTGCCGCGTTGCAGTAGCTTTGATAAGCCCGGCGAGCGTACCCGGATTGAGGAGCTGCTGGAGGGGCTGCGAGAGGGTTTGGGCGGGTGGAGTAGCTATAGGAGGCGTTGACACGACTGGGAGACTCGGCGCAACGGTTTGGGGGGCCGATATAGCGGATTTTGGTGCAAGTGCCGAAACCTGGTCACGGACAAGCCTTAGCTGCTCTTGGGTGAGCTCTTGACGCTGCAAGATACCCTGAAGGTCCAAGAGGGCCTTCAGCCGTTGCTGCACAGATGGGTCCAAGGGATTGTTGGCAAAATCACTTCTGGCGGTTGCAATTAGAGCTTCGATGTCTCGGTTGAGAGCTGAGAGATCAACAGCTGAGCGTTGCTGGGCCTGAGGAGTTGGGGTTGCTCGTGCGGGATATGATTCACCCTGTGGAGTACATTAGACATGTGCCATCCATCGCCCGACGCTTCGGGGCTTGACAGGGGCTTACCGAGGAGGGATATCCATGACCAGTCCCATTGCGCTGGTAATGCACAGGCACAGCCTGATTAGCCGGGGGCGGGTACCGACCCATATTCTGCGGAGGCGTCGGACTGTTGGTCCAACCTGGGGGGGTTCCAACACGACCACGGGTGAGGATCTCCTGCTGGCTTCGAGCTTGTTGTTGCTGGAGAGCCGCGGTCCTTGCCTTGATCAAAGCGCTCTCGATGCTGCGGGTGATTTCTGGAGGGAAGACAGGCCTGGTGTCCAAGGACCCCGGAACGGGTTCTTTCCATGTCTTCAGCATCTCGTCCAGTTTTCTGCGCGTCTGAGAGTCGACCAGCGTGTAGGCGTTCATAAAGGTCTGATACATGTTGCGACCCAGGAACAGGGTGTAGGGCGTGCCTACGTTCTTGACGATCGAGTCGACTACATACAAGGCAGGCAACTTTTGAGCCGGCGGTGTCTACACAGCAGATTAGAACCCATTCAGCCAAAAAAAAAAAAAAAAAAAAAAAAAAAAAAAAAAAAAAAAAAAAAAAGAAGACTACAGACGGTCGTGCGCCTCGCCAGGGCCATCAAGAGCACCTCGGCGTTCTGAGAGCGTGTCACCTACAGTTCGAATGTGGTTCTCCAGCACGCGGGAGATGGCCATCGCATGTTCTGTGTTCTCCTTGGCTATCACAGTCAAATTGCTGATCTGAAATCTGTCGTTGGTCGTTAGATCTTCCAAGGAGTTCTTGTAGTCCTCGGCCACTTCGTCGGAGGCCAACCCAGCTGACATGATGGGCAGATACTCAGGCAGCGGATGCCGATGATGGGGGGAAAGGGGAAGTGAGAAGGTGGTTAGGATATAGACAAAGAAAGATATGGACGATGGGAAAGTGTTAAAAAGAGGGCGTAACACTCGGGGATATTTGGGCTCCTGCTGAGCCTTTCTGCTTTCGTCCCCCTCCTTTTTTATGTTCTGCCTTCTGTTCTCCTTGGCCGGTTCTGCTTTTTGTTCGGGCTGCTGTCCTTCTGGTCTCAAGAGCTTGTCTTTTTTCCTGTCTTTGCTCGGTTTTTCTTTTTCCTTTCCTTTCCTTTTCTCTTTTCCTTTCCGTTCTTTTGTCCTCTTTTATACACTGTATATAGAAGTCCTATTCCTTCCCTCCTTTGTTTCTTTCCAAATAAAAAAAAATGTAATAACAGTCTCCTGAAAGAGTAAGAGATGAGAAGAGCAGTCGGAACTTGTAGAATGCTTGCTAGCTATCTTGGTCAGACTTGAGACAACAACAAGAGGCCGCAAGTGCAAATCCTCCACCCGATCCCAAGTCAACAAAGAACCCGTGCTACAACTCCCCGTTAACCCAGTGCCAATCTATCTTATAAGATCACCTGTGCCGATTGACCCTTCCAGTAGACAGCAACTCGTAGAGGAACCAAATGGGTTGAAAAGGCAGGAGGGTATGTTGGTGTGAACTAGATAAATTGTCTCAGTAGCACACGACGTCGACAACCAGGCGGAAGGAAAAAGCAGAGATCTGGATAGCCACCCAAGACAGGCGCAAGAGATCTGGGAGCAGGAAATGGAGGGAGAGGGAAGGGGAGCAATTAGAGAATTAGAGGGGGGGAAGGCGAAGGAGGTGAACGAAGATGAGGCAGACTCCGAAAGCTGCGCTCGTGAGTGAGCGAAGGAAGGAAGGACCGGCGAGCAGGAAGGCTGGCTGAGTCAGCGACCCTGAGAGCCAGCCTTCCGCTAGGCTCTTTCAGGAAAGGCGGAAACAGCTTTTGACTAGGCCTGATCCGGTAACACGGGTATGACGCAGTCACACGCCGCTATCCATCCATTCACATTGACATTGTTTCAAGTCCACTTCATACCTTCCAACACCATCATATGCAGCCCTTTTTCACTTACTGGTGATTTTGCTGCATCCATTAACAGATCAATCCTCTCATCGAGTGCAGTACGAGCTCTTAAGATGAAGCTTTTGTCCGCTACCATTATAGGGTTGCTTCCGTTGGCTCTAGCCAACTCGATCCTGGTTACTTTCCCGAAAGGAACCCCCGATTCAGTTGTTGATCGGGCGAAGAAATCGGTTGTGGATTCTGTATGTAGCCAGGTATTGCTGGGGCCATTGATAGATATATGACTGACCGTCTTCTGGCAGGGGGGCATGATCACACACGAGTACAGTAAGAGAGGCTCCCCTCCCTTGTTTCTTTCGCCCTTCCCATTGAACCTTGGTGCTAACTCTTTCTTCGCTATAGCTTTGATCAAGTAACTTTCTCCGCCAGCCCCGTCGTTGCTAGCGCTGACAAACTCCCAGGGGATTTTCTGCCAACGCTCCGGAGGCAGCGGTCCAGCAGATATCAACCGAGTCTGCGGCATACAGCCCCCATATCGAGGAGGACCTGACTGTCTCGACCCAGTAAAGAAATTCTGACGGGTTTCACGGCATAGAGGCGTTCGTGTCTCTCCTTCGTCCCACGCCATGACAACTATCCCTTCTCCCGCTGGTCTCGGGACTCGAACGTCAAAACTTCAGCAATGAAAGGGAAACATTAGGTATACTGTAATTCACGACTGCTATGGCTTATTGGGGTTTTCGTTAGGGTGCCGCAATGTTTATCTTTTTGGGGGGGGGGGTTGTCTATAATTGCTGGTCGCTATTGGACTGCCCCTCCCCCCTTTTTATTCTTTCTTTTCTTTTCGAATGTCATGTGAATTGGAGATTGTTCTTTTCATTCAACGATTGGTCTACTGTACATTTAAATATAGGTCAGTGATTTCGTCGCCTTTCAGAGCCAGGAGCATGTAGCATGGATGTCTGCTTTCCGCGCGTGGTTGAGCGACAAGCGGGACCTGGCGGTTGGTATTTATAGCCCGTAGATGCGCGTAGCGTGGATCCCGCCTCCAACTCCCCGGAGGCGCTCGACTCGAAAACGGACCCCTTCGAGGCCAGTCCTTCCTCCGCCGCCCAGATCTCAACCTCACCGTGCTGAGGTGGTGTCGATTTACCCCTCCTGGCTCCAATCGGAAGACGACTGCAAACCCCAGCCATTCCTGAGATTCGCGTCCCCCTCCCCCTCCCCGCGCCTCGTTGACCCCGAGATCCAGTCCACCACCGACCATGGCCGCGGAACATACCGTCACGCAAGCTCTGTTGGAATGGATCAACAGTTTCGCTCTGGGAAAGACTATCCGGACGACGGAGGAGCTGTCGGATGGAACTATCATCTGGGAAATCCTACAGGACATTGATCCGCAATATTTCCTGGATGAGATCCCTCAGCGCGCCCCGTCCGACCACTGGCTATCCAAATGGCAGAACCTGAAACATATACACAAATTGCTCGTCAATTACATCCGTCAACAGCCCGATGGCATGCCGTCCGGTCTCGATCCAAATCCAAATCTAGAACTGGTCGCCGAGAAAAACTCCGTCAAAGAGGCCAATAAACTCCTTAAGCTACTTCTGATCGCCGCCATCCGGTCGCCCAACGCGCAGACCTATGTGGAGACCCTCCAAAGCCTAAGTACGCCAACGCAAGAGGCTCTCAAGAACATCTTCGAGGAGGCTCAGAATGGACAGCACGAAGCCATTGATGGCGAGGACGACGTCAAAGAGGAGCGGGAACTGCCCGTCGACCCCGAACTGCAGTTCGAGGAACGGGTAGGGAAGATGCTGGCGGAAAACAATCGGATGGCGCGTGAGAAGAAGGAAATGCAGAAACAAATCGACGATATGCACGACCGCTTGGCGCGCCTCCAGGAGAACAACGATACCCTACAGAGTCGTCTTGCCTCGACGGAAGACCGGCTGGTCAACCTACGTTCTGGAAAGGGGGATCTTGGGCTCAACGCAAAGGCTCTCGAGTCCAAGTCCCGTCAACAGGAAGATATCATCGCCACTCAGGAGGCAAGACTGGCCACGGCCCAGGATGAAATTGACAGCCTGCGAATGACCGTAGAGTCTCTCCGTGTTAAGAACCAACGCTTCCAGAAGTTACAGGATGACTACGATGAGCTCAAGACCGAGCGAGATCAGCTTGCTCGCAAGGCGAACGCGGCTGAGAAGTACCGCCAAAAGCTTCAGGCTAGCCAGGATTTCGAGAAGGAGAACCAGTCCCTCAGGAACCAAATCAAGGACCTCCAGCAACAGCTCAAGGAGGCGGATTCACAGCAGAAATGGAACTCTGAGCGAGAAGTAGAGCTTGAGGAATACCGCAGAGTCTTGCCACGCATCGAACAGGAATGCAGTGAAATCCAAAACCTGAAGAAGCAACTCGAATTTAACAACCATGCCCTCACGGAGCGTCTCAGTAATGCCGAAGAACAGCGCGAACGCGATGACGCTCTGATAAGCGAGCTTCGAGAGCGAGTCCGCGAATTGGAAGGGTCCCCAGGAAGCCCATCTCTTACGCCGGGCACTGAAACTCCCAAGCTCGAAGGAACCTTGCAGAAGGATTTCGAGGCAATCGGAGTGAAGGAATCTCAACTGTTTGGACATCCCTTCACATCGCAATCGTACTCCCAACTGACACCGTACAGGAAATCCGAAAATGAGGAACTCAAAAAGGAAGTTGAATTGCTCAAGGGACCATCAGTATCTGTATGTTCACATCGCATGGAAATTTATGTCCTTGGAACACCGCTGATGAGGTTCCGCAGATAGGTTCACCGTTGGAAGGTTTCTCTGAAGCTTTTGGCGAAACGCTACAACAGGCTCGCGCAAACTCTTCACAGAGGTACAGTCGCTACAATCGCTAATGTTTGCCCGGTCTGGGTACTAACGCAAGATATAGTGATGAGTACTGGAAGCTGTACGAACAGTTTACATCGGTTCTGAAGAAACTGGCCGAGGCCCAAGACGCTCTCGATGTTACTAAGAGGTCGTTGAATGATGCCTTGACTGAAGGTAAGTGGCCCCAGCATGCAGAGAGAAAGAAGACCATTCCGCTTATACATTCACAGTTGAAGTTGCCAACCGGGAGAGTATCGACCTAATAACCGAAGTCAAAGCGAATAACTCGTCGGAATTGGTCAAGGCCCGCGATGATGCGGACGATGCCATGCGCAGAGTATCCATTCTTCAGGCCGAGCTTGACTCGACCCAAGCTTTAGTGCAGGTAACATGCGCTGAACGGGATGATCTCCGAAATCTGCTTGAGAAGAAGCAGGCGGAATTCCGGGCGGAGGATCAAGAAGCTGCGGAGGAAATGAAGAAGCTGCTTGCCGAACTCACCGCACAGGAGAACACGGATGATCCAGAGGCTGTTCAAAAGTCCGCCGTGGAACTCACAAGACAAGTCGCCGCTCAGATTGAAAAGAATCTGGAAAGGCTGGCGAAGCGCGCAGAGGTCAGTTACAAAGAAACCCATCGATGTTCAGCCCACTTCAACCCAAGCCATACCATAATCACCCGTTTCGGGGGCTTCAGCGGCCGGAGAAAACGCCTCGACGCTTTTGCGGATCGGCCGTTGGGCGATTCGGCCCAGATTTTGGAAGCGAAGGTCCCCAGCCTATCGCGTCTGGGTCGATTTGCGGTTAAACGGTTCTGGCGTTGGAGCTTGGTTGCGACGCCCTTGATACACACTCTCTTCCATCTACAGTTCGCAGCCCCAGATGCTAACATAATCCATCTTGCAGTACATCCATCAACAGAATGAACACATCAAGTTCCTCCAGGAGCGCATAAGACAAGCTGAGGAAGACACAGATGAAGGAATCAGCAAAGAGCGCGAAGTAAGTACACATATTTTCCAACAACGGAATATTCAACCACGCCACTGGCTTTCCGACTAACCGCGTTTGATTTCCTGCAGCTCGAGCTTCAGAAGGTAATCGATGCCCAAGCGCGCGAGCTGGCTCTGATGAGTTCCTCTTGGTACGAACTCCAGAGTCGATTACAAAATAACAACATCAGCATGTCTAGATATCGCCACGGGTCCCTCGCCGATGCCCAGAAGGGCTGGTTGGCCAGGCAGAGAAACGTGGTCGCTGGTCGATAAAGCTGGACCATCTTGTATATAGGGATATGGCTACCTTTTCTTTTCTTCGTACATGTCGTTGTAATGCCTATTTCCCCCCTCCCCCTCTTTTCCGGCCGTTCTGCCCCCCCTGCTGTCTCTATATAGTTACCTAGGTTGCTGTTCTTATACCTTTGCACATACATACTCCTGCGCCGCACTATACCAGCATTTTGCGGCTCGGTTATCCGGTTTGCTAGAGGTTGGTCAAAGTTTCGAGGGAAATGTGCCTTCGGAGGCTGTTATATCGAGATGAACATGACGAAGGCTTCTTTGTTCTTTATATAGACATATCCTTTTTACATGGTCTAGCCATAGATGCAGCTCATAATATACATAGAGGTAATACAGAGTTCATAGGGGAACTGTCAAATGTTTGTCCCCTGGCATCCCGAATGGTGCGGGTTGACTTCATTACACCCATTGTCTAGGGTGTCTTAGAACGTCCATGATCTCTTTCTCACGCTCCTTGCCCTCTCCAATCAGTTCTTCATCACCTACGTCATGGCCCTCAGTGCGGGTACCGGACACAGCATCCATATAGGCCCAGCTTGCGGTGCGGGGAAGACTCATCAGAATACTTTCAATGCGGGCATTCGGAGTGCGGAGACCGAAGCTGGTTCCACGGTCATACACCAGATTGAATTCCACATAGCGACCACGACGAAGCTGTTGCCACTCTTTCTGCTCCGGTGTGAACAGCATGTCCTTACGGCGTTCAATGATGGGGACGTAGGATGGGAGGAAGGACGCAAGGCCATCCGACACGAAAGAGAACAGCGTCTCCTGCGGGTTTTGCGATGAGGTCGACGAGGACTCTAAGAAATTGGCGTCGAGATCATCGAAGAATATGCCTCCGACGCCTCGACATTCGCGACGATGCGGGAGATAGAAGTATTTGTCGCACCAGGCTTTGAACTTCGGGTAATACGTGGCGTCATGGCGATCACAGGCGTCCTTGATTGTCTGGTGGAAGTGCTTTGCGTCTTCGGGGAAGAGATAAATCGGAGTCAGATCCGTACCACCGCCGAACCACCAATTCTTGTCGCCATTGATAGGATCCTTGGGGTCCGAGGTCTCGAAGTACCGGTAGTTCAGGTGAACCGTCGGGGCCATGGGGTTATGGGGGTGCAAAACCAGGGACAGGCCAGCCGCAAAAAAGCTCAATGAGTCCACGTCGGCGCCGACGAAAGATTTGTGGTCTGCGCGCATCTTTTCAATGGCGGGACGAGGCAGTTCGCCATAGACAATAGACACATTGACACCGGCCTTTTCGAAGACATTGCCGTCCTGGAGAACGCAAGATATCCCACCTCCGCCGTTGGGGCGCGACCAAGTATCGGTTCGGAATTGCGTCCCATCTATTCTGCCTAGCTCTTCTATGATCTTTTGCTGGTGATCCTTGATCAACTTCTCCATCCGTAGGCGCATCGGGGATGATTCGCTGATCGTTGTCTGTTTCTTTAACGTCTCATCGAGTTCGACGATCGACGGGGAGTCAAGTTCGGTCACTTCTTCGGTCATCTGCGTACATAGAAGTCAGACTGGGGTACCAATGCAAAACAGGGAGCGGCCGGTTTTACCATGGAGTAGATCAAAGCAGCGATGAATGGCACCCCGATGGCGAGTCGTAGGTATGGTCTCCAAACAGTGAAGTTCTTTTTTTCACCAGATTTCTTTTCCGTGGAGTACCTGCGGAAAGGCGCTGGGATGTGACGAGGTGTGCGACAAGTTCGAGATGACAATTGGCAGAGCGACCTCCGAAGAGGCATATATGGCCGGGGTAAGGCCATGGTCGGAGGGCAAATGGAATTGGCTGATCCGCCAGAAGATCAGGTGGTGCTGGAATGCGCCGATTTCAAGACTCAGTCCGACCGAGCTCCGCCTATTATTGGGGGGCAATTAGTGGGCTTGATGTTTGGAAATGGGCGAACTAGTCAACTCATTTGCTCCGAAGCCGTATGGGACCACCTGCGGTCTCGATATTCCCGAATGTCTGAGGGGATATGCTGCGGTTTGCGCGGTTTGCATCTGTTGCATTGTTTGTCTGTTGAGTCTGGCTGAGATAAGCGGTTTGCCTGGTTTGCATATCCTTATCGCCTGAACACTCTGGCAGCAATACGCATACAGGGAACTCCAAGGTAAAGTACTAGTACTACTACTAGTAGTAGTCACTGGAATCCGTTGTGTCTGCTTATTTATTCAATTCAACGGTAGTCACTGGTACACTCTACCTAATATTCAGCAGTCCAAAGGTGGTGCGCAGTACTCCGTAGTAACTACAGAAACCCAGGATCTTCACAGGATGCTGGTGCACAGTACTCTGTATGGTTCTAGATCTAGCAGTAGTGGTAGCGGGATAACACCCCATAATCTAGTCGCTGATCCAAGTGGAGGCTGACCCGAGCTATCAGCAGTTCAATCTTTCTGACGCAACCCCGGTGATTCATATTGCACACAGATCGATGGCCATCAAGCGGGATCATCCGACTCTGGTCATTTGCGCACTGCACCAAATCCACGTGCAGAGATGACGATTTCGTCTTATCAGGAGGATGATGGGTGCAAGCCCAGGCACATGACCCGGCCTGACTCACGTGTGGGGCCGCTCACCGCCTCCACCCCGTGATCCCGTCCTGCCTGGCGGCCTTATCAGCCGTTCGTCTCACTGAATGACGCGGGGCTGTCGCCTTAACTCTCCCTGAGTCCCTATTACTGAGTCTACTCCTACTGGTTAGTACTGACCTGCCTGCCTACCACCTTTTGTCATCCACTCCCCCCCCCATCCATCCATCCATCCATCCATCTATCCATCCATCCATCCAACTCCCCCCCTCTTTACCCCTTATCCATCGCCTTATCTTCCCGATCTGACCTCGTCATTCTTCCAACCTCTCCAGCGCTTTCCAACCAGGACTTTCTTTCACCAGAAGCCATCAAATCCACCCCCGATCTATCCATCACGATGCGTTCCAAGTTCAAGGATGAGCACCCCTTCGAGAAGCGCAAGGCAGAGGCCGAGCGTATCCGCCAGAAATACGCCGATCGCATCCCAGTATGCTCGCCCTTGACTTCCCCCCGTCGCTGATCCGGTCGATGTCTTCTTGGGGGCCTGGGTCTTAGTCTCACCGCTTGTTCGAGATGCTAATCCGTTGTCTGCTCCCAGGTGATTTGCGAAAAGGTCGAGAAATCAGATATCGCTACCATCGACAAGAAGAAGTACCTTGTCCCTGCCGACCTTACCGTTGGACAGTTCGTCTATGTCATCCGTAAACGAATCAAGCTCTCACCCGAGAAGGCGATCTTCATCTTCGTCGACGAGGTCCTGCCACCTACCGCGGCTCTCATGAGCAGTATCTACGAAGAGCACAAGGATGAAGATGGGTTCCTCTATATCACGTATGTTCCGACTCCGACCCTACAGCCGAGACTCTGGGCACATACTGACCCCATCCTCCTGGCAGGTACTCTGGCGAGAACACGTTTGGTGAATGCTAGGCGCTAGGCCCATATCTACTTTCCGTTTTGCTTGAATTTTCCTTTCTTTCTTTCTTTCTTAATTTTGAAGTGAATTCGTCGCTGCCATGATCAAGTTGGCTCCCTCCAGACCACCCCTGTCCGGGATCCCTGTAGGACGCGGGGGTGCGAGGGCGAGCTCGACCACGCTGTGACGTACTTCTCCCTCTCTGTGCTGTACGCGGGCGTTAATCTTGGGGCTCTTCATTTTCTTCGTGACCTCTCTTGGCGAACCTATTCTTGATCAGATGGTAGTTTTAAATCGAATCGAAACAGTCGTTGACCATAGTTAAGCGAGGAGGATGTTTGCTACCGAGGCGTACGTACGTCGTATAAGGCCTCTCTCGTTGGGCCTCCGCAGAGCACCTGCTGGTGGACGTATCACTATCTACGGAGCACTACTCCGGATACTGGGTCACTACTGGGCAACTAGTTAGTTAGTTAGTTAATAGGTAATCGGCTGACCTAATCAGGGCCAGCTCCGATAGCCGGCCGAAGATGCCAGGCCCGAAGTGGACTAGTGGCGCTGGGCCGCCGCCGCGACGCTTGGACGGTTCCGAGTCGGCGCAGAAAGAAAGTACAGTAGTCTCTCTCTTTCTTCTCTCTCTCTCTTTCTCTTCCTTGGTGTGCGTCTCCTACTTCTTTCCCTTCGCTGCATTGCCTGGCTCCGGTTGTGGTCACTCGTCAATCCTCGCTGCTGACCTTGCCTCGTCTTCTGATACTTCTTTCCGACTTTCGTCTTCCTTCTGAATTTGGTTTTTTCCCCCGACCTCCCCGAGTGAGAAAAACAAAGTCAAACGCCTCGGAAAATTTTATACGGCCCATTTCTTGCCCCCCAAGTGCGCCAAATACAACTCGGAATTTTAGGAATAAGATGTCTCCCGCTATCGCCGCCGGTGCTGGCTCTGCCGCCAAGGATGTCAAGAGAGAATCCGCAACTGCTCGTCTGTTGGGTTCCGGTATGTGTATCTTCTCACAAACCCGCTGGGTTGCGAGCTGTGACTGACTTGTGACTCATTTGCAGGAACCGCTGGAATCACGGAGCTCATGGTCTTCCATCCCGTACGAATCCTCCCCCCCTGGGAATGACTCATGGATTGCTCTCTGACGGCGGAAATACTGACGCCCTACCAAGGTTGATACCATCTCGAAGCGGTTGATGAGCAACCAGACCCGGGTACGATATTTCGCGGCGCATGCTCCGCTCTCCCTCTGGGTGCTTTTTACTGACGGTGTGCTGGGATTAGATTGCCTCCTCCGCTGAATTGAACAAGGTCGTCTTCAAGGAGTACGCCACCGCTTCCGCTGGCACCAAGTTCACCTCCCTCTTCCCCGGCTTGGGTTATGCTGCTGGCTACAAGGTCCTCCAGCGTATCTACAAGTACGGTGGTCAGCCTTTCGCGCGTGACTACCTGGCTCAGCACTACGGCACTGAGTTTGACAATGCCTTCGGAAAGGGTACGGGCAAGGCCATCATGCACGCCACTGCTGGAAGGTTCGTACTTTGTAGTACTCAGTTAGGGGCGGTTCCTTTGGGCTGACTTGGTGGAATAGTTTGATCGGCATTGGAGAGATTGTCCTTCTGCCTCTGGACGTCCTTAAGATCAAGCGTCAGACTAACCCCGAGGCATTCCGCGGCCGTGGCTTGTTCAAGATCATCTCCGACGAGGGTATGGGACTCTACCGTGGCGCTGGCTGGACTGCGGCCCGTAACGCCCCCGGTTCATTCGCGGTATGTCTCCTCGGTCACACTCCTAGTCTACGTTCTAGTCCGGTACTAATCGTCAATAGCTCTTCGGTGGTTCTGCTTTCGCCAAGGAGTACCTGTACAGCCTGCAGGACTACAACACCGCTAGCTGGTCTCAGAACTTTGTCGCCTCTGTTTGCGGTGCCAGTGCCTCTCTGGTTGTGTCTGCTCCTCTGGATGTGATCAAGACTCGTATCCAGAACCGCAACTTCGAGAACCCCGAGTCGGGCTTCCGCATTCTGTCCAACATGGTCAAGAACGAGGGTGTCACCAGTTTCTTCAAGGGCCTGACGCCCAAGCTGCTGATGACCGGTCCCAAGCTCGTTTTCAGCTTCTGGCTGGCTCAGACGTTGATCCCTGCGTTCGGCCAGGTCGTATAAAAGTTGACGATAATCTGATTATAATAGCGAGTGTTTCTTATACTTCCCCCTTTTCGGGATGATTTTTACTTCATGTTCTATTCTAGGGCTTTTTTGGTGCTGCTTTAGAGCATTCTTTTGGGCCTTTCTGTATTTTTGGATAGAATCTTTTCCCTTCGTCTTTGATCCGATTTCATGGGTTCAAGATGTTATGCCTATCGGGCATGAAGAAATACAACTCCTCTTAATTCACTGACTCGGAATGCTTCCGGTAGACATGTCGGACCTTTGGCATGCAGGTTGGGGCGCAAACCTCTGACAAGCACCGCCAACAAGTACTGCGCAGAGTAGATACTACCTGACGTGTTTCTATCACAACATACGCAGCAAACCCACCGCTGGCCCACTACCAACTACCAAATTATTCCCGACCACATATCTCCACTCCTTGAGCTAAAATTGTATCTCCCACGCATGGGTTATCGCTGAAGCTGATCCACTATCACGTGATCATATTTCCCCGGACGCGCCAACTCCGTGAAATAAACTCGCACATACACCTCCCAACAAACATCCAACGCAGAGACCCGACCCTGCCCAAAATGCCCGTCTACCTAATATCCAAGTACGTCGTACATATATCCCTCATGCCACGCACACCCATCAAGTCCTCCAGTCGGCACTCCCCTCCGCGACCGATATCGCAACACCTACCTACTTACCTACTTACCTACCTGATTTCTGCACGATCGATTGATCACACTGAGCTAGCTAACACCATCTCTCTCCTCAACAATCTAGAGTCGCAGACCCCATCTTCGCCCTCGCCATCGGCACCTCCGCCGCCCTGCTACGTATCCAACGGGACCAGCGCGAGAAATTCCCCGAGCGGGCGAGCTCGATAGGCATCGGGGGTGTTTTGCAGATGGGCACGAGTCGGGTGCAGAGGTGGTGGGCGGGCGATTTTAATGGTCTTTAGAAGGAGACAGGGAGGGAGGGATAGTCACTCATCCTCATACTCAAAAACACATACAATAATGATCTTGTTATGTTCTTCTGCTACTTGTTCTTGTTTGTTAACTGGGTTTGTTATATATTACCAGGGGGAAGGGAGGGAGGCTTTGCGGCTGGATGGCTGGCTGGCTGGAGTTTTGCGATGGGAGTGGAGGCTTTCTCGCTCGCTCGCTCTTTCTCTCTCTCTCTCTCTCTCTCTCTCTCTCTCTCTCTCTCTCTCTCTTGCGTCTATACACATCTCTTGGGTGGCATCATGCGATGGACTAACTGACCGACTGAATGGGCATTTAGAGTGTAATGTAAGTAAGATCTTTGGTGATCTAGATATGGAAGGAAGACAATCAATGGATGGGTTTGCTGGTTTCAAATCTATCTACTTTCTACACAGATATATACTCGCGATATAACCTGGGGTGGAATGGAGTTGTACACAACCCCAGCAAAGTGTACCAGAAAGTGGCCAGGAGCCCGCCCCAAGTCTACCAGATATTTTTTCGATTCTTGATCGAATGCCATTCAGAATATGGATGGAGTGTTATAGTACCCCGTACTACATACAGTATTACGAGTTTACCACAAGAAACGGCAATATTAAGAAGGTATTGTATTCGTCGTAAGGAACTTTTTCCCTCCCAGATTCTGCAGCGCAATTCATCATGCAGCAAAACAACTTGAATCTATGCGATAAGGCACAAAGAAAAGGATCCCATAATTTCGTTAATAAAAAAAAAAGAACATGAAATTAAAAGCGACACCAGAAAAACCAGTCGTGCCACTCGCCGATCCGCAAACGGCTAAAAGGTAGGTGGAAGAAAGAAAATCGAGACCTTTGCTTAAGGCATTTAGTCGAGCTCCTCGGGGCGCTCCTCGACCTCGTCGGCAGTGCGGGTGGCACCGGGAGCGGCACCGCCAGGGGCGCCACCAGCGGCACCGTAGGCAGCGGAGATGATGGGATTGGCAATGCTGCAGATAACCGTTAGCATCAAGCTTCAATTGCAGGTTAGGGGACCGGTGGAACATACCTCTCAAGCTCCTTCTGCTGGGACTCGTACTCGTCCTTCTCAGCGGTCTGGTTGTTGTCGAGCCAGCTGATGACCTCGTCGATCTTGGCGGTGACCTTCTCCTTGTCGGCATCGGAGATGGTGAGCTTGCCCTCGTTGAGGGTGTTCTTGAGGGAGTAGGCGTAGGACTCGAGACCGTTCTTGGCCTGGATACGGCCAGTCTCGGCCTCATCCTCAGCCTTGAACTTCTCGGCCTCAGCAAGCATGCGCTCGATGTCCTCCTTGGTGAGACGGCCCTTGTCGTTGGTGATGGTAATCTTGTTGGTCTTACCGGTACCCTTCTCGATAGCGGAGACGTTCATGATACCGTTGGCATCAAGGTCGAAGGTGACCTCAATCTGGGGAACACCACGGGGAGCGGGGGGGATACCAGTGAGCTCGAACTTTCCGAGGAGGTTGTTGTCCTTAGTACGAGCACGCTCACCCTCGTAGACCTGGATCAGGACACCGGGCTGGTTGTCGGAGTAAGTGGAGAAGGTCTCGGACTTCTTGGTGGGGATGGTGGTGTTGCGCTTGATGAGAGCAGTCATGACACCACCAGCGGTCTCGATACCAAGGGAAAGAGGGGAAACATCGAGCAGGAGGATCTCGTTGGTGGACTTGGAGGAAGTGTCACCGGACAGGATAGCAGCCTGGACGGCAGCACCGTAGGCAACGGCCTCATCGGGGTTGATGGACTTGTTGGGGTCCTTGTTGAAGAAGTCGGAGACGAGACGCTGGATCTTGGGGATACGGGTGGAACCACCGACCAGGACAATCTCGTGGACAGAGGACTTGTCGATCTTGGCGTCACGGAGGACACGCTCGACGGGCTCCATGGTGGAGCGGAAGAGGTCCTGGCACAGCTCCTCGAAACGAGCACGGGTGATGGAGGTGTAGAAGTCAATACCCTCGAACAGAGAGTCGATCTCGATGGAGGTCTGCGCAGCAGAGGAGAGGGTACGCTTGGCACGCTCGCAAGCAGTGTGGAGACGACGGAGAGCACGAGCGTTGGTGGTCAGGTCCTTCTTGTGCTTGCGCTTGAACTCGTTGACGAAGTGGTTGACGAGACGGTTGTCGAAGTCCTCACCACCCAAGTGAGTGTCACCAGCGGTGGCCTTGACCTCGAAGATACCCTCCTCGATGGTCAGGAGAGACACATCGAAGGTACCACCACCAAGATCGAAGATGAGGACGTTGCGCTCACCCTCGGTCTTCTTGTCAAGACCGTAGGCGATGGCAGCAGCGGTGGGCTCGTTGATGATACGGAGGACGTTCAGACCAGCGATGAGACCAGCATCCTTGGTAGCCTGACGCTGAGAGTCGTTGAAGTAGGCGGGGACAGTGATGACAGCGTTGTTGACGGTGCCACCGAGGTAAGCCTCAGCGGTCTCACGCATCTTGGTGAGGATCATGGAGGAGACCTCCTCGGGGGTGAACTGCTTGGACTCGCCCTTGAACTCAACCTCGATGATGGGCTTGCCACCCTTCTCGACGACCTTGAAGGGCCAGTGCTTCATGTCGGACTGAACCTCAGCATCGCCAAAACGACGACCGATCAGACGCTTGGCGTCGAAGACGGTGTTGTGGGGGTTCATGGCGACCTGGTTCTTGGCGGCATCACCGATGAGACGCTCGGTGTCGGTGAAGGCAACGAACGAGGGGGTGGTGCGGTTACCCTGGTCGTTGGCGATGATCTCAATACGGTCATCACGGAAGACACCCACGCAGGAGTAGGTGGTTCCCAAATCGATACCGACAGCGGGGGCCATGATGAATGTGTGTGTGTATGGAGGGGTTCGTTAAAGAGAAAGGAAGGGGAAGAGGGTCGTGAGTAGTGGTAATGTACAGGGACAGGAAGTGATCTCGTGGAAGGGAGAATCAGGGGTATAAGAGTCCACGGAGAAGAGATTTCAATTGGAGAGGATGGAGGAGAAAGGAGAAGAGAGAAAGATGGAGAGGGCGAGAATTTTGTGCGAGAGCGAACGCTGATATAGTGGCGGGCGGTGAGGCCGGCTCCAGCGAAGCTTCTAGTCGACGCCCGCTTCGATGGGCATCCATCGGGTTCGATCCTCTTCCACCCGCGCAGGAAATTCACGCTCTGGGCCTTTCCACGGCACCCCTGGGCAGGCCCTGACAGGCTGCCGGGCCTTCTCGAGGCATCTCGACGTCCCTTGTCTTCTCTACTTAGTTCTCCATACTAACCAGTATGGTCTGGACTCTACTCCAGTAGTATCATCTACAACCTACGTAGTTGTTCTCGCTGAGTCTGGTTGCTGCTGTTCCTGTCCGGTTGGCGGGGTAATCCGGATGACGTAACCGGCAGAATCCCGCTGGGAATTTTTTTTCTTTCCATGTTTCCATGTTTCCACTCCAGAGGAAGGAACACTGGTATGTATGACTCAGCCCTCAGCGGAACAATACAATAAATCCATCCTCTCTATTGCTACTGCTACTACTCCTCCTAGTAGACACCACTACTCTTCTCATCCACTTTTCCTACCAGGACTGTCTGTCCACCGGGTTACCCGGTCTGGTCAGTCACACCCGTGGAATCGGGCAGAATGGAGTCCGTCATCATGACGCCCCTCACCTTCGGAGAAATTCGATGCCCTTCAGAGGTTCAAGAGCCCCCCCCCCCCCCCCCCCGGTCACATGACGCCTCGTGTTCTCCAGTTTGGAGGCCTGAGGCTACAGTCACACTCAAGTTGGTTAGTAAGTAGGTAGTTCTATTATTATCCATCTCTCTTACTTTGTAGGTAGTATCGTATCTAGCAAATAATGGTCTTCAAAGCTCATCCTCCAATGCATCCACGCTTAATACTGTTCCCAGCCCAAGTAGATACTATGTATCTCCATACCACGTGGGGGAACAGTGCGACTAGTAGTAGACAGGACTTTGCTCCTGTATCCGTACTCCGTATCTAGACACTGCGTATTTATTTCCAGCTGGAGAGTAAGACTGTGGGAGAACGGCATATTGCACAGACCACGGCCAATCTCCTCTTAGCAGGGGAAGACCCAGACTGGAAAGATGTTTGTTATGAGCCCTCCCTCTCCCTCCCACAGGGCAAGCCCCCGTCACGGGAGCTGCAGCTGATCATCCCCGCCGGCAACCAATCATCTCCCCAGAAGCCGGCGAAGTGAATCTCCCCTTGCGACAAGCACTCGCTTTATCCTCTGCACCTCGACAACGTCTACAACTACTTAAACTCAACCCTCTCTGCACCTTTCCCCCCTGAATTGGCATCCCTTTTCCTTGCCAGTTCTTCTTCCTCCGCCCTCCGGACCTTCTTCTGCTTGCCTCTGCGCGTTTACTCCGACACCTCCTTCCGCAAACACCATCACCATGGGCGACAACAACAGATCCACGGCTGCGGGCTTCGACCCTGCCTCCAATGCCCCCGATGCTGCTGCCTGGGACAAGGGCAAGGGCAAGGCGACGGATCCTGCTCGTGATGTTTCCATGGATGATGATGAGAGCGAGGAGAGCGAGGGCGAAGAAATGGTGAGAGCTCTGATGAAATGGCCCGACTAAGGCGAATTCTATGGCTTACTGACATACCCTCTTGTGAGGATCCAGGTCGATGAAGGTACGCTTCTTGATTCCACCATTCGATTGCTGGACTGGTCGTTCCCACGCTAGTTTCCAGGCAGCGCCGTTAACGAGCGTGATGCTAACCTCTTCCCTTGACTAGCCGATGAAGAGGACGACGGTGACAACCTGGAGCCCATCTCCGCCGATAACATCATCTCTGGTGGCCGTCGTACGCGCGGAAAGACCATCGACTACCAGGAGGCGGCCGAGAAATTGAAGGGCGAGGAGATGGATGACGAGGACGACGAAGACGACGACTACGTCGGAGCGGATGAGGATGATGATGACAAGATGCGCGACTAGAACGATACCGATTCATGACTCCAAAAATCACAACAACAACAACAACAACAACAACAACATAGGGGCGGCGAGCGCGAATGGGAAATTGGATGGCAGGCGCAGGCAGGGTCTTTTGAGGGGTTCTTCGGTTCGGGCATGCCGGTTACGCTTTCATCTTTCTAGCCATCTCATGGGTTTACGTTTTTTGCTCGGACTGGATACAGGTCATGGTAGTTGTGGCCTTTTGTCCGTCGTCTCTGGATGTGTCTCCGTTTACATAGGTGCCATTCTGTGGTCTGCTTGGCTGGGATCGGCGGCGACTATCGACTCGCTATTGGGATAATAGGAAGCACTCGTCTTGAAACAAGCACTCCAATGTCACTCAAGATTCTTCAGATAAATCCTCTCTCATGTACTCCGTAGTGTTGCCCGTATGTATTACTAGAAGTAATGGTGACAGAGCGGCTCACGTGAGCGGACTCGAACGGGCCACCGCCACACTGTTTGTTCTTGCCCTCCGCAACGACCATCGCGACGACGGTCCGTCTTCCTTTCGCCATTCCTCGCTCCTCCTTCAGGGACTCTTTCCCTGTATCTACACCCTCGGTTTCCGACATGCACGCCACCTGCCTTTGATTGGTTTGCCGACGATACCTTTTGGTGTGCCTAGCACATCCCTCCCTTTATTCCCTTGACGATCTGTTATGGTTATGGCTTCACGGTATGCTCACCCCCCCAATTCCCCAGCCTTTCTCGTCAGCTTGTACTGATCGCTAGTCGGTAGATTCCCACGCTCAAATCTCCACCAGCGCGATCCTCGTGCTTCCTCATCCCTCTTTGACTCATACGGTGGCGATTCCCGACCCGCCAGTAAATCCCCTGGCCGCATAGGTGGATACGGATATGGGGCCTACACTCCCCCGGCCGGAGATAGCTCCTTGAACGGCGGTGCGACGGCTGGATATCGAGCTGCGACCCCAAACGCCAAGTAAGCTGCCCCGGCCGCTGAGATGGAGATGGGCGACAATTCTGCTCGCGCGAGATGCTTGTGCTTACCGTAATGGCATACAGAGGCCACTATTCCGATGCCGTTCTCTCCCACCTAGAGTCGCAAAATGACACCGAAGTTGAAGGCATCAGCGCCAAAGTCAGGATGTTGAAGGATGTGAGTGCTTCCGTCTTGGGAGACCCGTCAAATAAATACACAATGCTAATGCTGTGGTGTCAGCTCACGGTTGCGATTGGCGATGAGATTCGCGATACCTCGACTATCTCCGATCTCAACAACACCTTCGAAAACACCCGGGTCCGCCTCCGCGGGAATATGAATCGTATGCTGCGGATGGCGGAGCGCACTGGTGTTGGCTGGCGAGTGTGGTTCGCTTTCTTCGTCGCCGTCTTCTTGCTCTTTGCGTACGTGTGGTTGACCTGATCGGCAATCCATACTAGTGAGTACCATGGTATCTCTATCGGGCGACTATAAACCGTCACTGTTCAATTACTTTCGTTCTTCAGTCCGGGATGCAAACTCCCTATCTGAAGAGCTCTTTCTCTACCTGGCGCAATCGCATGGCCTTGTTTGTCGACCTTTACCTTAATACCTTGGCTACTTTTGGAAAGGATGAGTTGTGGATTACGGCGTTTCTCGCACATCGTTTACATCTGATCTTGCACATAAGAACCCATATTGGCACACGGTTCTTGCTGCGAGTGCCAGTGAACCTATCTTGCTTGTCGTCATATCCTGAATTGTTCCCCTACCTTGATGATAATGCATGCTTGGAGTTTGAGCTAGCCTTTCTTCTATTCATAGCTACTCTATCTGATCTCCAGATGACCTGTTATCTGCTTTTTTTCCTTGCTGTACCATCAGGTGTATATATGATCTCCATACCCCAATTACATCTGCTTCGCTCGTTTGCCCCTACAGGTGCATTCTCTGGCATAGTACATTTGCTTTTGAACATGTCTTGGTGAGAATCAATGAAGAATACAGTATAGAGTGTCTCGTTCCCTTGCAATACACAGTCATCAAGCACCCTACGTAAGTCAATCGCAATTCAGCCAGTCTATATAAGCTAAGGACTTCCCTCCTTATGCATTTATTTACCATTCGGTCCAGATAGACTACCTAGCGTTTATTCACGACGAACCAAAGACTCCATCGCCATACAGTATTAGGGTATAATACAGGGATATAGGACACCGTTATGGGAATATAACGGCAAAGGCAAAATCATTCCAGGCTGTCTCTCGGTCCTCCGGTTCGACGGCGTGGAAATCGGCCAAAAAGGCTTCGTCGACTGGCCTGGCTAGCCAAAGAGGCGCGGAGATCCTCCTCATCCACAAGCATGCTGCTGGTGTCGAAGGCATCGCCGCCTCCGCTCCAACGCTGTAGGAACCGCCGTTGAGCCTCCGTTCCTCTCTCTCGTCGAACGGGAGGCGGCGGCAGGCCGCGACTGCTGGTTGTACTGACGCGAAAACTCTGTGTGAAGGGGTCCTGCGAGAAACTGACATCCTCTTCATCGTCAAACTCGGCGTCCGTATCCGTATGTTGCCATTCCTCTTCCTGCTCGTACTGGTTCTCGGCGGCCTCCGGGATATCGTCGTCCAGATCACGCGCCATTCCGTTCTCTTCACTCATATCGTCCTCGTAGTCCTCTTCGGCTGCGCTGGGGATCTCCCCATCTAGATCCGGTTGATTGTTGAACTCGTCATTCTCTTCGCCCAAATCCCCATCCTCCTCCTCCTCATCGTCCTCATCCGGGAACGCCTCAGGGATGTCGTCGTCCAGATCACGCTCCATGTAACCTTCCTCATCCACAACATCATCTTCTTCAAGCCCCTCCTCCCCTTCTTCAATAAGTCCATCAGCATCCGCGTCCGGGATATCGTCATCCAAGTCCCTCTCCATTCCTGTATCGTCCTGCCCATCACCATCCATTGTACCCTGCGTCTGACCTCCGAACTCATCCATCCCGTCGACGCCCTGGTCTGCCGCAACAGCAGCGGCAGCCATCTCGGCAGCGGCGGCAGCCAGAGCCTCTTCCCTTTCGGCCTCCTCCTCCTTCATCCCCAACATAGTCTTGGGACATCCTGCCGGTTTGATCCACGAGTATCCGAAAGAGGCGATATTGCTTTTGCGTGCGCGCAGGGCGCGTTCTTCCAAGAGTAACGACGATAGCATATTCCCCGAGACGGTGGACGAGCTGCGTCCATTCAGTGGGTTATGGCCATTGCGACGGGAGCTTGCCTGCGCCTCTCCCGGGGAGGGGTGGTGGTGCGATGAGGAACGGTGGGGTTGGGAGGAGCCGAACCAGAGCTCATGGGACTATACGAGGAGCCAGGTCAGCATTATACTTAGGCACAGTTTAAAGAATATAGCGTAAGGGACCTGGACGCCGGGTGCTGGTCGAGGGTGGCCTTGACATCACATCACGTACATCGCGGGGGGTGATGAGCGGAAGCGAGAGCATAGTGGACGTCGGAAAACGCTTGTTTTCGCGTACCCCGAGATAGAGATATGAGATAGGATTGGTATTAATGGCGGTTGTAGGTTTCAGGTTGAATAAGACCCGGCTAATTGAGCGATACGTTCAAGGTCTTCCTCTTGTTGTTGTTGTTGTCGTTGTCGTTCTTCCTTTGGAGGCGAGGAGCTTTCCCAGCCGAGTTTGTATTGGGGGGGGGGTCGTAGTTTCAATCACGGGTCTGCACAAGTCCAGCTCTGCAAAGACGTCTTTGTTCGATCTGACGGGCAAGGATTTTCCAGGGTTGCAAGTGCAGCTGAAGCCGAGGAGGATGGAAGTTGGAGAAACGAAGTTGCGAGGGGAACCAAAACAAAAGCAGACAAGCTCCCGCGCGGGGATCTCCAGAGCTCGGCTTCCGTCAAGTCAGATCTGTGTAACCGATCGGGAGTTCCCCATGTCTTGTAGGTTGCTGGGAGTTGGTTGGTGGGCTGGCCATTGCTGCCATTGATAACTTTTTCTTTGGGGGGAACATGTATTTGACCAGTACTGGTGCCATTCATGATTCATGGTTGTGTTACGGGTATGTTATCCGCATGGATATGGATATGGATATGGATATGTATATATATATAGTATGTGTATTTGGGCAAATACTGGGCCCCGGTTACTAGTAGTACTATTATCATTGCCAAATGAAATATAGAACACAATGTTCCTGTCCAAAAGGTGCCAACAGGATATAATAGTTATTCGTCATCTTTTTACTAATGTCTCCCCCTTTCCTCTAGAGAGGGTGTATGTAGTCTCTCAGTGCTCCTTACGGCGAAGTTCGTTCAATTGATGCTCCCAGCTACTAAATACCCAGATAGCATTAACCCTAACTCCGTCCACTCTACGCATAATACACAGTGGAACTGGTCCCAGGTGGCACCATGAACAACAGTAGTAGCATCAAATCTGTCACCAGAGAGAGGGAGTAGTGTAAGGCCGGACCATCGGCTCAGTTCTGCCCTACTATTCAGGGCAAAACGAGCAAGGATGCTTTGGCGAGACTTTGTATACATCTCCGCACCAGTGCTAGCATCAGCCCACAGTGAACACCCGCATCCTCCGTGGTTCTCCGCGTGTACACCATGCATGCACAAGGATCACGAGGAACATGGCAACGACGGCCAGCGGGAGGAGTATGAAGTACTCCGTACAACGAGGCCGAAGAATCAGGCCATGGACGGAGTACTCTACTCCACCAAATCCACCCACGACGTTGATCTGAGATTCTCAAATGTCCTTTGCAGGGATGCAGCGTTGCCTTGGGGGCAAAGACAGTGGCAGTGGCAGTAGTAGTCGCAGTAGCAGCGCCGCTAGGTTAGCCCTGAAGATTAGATCCAAACGATATCCAGTCAGATCGAGACAAATCAGCGGCCCTCTTCTCTGCAGCACCGTCAGGCTAACCGTCATCGGCCGTAATAAATCGGTACTGAGTGGCCAACACAACAACGCATTGGAAGGGCAACAACAATAATCCATAGCCCAAACCACCGAGTAGTACCTGGCCGCGGGTTAGATAGTTACCGGACGGACAGCTCCTGTGTAATCCAGCCGTCCGATTTTCGGCCGCTTCCGCCCTCTCATCCCGGAAACGCCCGAGGAGTTGCAATTTCCCGCTCCATCCCAAGGTCACGTTCGGTGAGCCTAAAGCGGACAAGACTGGACAGGAAACATCGGGAGAAACCGGGCGCTGTAAAGATGGGCATCTCCGCCAGATCATGTGATTACCAGGCGCATGGATGGATCCGGCCTGGAATTATTGCTGCTATTATATTAAGGCTTGGAAGCCGGAAGGCTGAACGGCGGTTGCGCCGATTGGAGCTAGCGAGAAGGTGACACAGCAGCTGCTGGTTGCACGATCACCTCTCCGTCGGATTCCTAGGATAGTACGGAGTACGGAGTACTCCATACTCTTGTATGTCAATAATCCGTAGCGATCAATCATTCCATCCCTTGAGAATATGATTGGGGAGTCGCCATATTGTGCCCAGTGGTCCTGGTCATGGGAACAACAACCCACAGGATGGTGGTATAACCCGTTCGGATTTTGTTGATCGGCCGAGACAACTTCGGGGGTGCTCCTATGCAGCGCGAAGGCGACAGATGGGACTGTGGTGGTAGACTGGTAGTATCCCGCAGAGCTGGAGCCAGCACCGTCATCCAACTATCCAATTGGGTCACATTCGCGCTCACGAGAACTGGGAGGTGCTACTCACTAGCTCCAACTGTTTCCCGGTGCCTGTCGAGGGTTGTGAAGGGTTGGCGTGGTGGGATTCCTGAATCTGGCAACCAGTAGTAGATGGACACACCGTCCAGGAAACTCGAGGGGGCTGAGGATTGGAAATCAATTTATTTATGTATTACGATTATCATAAGATTATTTCGAGTACGCTCTTATCAGACCAGGGTCGGAATCCCTACGGCTATCCAGGCGATTCCGAGAGGGAGGAGGGGATGATTAACGGGGTGGTACTCGGTACTCCGTACGGTAAGGGTGTATAGATTGTAGATTAGTACTCGGTAGTACCCAGAACAATCTAGATACGCAATTAGTAGACACAAAGTAAGTAGAACAAGAAGGAAGGATGCAGTCGGTGGGATGGGCGCGCTGGGGCGCATCCCGGCCATGCGTACACCACTACCGCCGCTCGTATTTCCGGGGGGGGGGTCAGTGGTTTCTCCCATCGTGCATGCCCATTGGTCGGGGCCCATTGACGGTCGCGGTCCTACCCTAGTCCTCCGTAGTCCGTACTTGCGACTCCGGCCACCACTCCAGCCTGCCGCGGGCGTGGCCATTATTCCACGGGGGGGAAGTGGGTTTTCCCCAGGAAAAGGCCCTGAGTGCCAGTCAATAATAGAAGGAGGGCTGGGAGATCGAGCCACCGCAGCCAGAGGGTCAAAAGGGATGGCGTCGAGTAAGAATGCAGCTATTTGAAGGGTGTGCCTGATAAGCGGTTGGATGACCTCAAGAAATGAGCTGGAGAAACTCCAACGGGACACCCACACTTCCACAGACATTCATTCCGGCAATGCAAGGTGCGTCCCGGGAGCCCCGAAATCGGCGGGGGAGGCCACGGGAGCTTAGGCGGCTGCTATTCGGCGGCCTAGCATGCTAGTCAGCAGGAAGGGAACGTGGCCCGGAGAGGGGTTGGGATTTTTGAGAGGAAGAGGGGGGGGGGAAGAGGGGAGGGAGGGAGGGAGGGATTCCGGGACGGAAAGGGAAAGGCGCCCAGCTTGGCCGTTGTCGGAAGGGTTTGGCTGACGGCCTGGGCGGACAACAACCACCTGCTGCTGCTGCTGCTGCTGCTGCGGTGGTGGTGGTGGTACCGCTCCGTGCCAGTAATTTACCCACCATTCGTTCTCGCCAAAAATACATATACCGGCCCCGACCCCGTATGCACTTGTAACCGCCAAAGTTACCAACTTTCCTCTGATCGCCCGACCACCTGCAACGGAGCGTAGAGCGTGGGGTATGCAAATTTTAGTTCTAGGTCGGACGGTAGGTAAGGGAAGCATGTACTTTGTTAGGGTCCTCGGTCCAGCTGCGTACGCGAGACGACTACTAAGTACTCGGAGTCATCTCTTGGAGTTGCAGGCCGCGCGTGCGGCCTCTCTACTATTACTACCTAGTACCTGGTACTAATTAATTGACTGCCCGGCAGAACCGCCATTGTATCCGATTGATCGATTTACAATGGGCAGTGCTGCACGCTACTCAATCGATAGGTGCTACCCAAGTAGTACTTAGGCAGGTACTTAAGCACTTGGACAGTGTAGGTAGGCACGACTAAGCAAGCAGTACTCGGAAGAGCGAGTCATCACCTTCCGGATGTACTTCCCAAGCTTCTCAGTTCTCACACTACTTGGACTCGCATATACTGTGGCGACGAGTTTGACTGACAGGATAGGTCTGATCCAGGCGGGAAGAACCCTGACACTTCCTCCTCTCGCCGTGGACATATTGAGGATATACGGACACACACCGTACGCTCTCTTGGATTACTATGACTACAACGGTCGCTCCTTCACCCTGCTTCTGATTTCTCTTATACATAGTAATAAGAGTCTTGGCACCCCCATCTCCTTACTGTTCCGATGTAACTTCTAGTGCCTGCCAAGCAAATCCCGAGGTACAACATGGTGGGTTTGTTTTCGCAGTCTTGCTCGTCCGGATCAGTCCCGTTTTCCGGATTGCCCAGGCTGCTTTGGGGGATGACTACCGGCAACCTTCCATGTGCAGACTGCAGAGGGCATCTTTCAGCACAGGCCGACCAGCTGTTTGGGACAGAATCGGGGATAAGCACTGTATCCCTGCGCTGCCCCACTGCCACAACGCCCAATCGTTTACCTCGATGGGCCCTGGACTCGCTGGATAGTGGAAGAGAGATGGAAGGAACCTTGGGTGATGTAGCGTTACTTTGAGTAGTAAGATTTGGCTGGCTGGCCTTCCCATGATGCTCTAGGCATTGGACAAACGTTCACCACCAGAGGGGAAAAGTACTTCGGCCAAGGCTATACCATCGTGGAAGGAGTACGAACAAGCCAAGGTGGATAGACTGATGACTTGGCACTTGAAAAGTAGTTCTCTTGCTGCTAGCAAGGAATCTCCGGAGTAGGGTTGGAGGAAGACCACAGTCCGAATTGACACGACGAGTTGCGAGTGTATGGGTAGCTTTCCTACTTTGGGTCAAAGGATGACCAACCTACAAGGTACAGTCTCCTGATGAGAGAGAGAGAGAGAGAGAGAGAGAGAGAGAGAGAGACCTGAGTGGAACAGGCCACTGGGGCAGGCTCTCCAATCATTGGCATGGCAAACATCATGATGATCATGCTCTTGTTGATCCGACCTCGAAAGGTTTCTGTGACCCGTAGGTAGGAAAGAAGTATCTCTTTTACCCCGATGCTGTGTCCCTTCGGTATCTAACCTCAGTATATGTGCACATTGAATGAAAATGGCTGAAGTCAGTCTGTGTATCGAGTATCTAGAGTGCGCTGCCCAGGAAAGCGTTCCCTTCCCACTCCGAGGCAGTGCATTAATAACATATAAGTAGTTCCCCCAATAATCCCTTGGAGTCCGGGAGATAGAATTGGAGAAGATTCCCGTAACGGTAATGAGGAAGGGAACGGACGAAAACCCGTTACCGTTCGATACCGAGGACGGTAAGTTGCAACCGACGGGACTAACTACGGCTAGCCTCCTGCCTAAGCCGTGTAAATCGTCTCCCACAGGTCCCACTAGCGCCGTCAGTGGACAGACAACCTTTTCTGTTTCCCTTTTCCTTCTTTTTGGCCCGCCCCACTGGCCTGGATCTTGACGTAGCCAAAACCTAATCTTTCTGCGAAAGTTGTAAAGCCCCCGCCCTGATTGGTGGGCGTTGTCTTATCTCCTTCTCTAGAACAAATCCCCGTCTGGAGTGCAGTAATCACTACTCACTCTACATGCCTCGAGCCAGGTGGAAAAGGTTTCTTTCTCAGGCATGGTCTACAATACACCACACCACTCCCATGAGTCAAGGCGAGCCACTAGATGGATGTGATGTCCTTTGCCTTCTGCACAATGTTGAACCTCAAGGGAAAAGAAGAATGACAAAGGAAACCTATGCTTGTCGATCGTTCATTGTACAATAGCTACATCATTTCCCCCTCCCCCTTCCCCCCCCCTCTGGCATCGCAAACACTGACAGACAAGCATATGTAGTACTGTGGTATAGGGGGAAGAGGAGGGGGAGATGGGTGAAACTACTGCTGAAACGAGGGAATCGGCATTCTCCCCCCCACCCCCTCTCCCTCCTCCCTCCCTCTTTCAATCAATCCATCCATCAATAATCCCCTTACCGAGTCGGTAGGCGCTAGGTAGAAATGGTTGCCATCTGCCACCCCGGGCATTAGTTCCCTTTCCCTGCGCCCGTCACCACGGCTTTCCCACCTTGCCTTACAGTAGCCTGCTGTACACGCAGGACAAGCTACGATTTGCCACGGGAGTCCTCTATGGATCTCCACCGTCGTATTTTTACTTTCCCATTTGCCGTACATAGTAGAAACAATGATACTACCTAGTACCTGGTACACCGTCGTAGTTACGGTGGACTCACCCGCCATTTCTCTTGTGTTCCTACTTCGTCCGCCCAGGGCTGGGGAGGGTACATACAGGGTACCCTGTACGGAGCCATACCTCCAATCTTACCTGGCTGCTACTGGTCTGGGACCCAGAATCGGAGTCGACGTGAACACCCCGGACCGCAGCCCCCCGTCCTGACTCCGATTTCCCGCTCGGTTGCCCTTTTTATTATTACTACACTTCCCCCCCCCCCCCCCTCCTCCCTCCGTCCCTCTCTCCCCTCCTCTGTCTTTCTTACTCTTTTCTTTCCTTTCCCCTCTCCCTCTCCTTCTTCTTACACTTCCATCACACTCGGAGCCAGACGCTGGGACATCAAAGAGACTCTCTTCGATTGCCCCATTCCTTGCCCGCGTCCGTGACTCCGGTCCCATCTGTGACGACATAGACCTTCTTATCTACCACCCCCGCGCCCCGACTTGCTCCGCGGCGACCCCCCCTCCCAACAGCAACCACCACTCCCCCTAGTTTTGCCATTCCATTCTCTGTCGGCCATCGGCGGAAGAATGGGTCTGAACTTGGAGGAAATCTATGGCCAATCTATAGTGGAAGAGCAGAAACCGAATGAGTATTCGGAGTACCAGCCAAAGAAGGGATATGGCTGGGCCAACACTCTGCCCGAGAGGCAGGGTCTCTATGACCCCGAGTACGAGAAGGATGCTTGTGGTGTAGGCTTCGCTGCGTAAGTTCCCAACAGAACGGCCCAATGGGCCCCAGTTGTCCGACTTGAGACTTGGAAGAAGAGACCTGCTAACCGCAACTTGCTTTGATCTGCAGCCATATCAAGGGAAAGCCTAGCCACAAAATTGTCAGTGATGGTAAGAATTCATATCCCAACTCAGCCACTGGGCCATGGTATCTTAATGGTTAACCCTCGCCTCTCTCACAGCTCGCAACTTGCTCTGTAACATGACGCACCGTGGTGCCGTTGGCTCAGATGCACGCGACGGCGATGGTGCTGGATTGATGACCAGTATCCCCCACAAGTTTTTCATCAAGAACTTTGCCCGTGAGGTTGGAGTTGACCTCCCTCCTCTTGGCCAGTATGCGGTCGGCAACCTGTTCTTCAAGCCTGACGAAGTATCCCTGAAAGAGTCTATTGCCTCCTTTGAGGAAATTGCTACATCTTTGGGGCTACGGGTGCTGGGTTGGCGTGATGTTCCTCGCGATTCGACCATTCTGGGTCCTGCTGCTCTGTCGCGAGAGCCGATTATTATGCAGCCTTTTGTGGTGTTGAAGTCGGCCTATGGTGAAGGAAACAAGCCAGAAATTACCGACCCAGAGTCGTTCGACGAGAAGACCTTCGAGCGTCAACTGTATGTTCTGCGAAAGCGGGCTACCCACGTCATTGGCCTTGCCAACTGGTTCTACCTTTGCTCCCTGAGCAACCGGAACATTGTTTACAAGGGTCAACTGGCCCCTGTTCAGGTATACCAGTACTACCACGACTTGGTCAATGTTGACTACGAAGGTCACTTTGCTCTTGTTCACTCTCGTTTCTCCACCAACACATTCCCCTCTTGGGACCGTGCGCAGCCTCTGCGCTGGGCCGCCCACAACGGTGAAATCAACACCCTTCGCGGCAACAAAAACTGGATGCGGGCTAGAGAAGGTGTGTTGAAGTCGGACATCTTCGGAGACGAGCTCGACTCACTGTACCCCATTGTTGAGGATGGTGGTTCCGACTCTGCTGCTTTTGATAACGTCCTTGAACTGTTGATGATCAATGGTGTGCTCTCTCTGCCCGAGGCGGTCATGCTTATGATCCCCGAAGCATGGCAAGACAACCCAGCCATGGATCCGTCCAAGGCGGCTTTCTACGAATGGGCAGCTTGTCAGATGGAGCCATGGGATGGTCCGGCTCTCTTCACCTTTTCCGACGGTCGTTACTGTGGTGCTAACCTCGACCGTAACGGATTGCGTCCTTGTCGTTTCTATGTGACGGATGATGACCGCATTATCTGTGCGTCTGAGGTCGGTGCAGTGGACATCGATCCTGAGCGCGTGGTTCAGAAAGGTCGCCTGCAGCCTGGAAAGATGCTCCTGGTTGACACCGTGGCCGGCCGAATCATCGATGACTCTGAGCTCAAGTACACTGTTTCTCACAGACATGACTTCGCTTCATGGCTGGACAAGGAGCTTCTGAAGCTGCCTGCCATCAAGGAGAGGCTGGATGCGCAGAATGTGGATCTTAGCTACACCTTGGACGAGTCAACCATCCAAAACGATCCTCGGTTGAAGTCTTTCGGCTATTCCTTCGAGCAAGTTAGTCTGCTCCTGGGTCCGATGGCTGCTGACTCCAAGGAGGCCCTTGGCTCCATGGGTAACGACGCCCCGTTGGCTTGCATTGCTAAGCAGCCTCGCCTGCTCTACGAATACTTCCGCCAACTTTTTGCCCAAGTCACCAACCCTCCCATTGATCCCATTCGAGAGGCGGTTGTCATGTCTTTGGAATGCTATGTTGGCCCGCAAGGCAACCTCTTGGAGATGGAGCAGTCCCAATGCCACCGTCTGTTGCTTCCCTCTCCCATCCTGAGCATTCCCGAGTTTAATGCGCTGAAGAACATCAACCAAGCCCACAAGGATTGGACTGTGAAGACCATTGATATCACTTTCGAGAAGAGCAAGGGTGTGCCAGGATACCTTGAGGCCCTCGATGCCATCTGCGATGCTACGACTGAGGCCATCCAGAATGGTGATAAGATGCTGGTGCTCTCGGACCGCGCCACAAGTGCGGACAGGGTTCCTGTATCTGCCCTCTTGGCGACTGGTCTTGTCCATCACCATCTGGTCCGCAACAAATGGAGATCCCTTGCTGCGGTGGTTGTGGAAACTGCCGAGGCTCGTGAAGTGCATCACATGTGTGTCCTTGTTGGTTATGGAGCTGATGCCATTAATCCTTACCTCGCGATGGAGTGTATCCTGAAGATGAACCGGGAGAAGCTGATCCGTAAGCAGCTCCCTGATGAGAAGGTCATCGAGAACTACAAGGCCTCCTGTGATGGTGGTATCCTAAAGGTTATGAGCAAAATGGGTATCTCTACCCTTCAGTCGTACAAGGGTGCTCAAATCTTCGAGGCCCTTGGTATTGATGACAGTGTCATTGACCGCTGCTTTTCGGGTACCGCAAGCCGCATTCGTGGCCTGACGTTCGAACTCATTGCCCAGGATGCTTTTGCTTTCCACGAACGTGGATACCCTTCTCGTGAGATCATCGACATCCCTGGTCTCCCCGAATCCGGCGAGTACCACTGGCGTGATGGAGGTGAAGAGCATATCAACGACCCTGTCAGCATTGCAAACATGCAGGATGCTGTACGCACAAAGAATGACAAGTCGTACGAAGCATACGCCAAGGCCGAGCATGAGCAGATCAAGAACTGTACCCTTCGTGGTATGCTCGACTTCGACTTCGAGCAGCGGACACCCATTCCTATTGACCAGGTTGAGCCATGGACTGAAATTGTTCGTCGGTTTGTTACTGGTGCTATGTCTTACGGATCTATCTCCATGGAGTCTCACTCTACTCTCGCCATTGCTATGAATCGCCTTGGTGGAAAATCAAACACGGGTGAAGGTGGTGAGGATGCTGAGCGGAGCAAGAGATTTGAGAATGGCGACACGATGCGATCTGCGATCAAGCAGATTGCTTCCGGCCGATTTGGTGTGACTTCGCACTACTTGGCCGATGCTGATGAACTGCAGATCAAAATGGCCCAGGGAGCTAAGCCCGGAGAGGGTGGTGAGCTTCCTGGCCACAAGGTCGTTGGACCCATCGCTCACACTCGTTACTCTACTCCTGGTGTCGGTCTGATCTCGCCTCCTCCTCACCACGATATTTACTCGATTGAGGATCTGAAGCAGCTCATCTACGATCTCAAGTGTTCCAACCCTCGTGCCCGTGTTTCTGTCAAGCTTGTGTCGGAGGTTGGTGTTGGTATCGTCGCATCCGGTGTGGCCAAGGCGAAGGCCGATCACATCTTGATCTCCGGTCACGATGGTGGTACTGGTGCCTCCCGTTGGACCGGTATCAAGTACGCTGGTCTCCCTTGGGAACTGGGTCTCGCAGAGACTCACCAGACTCTTGTACTGAACGATCTGCGTGGACGTGTTGTTGTTCAGACTGATGGTCAGCTCCGTACCGGCCGCGATCTTGCTGTTGCCTGTCTGCTCGGAGCAGAGGAGTTTGGGTTTGCCACGACTCCCTTGATCGCTATGGGCTGTATCATGATGCGCAAGGTAAGACATCCTATCATTCGGCCCGCATTGATCACATCGCTAATTCTAATATATAGTGTCACTTGAATACCTGCCCTGTTGGTATCGCAACCCAGGACCCGGCGCTTCGGGCCAAATTCCAGGGAACGCCCGAGCATGTGATCAACTTCTTCTACTATCTCGCCAATGAGATGCGTGCCATCATGGCCAAGCTGGGCATCCGCACCGTGAACGAGATGATTGGACGCGCTGAGCTGCTCAAGGTCAGGGAGGACACCCTGACTGCCAAGCAGGAAAAGATTGATCTCTCACTCATTCTTACTCCCGCTCACTCTCTGCGCCCTGGCGTTGCTACATACAACGTCCGCAAACAGGACCATCGCCTGCACACTCGTCTCGACAACAAGCTGATCGCCGAATCCGAGCTGGCGTTGGAGAAGGGTCTGCCTTGCCGGATTGAGTGTGATATTGTTAACACCGATCGTGCTATGGGTGCCACCCTGTCTTACCAGGTCAGTCGCCGTTATGGTGGTGAGGGTCTTCCCCAAGACACCATCCACGCCAACATCAAGGGATCTGCTGGGCAGTCATTCGGCGCCTACCTTGCCCCGGGTATTACTCTTGAGCTCGAGGGTGATGCCAACGACTATATCGGTAAGGGTCTTTCTGGAGGTCGTCTCATCATCTACCCTCCCCGTGGCGCTGCATTCAAGGCCGAGGAGAACGTGATTGTCGGCAACACCTGTCTTTACGGTGCCACTCGCGGTACTTGCTTCTTCCGCGGTATGGCTGCTGAGCGGTTCGCTGTTCGTAACTCCGGTGCTACTGCTGTCGTGGAGGGCGTTGGTGACCACGGTTGTGAATACATGACCGGTGGCCGCGTTCTTGTTCTTGGTTCGACCGGCCGTAATTTTGCCGCTGGTATGTCTGGTGGTATCGCCTATATCTTGGACAAGAACCAGGACTTTCACTCCAAGGTCAACATGGAGATGGTTGAGGTCTCTGGCCTGGAAGACCCCGCTGAGATTGCCTTTGTCCGTGGCTTGATCGAGGACCACCACCACTACACCGGATCGGAGCTGGCTGCTCGTATCTTGCTGGACTTCACTCGTGCCCTTCCTCACTTTGTCAAGGTGTTGCCCACGGATTACAAGCGCATCCTGGCGGAGGAAGCCGCCAAGGCTGAAGCCGCCAAGAAGGCCGAATTCTCTCTTCCCCAGCTCCCCAGCACCCCAGTTCCCTCGGAGAAGGCCAAGGCCCATGCTGATGGGGACAAGAAGGCTGAGATGCTTGATATCGAGGACAGCATCAGTGACTCGAAAACCGAAAAGAAGCGTTCGGCCCTCATTCTGGACAAGACCCGGGGTTTCATGAAATACAGCCGGCGCAGTGAGAAATACCGTAACCCGGCCACTCGCACTCGTGACTGGGCTGAGCTTTCCAACCGCCTCAGTGAGGACGAACTCAAGTACCAGTCCGCTCGCTGCATGGACTGCGGTGTTCCTTTCTGCCAATCCGATACCGGTTGCCCGATCTCCAACATCATTCCCAAGTGGAACGAGTTGGTGTTCCAAAACCAGTGGCAGGATGCCCTCAACCGTCTTCTCATGACCAACAACTTCCCCGAGTTTACTGGCCGTGTCTGCCCTGCCCCCTGTGAAGGTGCCTGTGTCCTTGGCATCAACGAGGACCCCGTTGGTATCAAGTCTATCGAATGTGCCATCATTGACCGCGGCTTTGAGATGGGTTGGATGGTTCCTCGCCCCCCCAAGACTCGCACCGGTAAGACCATTGCCATTATCGGGTCTGGCCCTGCTGGTCTCGCCGCTGCCGATCAGCTCAACCGTGCCGGACACACCGTTACCGTCTACGAGCGTGCCGACCGTATGGGTGGCCTTCTCATGTATGGTATCCCCAACATGAAGCTTGACAAGAAGGTCGTGCAGCGTCGTATTGACCTGATGGCTGCCGAGGGCATCCAATTCGTACCTAGCACACCTGTTGGACCCGACGAGGAAGTCTCCATGGAGTCTCTTCGCAAGACCAACGATGCTGTTATCATTGCAACTGGTGCAACTGTTGCCCGTGATCTCAAGGTAACTGGGCGTGAGCTCGAAGGCGTTCACTTCGCTATGCAATTCTTGCACCGCAACACCAAGTCGCTCCTGGACTCCAACCTTGCCGATGGCGCGTACATCTCCGCCAAGGGCAAGCACGTTGTCGTCATCGGTGGTGGTGATACTGGTAATGACTGCATCGGTACCTCTGTTCGCCACGGTGCCAAATCCGTCACCAACTTCGAGTTGCTGCCTCAGCCTCCACCGGAGCGTGCCCGTGACAACCCGTGGCCCCAGTGGCCCCGCATCTACCGCGTCGACTACGGTCACTCCGAGGTCAAGACCCACATGGGCAAGGACCCTCGCGAGTACTGTGTCATGTCTAAGGAATTCGTTGACGACGGAAGTGGCCGCGTCAAGGGTATTAACACTGTCCGTGTCGAGTGGACCAAGAGCGCTTCCGGCGGCTGGGACATGAAGACCGTGGAGGGTAGCGAGCAGTTCTTCCCCGCGGACCTTGTCCTTCTCTCCATGGGATTCCTCGGCCCCGAGGACCGTCTTCTGGGAGAGGAAATCGAGCGTGACGCTCGTAAGAACGTCAAGACCCCTCCGGGCCAGTACTCCACCAACGTCTCGGGCGTCTTCGCTGCGGGTGATTGCCGTCGTGGCCAGTCCCTCATTGTCTGGGGTATCAACGAAGGCCGCCAGTGTGCTCGGGAAGTCGATTCCTTCCTGATGGGCACCAGCTCTCAGCTCCCCGTCACTGGTGGCATTGTTCGCCGGTCAGCCATTGATGCCGTTCCCCAGACTGCCCAGCAGACCGTTTCGGCCTAGAGTCCTGCGGGGTTCAGGTCGTCCCCGCTGGACCGGTTCCAGCGCTAATGGGTTCGCGCCCTGTCATGATGACAATGAATCTATGAGTTCCTATGTCGAAAAGAGAAAAATGTTCATCGACCGGGTAAATGTTGGGTGTCTTTGTATCTAACGGGGCAATTGTCTTTGTGATCATGTCTGCGTTACCTCGCAGGCTTTCCCTTGTCACTCGATGGGGGTTTGTTGACGGTTATTCTTCCGTCATTTCCTTTCTTCTTTCTTTCTTTCTTTTTGGTTCTCTGCTTCCCGAGGGTGACTTTGTGACGTGCTGCAGCGTTCTGTTCCTCTACCAAAAGATGTGCAAGGTGTCGGAGCGTTTGCCATTTCAGCCAATTTCATTTTCATGTACATATTCTATTCTGGTGGATATCGATATCAAATCGAATCATTCTTTCAATAAAGTACAACCAACCCTGCTACATCCAACTAGCTGAGATGATGACCTCCGCCGAATGATGGCGCCTGGGGTTCCTCTCTGCCCGACTCCTCCTCTTCTGGCTCCGCCCGTGAGACAGAGGAGGGCTCGGCTGGCCCAATGCCCGCTGCGCCGCCCGCGCCCGCTGGTCAGCCATTAGAGTCTGGAACGCCTCTTCCTGCCGCATCACGCTGTCCATGAAGTCCGTCCCCATCTGTTCCATCAAGTCGTACGCCAAGAACAACCGACGCTCGGTCGTCTGCGCCAGGTTCCAGAGGTTCTGGCACAGCATTTCTTGGTCACCCTTGGTGGGAGGTTTCCGAATTGAATGCAGTCTGGAGGGGTACCGCGGTGGTGAGCGCTGCGCGTGTTTTCCTTTTCTTTTGTCGCCTTCGCCACGTTTGCCACCACTACCCTGGGACTTAATTGGTTCGATATAAGGGATTTCCACAACCGTACCCCAGCGCACGGTTTTCTTTCTGCCACGGGGGACAGCGACGCCCGACGTTGGAGGGCTTTGGATGGTACCTCCGTTGCTGGCGTCGCTGTCGCTGTCGCTGTCAGTGTCGGAGTCCACAGGCGGTGCGATTAGCATGTCCTTCATGCGATTGAATATGGCGTAGAATTGATTCGGGGAGAGTTGAAAGGCAGCCCAGGGAGCGTACTCCTCGGGTACTTGCATTGAGGGGGGATAAACGAGGTAGGAGGACTGGGTAAATTTGTATGCGAGTGAGCCGAGGGAGGGCTTCGTCTCTTCTCATATATGGATACTTTTATAAAGAATGGAGATAGTCGACGACGACGGGCAAACAAAGAGATATGGCTAGTGATTGTATGATGCATGTCTCTTTCATCACGTCGTGAGGAGGGTTCCCGGTGTCTTTTTGTCTCTTTGTCCAGGGGGGTATCGAGGTCTCTTGTTCAGCCCGGGTAGGTGGCACGAGGCGATTTGCCTTGATAAAGATATGGGATGATATGATATGCTAATGCTATTGTACAGAAGCCCACTGGGGACAGGTATCCATCTACATGACATCAGAATAGGAAGTAAACCCCAGAAAGGGTGACAACAAACGAGAAGGGCAGAAAGAGGGGGGGGAAAGAAGAGCCGTGTGACTGAGGACCTCTAGACCGCACCAGCGGCGGCCTTGCGACTCGCTTCCGCTTCCTCCTCAGCCTGCATCTGCTTTTCCAGGGCGACGAAATCGCCGCAGAAGGCGTTCTGAACTCGCTCCGTACGCGCATCCCAGACATCCTCACTGCTGGGACCGGTCTTGTACTTGACTGCCTTTTTCCGATAGTGGTCCCGGATGGCATTTTTGCGCTGCTGGTCCCCGAAATTACGAGTCTTCATGCATGTCCAAAAGTTGTCCCAGTGCTCGCTGCAGGACCGCAGCTCGCCGTAGCGGTATACGTTGACGAATTGGCCGCCAAATGACTGACAGAAGAATGCGTAGTCGAACGCGGAGCGACAGGACATGGTATCGGGGTACAGGGAATCGTCGGCAATGGACGACGGAGATGCGTGCGGTTCGGGAGATGAGGGATCAGTCGCGGACGGCGATTGTTGGTGCCGTTGGCCATTGACGTCGCTTTCTAGGCTTGCTACCAGCTTGTTCCATTCTGCGTCTGCCTGTTCCTCACGGCTTAATGTCCGGGGCTGTGGTTGTGGTGATGATGATGGCGGTAGTGGTGGTGTTGGTGTTTGTGTTTGTGGTGGTGTCGAGGAACTGATCTCTGGTGATGGTTGGGACCCAGAGGAGCCGGAGGAGGGAGAGGCCTGAGAGTCGCCTTCCTTGGGGGAAGAATTCCACCACCAGCCCATGACTGCCAAGGTTCTGCTCAATTGGGGGTTTGATGCAGCAACAATGAACGGGGGAGAAAGGAAGGATGAATCGGAATGGATGTTGCGGGATCGGCAACGTAAATTTCACCCCAAACGCGCGGTGACGGTAATGCGGAGCAGCGTCCCACCCCGCCAGGTAATATACTTGTCACAGCGCGTATTGTGGACCGTCGACGTCATCCTTGGACCATCAGGAACAGAAACCAGAACAATCCCCTCCTCCTCCTCCTCCTTCTCGCCCTCGCGCATCTGTTTCTCTTCATAATGCTGCCTGTGCTGCAGAGATGATGCGTGCTTCGTTTCGTGCCGTGCAGCCACGCGCATCCCTGACCCATGCGCTCCTTACTAGGCCTCCTGTCATCCTTCCTTTCATAAAGGGCCCTATCGCTCGATTGAGTAGTACTACTCCTCCTCCTCCTCCTCCTCCTCCTCCTTCTTCTCAGATCTCATCCGTCGAGAGTGGACATATTGATCTGAAGGATGATGAGGGGCTTCTTTTTGTAAATAGTACGATCTAATCACTCTTCCTGCTCCTGCATACCGTGCTGATATCCATATCGCAAACAGATATATTCCCGTCAAAGCTACAGTGGCTGTTGCAAGGACCTCTGAGCGGAACTCGAGCCTATGAAGAGGCATTGAAGCGGATCGACAGACCCCATCTTGCGGCATCAGACCCCTTGCGCATCATCCGTCGGGTTTTCCCGCAGGGCTTGGATATCGACATCCGGGAGGTTATCCCACGCTTTAGAGAAGGCGGCGCGTTCGTGAAGTACACGCGCAAGGACGGTGTCCCGGACACTGACATCGTATCCGCGATCCAGAATCATCTGGAGGAACAACCCATTCGGCCCTGGTTCAATCCGTTTCAGCAGGTCAAGGTTGCTCACGTCCATGGTAGGCCATGGATCGAGGATTTGTATCGCATCCCAAGCCAGCGGCTGCGGGTGGAATTCCTGCCAGCCTCCGATGGAACCGCGGCGGAGCTGTCCACGGAAACTTTATATTCTCTCTTCCGCAGATATGGCAAGCTGAGGGACATCGACAGGCAGCCGTCTGATTCAAAGATCATTCCGAGATACGCTTTCGTGGCATTTTCTCGCCCCAAGTACGCAGTCATGGCCAAGAACTGCATGCATGGGTTCACCATCTATGAGGAGGAGCTCGGCAATAAGGCAGGTACACGAATCAAGATCAAGTACGAGCGGAATATCAAGTTGTCGGTCATCAAGGACTGGATCCTGAACCACCCGAGGATCGTGATCCCGGCCATCGCGGCGCTTGTTGCTGCCATCACTGTGACTGTTTTCGACCCGATCCGTACATTCTTCGTTGAAATGAAGATAAAGGCTACCTTGCAAGCGGAGGAGAGTAGTGTCCTTCGATGGATCAGGAACCAAGCCAACAAAGCCAATATTATATATTTCGGGCGCCGTAAAGCTGACCCTCGCCGGCTCACTGCTATCTGGGAGGACCGCCAGGGCGATATCAAACAGCTGCAGTCCTGGCTGATGGAAAATGCCGAGACCTTCATCGTCATCCACGGGCCCCGTGGTACAGGCAAGCGGGAGCTCGTGTTGGATCGGGCTCTGGAGAACTACAAGTACAAGGTTGTCATCGACTGCAAGCAAATCCAGGACTCGAAAGGCGACACCGCGAAGATTGCCCGTGCTGCCAGCCAAGTGGGTTATCGGCCGGTGTTCTCATGGATGAACAGTATAAGCAGCTTCATCGACCTGGCTGCCCAGGGTATGATTGGCACCAAGGCCGGGTTCTCCGAAACCCTGGATGCCCAACTCAGCAAGATCTGGCAAAATACTGCCACTGCCCTAAAGAAGGTCGCATTGTCCAACCGGAAGAAGAATGACAAAGAAGAACACCTCTCGGATGAAGAATACTTAGAGGCTCATCCCGAGCAGCGTCCTGTGGTGGTCATCGACAACTTCTTGCACAATGCCTCGGAGGACAGCGTGGTATACGACAAGATCACGGAGTGGGCTGCGGGCCTGACGACGGGCAACATTGCGCATGTGGTGTTTCTCACGACTGACGTTTCCTTCGCCAAGCCTCTGAGCAAAGCGCTGCCAAATTCCGTGTTTAGAACCATCTCGCTGGGCGATTGCTCCCTTGAAGTGGGAAGAAAGTTTGTGCTCAGCCATCTGGACTACGATGCGAAGAATGGCGGCAAGCAACAGAATGTAGGAGACCTGGGAGGCCTGGACAGCCTGGACAGATGCATTGAAGTACTGGGTGGTCGAGTGACCGACCTCGAATTTATGGCACGGCGTATCGAGGCTGGAGAAACTCCCCGAGGTAAGTTGAAATTGATCCTGCTTATTGAAGTCTGAGAAGTTAACGTTTGCAAGCGGCCGTCAATCGCATCATTGAACAGTCTTGCTCCGAGATTTTGAAGATGTTCGTCTTGGACCCCGACATTGGCTCCAAGCAGTGGAGTCACGAACAGACTTGGCATCTGATCAAGACGCTCGCCAACTCCAAGGATGGGACTCTCCCATACAACCAAGTCCTTCTTTCCGACCTGTTCAAGGAAAACGGCGAGGCCACCCTCCGGGCCCTGGAACAGGCCGAGCTGATCTCCATCGGGTCCGTCCACGGCTGCCCTGACGCGGTGAAGCCAGGCAAGCCGGTCTATCGGGCCGTTTTCAAACGACTGACGGAAAACAAGACCCTGAGCAGCCGCCTGGACCTGGACATCCTCAAGCAGCTTACAAGCGACGAGAACAAAAGCATTGGCAAATATGAGCAGGAGCTGCAGTTGCTGGGGTCGCTACCCAAGCAGCCTTGGGAGCTGGCCGATCGGATCCGGTGGCTCCTGCAGAAGGTCTCCAGCTCTCAGGACAAGGTCAGCCGGTATGATAAGGAGAGCGCCGTCTTGCAGAAGATCCTGCGCCGGGAGCATTGAACCTGAACCTGAAGTATTCTTCCCCTTGATAGTCCCGCTGATGAAAGTGGGCCGTGAACATGTCGATGTATACCTGTATCTGTATGATTGGAATGAGTGTAGTGGTTCCAACGAGACAATGATATTCAATGATATCCCCCTCCCCCCCCCAAATTATTTCTTACTTTCGCTCGACATCAATATGATCCATATAAGCTATGTAGAAAGGCGTGGAACATGCTTTAGCCGTGGGAATGGGAGAAGAAAAAACAGGGAGGAAGGGAAGGCTGCTGAGCTAAGCTGTCCGCCCCGTAGTTAATTACCATACCGTAACCAAAACCAAAACCAAAACCAACAACTTCGACCTCATCAACTCTCATCCACTTCTCTCCCTCTCCCGCCAGGGCTCATTCAGCTAGGACATCATTCCAGGGCTGGTGTTCGTCCTGGATGTCCGATCTTGACGTCCTGCTGTGTCCTTCTCCGGGACGTTCCTCCCCTTTCAATCATACGCGATGGAAAAGTACTATGACCTAGCGCCAGGGGATCTCATCCGAGTTGCCCGCGATGACCTCGTAAGCCTGGGATGGCCCGGGATGATCGCCCTGCTGGTCTTCGTCTGCGTGGCCACGCGCCTCATCACCGGGTTCCAGAGCCGTGCCCGTCGTGCCCCGGATGGGGGACAGCCACGCCCCGTGAGGACGGTGCCGTACTGGATCCCCTGGCTGGGACATGGCCCTGCCTTCGCCTGGAATCATGTGAACCTCATTCAAAAAGCCAGGTGCGTGCCGTGGGCAAGCCCCCCACCCTGAGGTGGCAATCGCTGATGGTCCCTGCAGAGAGTCAATGAAGGAGCCCGTGTTTGGCATCCTCATGGGAGGCACCCAGCACCAAGTCGTGGTGTCTCCATCCTTGGTCAAGTCGGTGTTCGCCGCCCGAGGTACTAACTCGACAGATCTGATCAACTATGCCTTGGAGAAGATCTTCGGGGACCGGGGTGTGATCCGTACCTTGAATGCGGTAGACCACCATGCGCTCAACCACAGTCTTCCCAATCTCCTCATGCGCGAGCCCTTCCTCTCGGAAGGCACCACCGCGGCCACCCGCCTGATTGAGCGGGAGGTCCCTAACTTGGTGACCAACTGCCAAAGCATTGTGGACCAGACGCTGTGGGAGCGTGGCAGCCAGGCCGAAGTGGTTGAAGGGGAGGGCGCGTTGGCCTGCGAGGTCAACCTCTTCGCGCTGATCAGAAGATTCGTCGGGCACATCACCACGGCGATCTTCATGGGGGAATCTCTTGTCGAGGTCTACCCTACTCTGTTGGAGGATGTCTTCACGCTGGATAACCAGTTTGTTCCTCTATCCATGGGGATCCCTCGCTTGGCACATCCGGGGGTATCGGCAGCGCATGCTTCACGTAAGAAGCTTCTTGCCGCCCTTACAGCCTATCACCACGCTTTTGTCTTATGGGACGATGGGATCGACCCCGGTCTCAAATTCCGTGATCTTGATGATATCTCCGGACCTGTCAAGGAGAGGATCCGCAAGTGCAAAGGGCTGGGTCTTTCCGCGAGGGCCAGCGCACCGGTGCATCTGTCTTTGCTCTGGGCTATGAATGGAAACTCCCCGAACGCGGTTTTCTGGCATCTCCTCCGCATCTATGCGGATCCCTCGCTTCTCAAAACGATCCGCAAGGAGATTGCACCTTACGTGAAGATTTCCCGGCCCACCAGGGAGGAGACAGGCTTCCCCTTCCAGGAGGCCCCCAAGGTTTCCATCGACGCGGAAGGATTGGTTAAGTCTTGTCTGTTGCTTAAGGCCAGCTTCTACGAGACCCTGCGCATGGATTCGGCCCCGGTGTCCTTCCGAGGAGTCACGTCCGATTACACGATCACGGAATCCGCGGAAGATGCCGCCCTCGACGGGGTCGCACAACCTCGCTCGTATGAAATGAAGAAGGGCGATAGCATCGCTATCCCTCATGCCGTCATCCACAACGACCCTCACTATTTCTCGAAACCTGGCGAGTTCGACCCGTCGAGGTTCATCGCGACCGATCCTGAGACTGGCGAAAAGAAGACCAGCGTACACACGATCAAGCCGTTTGGCGGTGGCGTGTCTGGATGTAAGGGCCGGGCCTTCGCGGAGAGAAAGCTTCTTGCCTTCGCCGCTGCGATTGTCGCCATGTGGGACATTGAACCGGTTCAGGACGGAGGCTTTACGATCCCTGACCACCGGCAGTCGGGTGCCGCATACCTGCCCACGAGAGATGTCCGAGTGCGCATGAAGCAGCGCGTTTAAGACGTAAGTCGCAGATGGGGGGGGGGGGGGCAACTTTGCATATACACGGAGTCCGGTTGCATTCCATATTTCCATCATACATAGATAGGCTTCGAGGACCGTTATTAGATTGGCAGGTTGGCTAGCAGTGCCCGGCCTGAGCTCGTTTCATAATTAGATACTTCTAGAGTGCTTTGTTTTGCTGATCGGGGTTCGTTGCGAGCCACGGATAAGAATCCGAGTTTGGCCCCACGCTGTCGCCATTTCCCTTCTCAGGAGCCTCGTATATAGGTGTGCCTACGCTGCGGCCAGCTGCTGCCAGATTCTCCAGCTACCCCATAAGCACGATGGAGCCAATTCAGACCGACCAGACTTCTCCCAGCGACTATGACTTGTCGGCCCCGATCTCTTCCACGTCCGGCCTGCGTCAGGGTCTGGCTTCATACGGCGACCCTCACTTCTCGCTGTTCCTCCGCAAGGTCTTTATAAAAGCCCTGGGCTACTCCGACGATGCCCTCTCGCGCCCCATCATTGGCATCATCAACACTTACTCCGGATTCAATCCGTGCCACGGCAATGCGCCGCAGCTCATCGAAGCCGTCAAGCGCGGCGTGTATCTCCATGGAGGACTGGCGGTGGAGTTTCCTACCATCAGTATCCAGGAGAGTTTCGCCTACCCGACCAGCATGTTCCTACGCAACTTGATGAGCATGGACACCGAGGAAATGATCCGTGCTCAACCCTTGGATGCGTGTATCATGATCGGAGGTTGATAGTATAATATCTGCAACACATCTCCGGATCGCCCAGCTGACCGCTTCCCAGGCTGCGACAAGACCGTCCCTGCCCAACTGATGGGTGGCTTATCCGCGAACAAACCAATTCTCCCGCTCATCACAGGGCCAATGCTTCCAGGAAGCCATCGTGGGCAAAGAATAGGCGCATGCACTGACTGCCGGAACAATTGGGCTGCCTTCCGGGCTAAGGATATCGATATTGAGGAGATTTCAGCGATTAATGAAGAGCTTGCCCCAACTGTTCGTCGCCTTTCGTGGGCGTTTTGCGTATAAACATCGCTGATACCGATTACAATAGATCGGAACCTGTGGTGTCATGGGGACTGCGAGCACAATGGCTTGCATCACCGCTGCTCTAGGAATGATGCCCCTCAGAGGCGCCTCGGCGCCCGCGGTTTCTTCCGCGAGAATCAGAGTGGCCGAAGAGACCGGAGCGACTGCTGTGTCAGTTGCACGCGCGGAACGGAAACCCCAAGATGTACTATCGACGGAGTCCTTTTTAAATGCCATCACTGTTTTACAGGCCATCGGAGGATCGACCAACGCCGTGGTGCATCTAATGGCTATCGCGAACCGACATCCTCAAATCAAGGGACTGATAGCTTTACAGACAATCGAGGAGATAGGCCAGAAGACACCGCTTCTCATTGACCTCAAACCAAGCGGTGACAACTATATGAATGACTTCCACAACGCTGGCGGGATGCTGGCGTTGCTGCATACCCTTCGGCCTCTTCTTCATCTTTCAGCAATGACGATCACGGGTAAGACCCTGGGCGAGGTACTAGATGCCTCGCCATTCAGGATGTTTCCACTCTCACAGCAGATCATCCGACCACTATCAGACCCTCTTTACCCTTCATCGTCGCTGGTCATACTCCGGGGAAATATTGCTCCTGACGGTGCTGTAATGAAGGCATCGGCATCCAAAGACCGGAGCCTGCTTTCCCATACAGGACCGGCAGTCGTGTTTGAAAACTCCGCAGACCTAGCAAAGCGAATCGACGACCCCGATCTTGATGTCACCAAGGACTCCGTGTTGGTTCTCAAGGGAATTGGACCGGTGGGTAATCCGGGAATGCCTGAAGCCGGTCTTATTCCCATCCCCCGCAAGCTTGGTTTTGTTGGTGTCAAAGATATGCTGCGGCTTTCCGATGGACGCATGTCGGGCACAGCAGGGGGTACCATCGTTCTTCATATATCGCCCGAGTCGGCCTTGCATGACTCACCATTTGGAGTGGTTCAAACCGGCGATCTAATCACGTGCGACATCGCAACTAGGAAGCTTCAGTTGGAGATCGCCGATGACGAGCTGCAACGGCGCATTGAGGCGAGAAAGCAAGCGCTCAATAACAGCGCGGAGGTGGCACCGGCCAAGGAAAGGAAAAGGGGATATCGCAGCCTGTACGAGCGCTCGGTTAACCAGGCTCAGGACGGGGCCGACTTTGATTTCTCACGGCGATTGGCGTGTGATGCGAGAAGTAGAGAAGTAGAATAACAATAGCAAATCATCACGGTAATTCCGATCGGGAACCCCAGCCCTGACCCGATGCCCTAAGCCCTTCCTGCTACCCGATCGGGCCAAAGTAGATGCGACGCGCGGGACGCGTTGGCGCGTCCAAGGAGCGCCTCGCCTCCGCAGCGCAACCATGTCGGGTCGGTGAGTTGCTGAATTGAGGTCCCCTCTACCAGTCTGTCTGGACACCACATCATGGCCTCCGAAGCTATGCGCCCCAGGGGCAGACCAGCCCGTAAGTGCAGCTGCCGCGGCGGCCTATGAATACACCTCGGTCTAGGAGTTAGATAACTAACGCTGCAATCTGCCTGCCTAGATACCCCGGGGACTACTGTACTGGCATACACACCGGACGGACGCCGTGTCATCACAGGTGGCTCCAACTCTGCAATTCGAATCTACACGGTCGGACAAGATGGAGAACCGAAAACCGTCGACGAGGGTAACGACGGCCACATGGGAATTGGTGCCACCGTGCGTTGCAAACACTTCCCGACTTACTGGCATGCATGCATGATAAGCTAATTCTTTCCAGAACGACACGTTCATCCTGGGCGCGGAGGACGGCACGGTTTGGCAGTACGAGATGGAATCGGGCCGGATGGAAAAACTGCTGGTACGATGCGCGCTGCCGGTGCGGGATATCGCCGTTTCCAAGGACGGAGAATGGGCGGCTGTGGCGAGCGAGTTCGTTGTCCCTGGCTTGCGAATATCGCAATGAGAGATCGAGAGCTGACGTTGGCTGCGCCAGTGAGCTTACAGTGAAGATCGTGAACATCGAGGACATGACCAAAGTCAAAGTCCTTCGGGAGCAGGCGAAGGGAACGAAACACGTCACTTTCGATCCGAGTGGACGATACGTCGCTGTGTCTTGTACGGACGGGCTGCTTTACATCTATTCTACGCTCTCCGATGAACCGGAGTTGGTCCGGAAGTTGGACGGCGTGATCCGGCGCCTGGAGCCGGAGGATGAGGCTACGTCCCGGATCGTCTGGCATCCTGATGGAACGGCGTTTGCGTCTGCCGAAGCGACGCGCGACATTGCGATCTTCTCGACGGGCGAGTGGAAGAAGGAGAAGGTGTTTTCTGGTGGTCACAACGGCGATGTCACTGCCATTAGCTGGTCCCCCAATGGGGCGCTTCTGGCGACAGCTGGTGCGGATGGTCGGATTTTGCTGTGGGAGACGAAGACGCAGAAGGTTGTACAGCGCTATGACTTTCCGAATGTGATCAACCTTGCGTGGCACCCAAGCAACAACTCGCTCTCATTCACAACGTCGGATGGAGAGCTGTTCATATATGATGGGATAGTGCCAAGAGAACACCAACCGCTCCTTCAAAAGCCGCTCCAGGCTGCTCCGATCTTTTCTGGTCCGTTGACAGATATCTCCAACAATGTGAGACGGCCGCTGGCGAACCGACCGAAGGAGTCAATCGAACGGAGGGAAAGAGCTGCCACTCCCGATTCGCTTGACGATGTTTTGAATTACGATGTTGATATGGAGGGCTTTGTCGACGACGATGATGGAGCTGGTTACGCCGAGAGCGTCAATGGACTAGGCAAGCGCGCAGGCTCCCATCTGGACGAGGCTGACGGCCATGCGGATAAACGGTTATTGACGTCGTTTGCGAAGCCGAAGATTCACCCTCCTCTTCAGCCCGGAAGCACTCCGTGGCGGGGGAACAGACGGTATCTCTGTATGTATTCTACGGGCTGTTCCTGGTGGGAAGTGTGCTGATTATGGTAGGCCTGAACCTGACCGGCTGCGTCTGGACGGTCGACCAAGAAACTCACAATACGGTGACGGTTGAGTTCTACGACCGTGAGCTTCACCGGGACTTTCACTTCACCGATCCTTATCTTTATGATCGGTCGTGTCTCAGTAGGTTGAAGACGGAGCAATCCAGAAGGGGATTCCAAACTGACAACACCCAGACGAGCATGGGACTCTCTTCTCTAACAACCCGACGGACGGCAGCCCTGCCACGATCTTCTACCGACCCCATGAAACATGGACGACGCGTGCGGACTGGCGGACACAGCTGCCCAAGGGAGAATTTATCAGAGGTAAGAGGAGAACTGACGAACGACCTTCGCGCGGACGAGTCGGCTAATGTGTTCTGCAGCGCTGGCGCTTAGTGATTCATACATTGTCGCTGTGACAACCAAGGACTATGTCCGTGTATATACATTATTCGGTACCCCCTTCAAGGTGTACCGACAGAAGAGCCCGGCCGTTACGTGTGCCGCCTGGCGAGACTATATTATGACAGTGGGAAATGGCCCTCTAGGAAGCGATGGCCGCAACGCGACACTACGGTACACGGTTGAGAACGTCAAGCGGGACGAGATCTGCCAGAACGAGGACGTGCTTGCGATCCCCGAGGGCGCGGAACTACGGAGTGTCTTTTTCTCTGATGCCGGAGTGAGTGAATCCCCATTCATCCTATCCCGAGTTCACGCTGACAATTGCAGGACCCCTGCATCTACGACTCAGAAGGCGTTCTTTTGGTCCTGCAGCACTGGCGTAGCAATGGCCAGGCTCGCTGGGTCCCGCTGCTCGATACCAGACAACTCGAGCGTCTTGCGAGCGGGCGCAAGGAGGAGACGTACTGGCCCGTGGCCGTGGCGCAGGACAAGTTCCACTGCATCATCTTGAAGGGAGGAGACAGATACCCATACTTCCCACGGCCGCTGCTGAGTGAATTCGACTTCCGGGTTCCCATCTCGGACACGCCCGGGAAGGGGCCGGATGAGGACGAGGAAGAGGGCTCCACGCGCAACGACGGAGCACGATTCGAGGAAGCCTTTGTTCGGGGCAGTCTCATGCTGTCACTGTTCGAGGACCTCGTGTCGACCACCAATGCCACCACGGGCCAGCGGGCGGAATTGGCGCGGAAGGAGCTGGAAGTGGACAAGATCCTGCTGCAGCTTCTGGCGGTGGAATGCCGGGAAGGCGAGGACCGGGGCATGAAGGCGTTGGAGCTGGTCCAGATGATGCGCGACCGCAATGGCAAGATGGTCGAGGCGGCCGTGAAGATTGCGGAACGATATGGCCGCGGGCTGCTGGAGGACAAGATCCGCGAGGTGGCCGAGCGGCGATATCTAGGGGCCGACGATGACGACGAACTGGCCTGAGCGGAGGCTCATGGCCCATGTGTATGACTGCTGTGAATAATGCATCCGGCGTAATCAATGAAATGAATCCGTTCTTCTGTCCGAACTAGAAGAGGCGTTGGCTGCCTGAGGCAGCGAACCGGGGCGGGCCGACGTCATCGCCGCCTTCGGCGCCGACTTCATCTTCACCTTCTTCTTCTCCTCCTTCTTCTCCTTCTTGGTCCAGTTGCTCTCCATCTCTAGCCGTGGCTCATGAATCACTCCCCTCTACATGGCTGCGCCCACGCCTTTTGCGGCCGCTCTGCCAGACATGCATTGATAGACATTGACTGATGCCCACCCCCCTGTCGCCTCTTGTCCGCGATGCCGCCGAAGCTAGTTGTCCCTGGCCCAGCGCCTCCGTGCGCCCTCCGACGTCGTCCAAACCCTCCTCCTTGGACGACCCAGTCGGCTGTCTCTCGTCAACAGTGCTTCTTCTCTCCTTCTCCGCCGACCCTCGCCCAGCCGCGACCTGATATCATCCATGGACCGCAGTTGACCCCCGTGTCGCCGACGCTCTTCTCGCAAACCGGTTTCCGACCGTCCTTATCGGATGGCCTCGACGGAGGGCCACAGCCCGACCATAAACCCCCGGATGAGCGGATTCTGAAGCTCGGGAATAGTGAGTTCGTCCCATTGTGCCCTTCCCCCTTCCCCCTTCCCCCTTCCCCCTAACAAAGTGACCAAAGTTGACCGCCTCGATGCCCGACAGCTCTCCGGATCCTCTCGCCTCGACTACCGACCCTTCTCACCAACCCGTTACCCACGAAGATCCTCTCCCCCAGCGTCACCCTCCACCTCTTCCCCTCCACACACCCGCACCTCCCCAATGTGAAGGGCCGAACGCTATACCGGGCCGTGCTCTGGACCGTCCCGGTAGCATGGAGCAGCCTCCCCCTGCTGGGCAACGTCAAACTACAGATTCTGAGCGAGCGCATCGTCCACGCAGGAACAGTGCTAGACCCGGGATGCAATACCGGCTATCACGACCCCAGCGACGAGCGTCTGGTGGTCCGATGGAGGACCGAACCGCGAAGCGATACCACCCACCCGGTCACCCCCAACACCAGTACCAGTACTGCCGCTGGCCCCGCTACAAGCTCTGACTCCCCCTCAAACACCCCCGACAGCCATCTATCCTCCTCCAAAACCGGCATCAACAAAGGGCTTAGTGTTTTACTAGGCGGCGACGCCCCAATATTCAAGCTGTCCAAGGAGGAGCAGTTCACAGGACTGTTCATCTTCTCCTTTGACGAGGAAGGTCGCATTGCGTCGCACACGATCGAGCACGCTGATAATGCGCGTGGCTGGGACCGCACGTCCAAATTCGTCACCCTGACGGACTGGTTAATCGGCAAGGCGAGGGGATCGCTGGATCCCGCGACCGAGCCCGGATTCGCCATCCAGGGCTGCCACGGCTATGAACTCCCTTGCAGCAGTCGCGATCGGTCATCTGATTCTGATTCTCGCCGTTGGTCGTAGTTGAGTCCAGTACCGTGCATATCAGGTTCCGTTTCATATCGTCACGTTTACTACTTACTAAGCACCTAGTACTTCCATTCCTTTGAAGTGAACAGACGGTCGGGGGCATAAAATACAGGGCCTCCAGGGAAACGGTGTTCGGGTTTGACTGACGTTGCCCAATATCTATCTATCCCCGTGGGGCTTGGGGCTGTATTTCTTACGGCGTTCGCAGTCCATTCTGTCTAGAGTGGACATTATATCTGCCTCATGTCTCATTTGCTCTCCTCTCCCCTCTTCTGTGCTCTTTTCTATTTCTATTTGTATTTGGTTGAACTTACTCCTCTCTCTAGATGTACAATACCCAATAATGAATAATGGTCTTGTCACTGAGCCAGCCAGTGGATTCTGTTGCATGATTCTAACATATCTAATTCTAGACTGACAGTACAGTTGTGAGGTCATTCATATACCTGGTTTACATAGCAGGCCCCCCGGGGGGTTTTATCTGATCCAAGCGTAAACATTAGCACCAACCTAAACAGATGGCACCCATTCCAGGTTAGGAATGTATTAGGCCTTGGGTTTCTTCTGCTGCGGCGCACCCGCGCCAATGGGAGGCGACTTCAAGGTGCTGAAGACGGCGACGCAGACGGTCACCATTGCGATGCCACCAGTGGTGTAGGCGATTTCGCGCCCAGCCCACCAGAAAAGGGAGCAGAAGAGCAAGGGACCCGCGGCGCGACCGACCTGGCCCCAGCTGCGGAGACGACCCAGGACGGCTCCGCGGTTGGATTCCTGCGCCTCGAAGCTGCCGAGACTGTTCAGACCTGTGACGACGGTGGCGCTCGTGATGGCCAGCAGGCCACCGGCAGCGTATAGGCCGGACAGCGAGGAGACGCGCGCCAGCATGAAGAACGAGATGGTGCAGGCGACGACGCCGGCGCGCACGGTCACGAGCGGAGGGAGGCGGCGCACCACGGTGCCCTGAAGCAGGGAGGCGATGAGACCCATCATGGATAGGAGACGGCCGTTCAGGGCGGAGGGGCTGGCTTGGCTGCCGGCGTAGAAGGTGGCGGTTAGGAAGGGGAGGGAGAACTCCATGCCGGAGAAGGGGAGGAGGAAGAGGAAGTGGATGGCATTGAGGAGGGCGGGGTTGTTGGTGTGTTTCCGTGGGGAGGAAGAGGAGGAAGGCTCATCCTTGTTCTTGTCAGTGTTGGTAGTTGTGGTTGTAGAGGATGTGTGGCTAAGTTTGGTGAAGCGAGGGTGAGTTTCTGGGAGGCAGAAGTAGAGGTAGGCGGTCTCGACGACGATGAGAAGGAGGGAGACGCCGGCGGCGGTGGCGAATGGGTTTGCGGCGACGGTGGTGATGTTGGAGAGGGCGGCTCCGAGGGCGGGACCGCAGGTGAAGGCGATGCTGAAGCACGCGCCGACCAGGGCCATGGTGGAACCGCGCTGGCTGGGGTCGCTGATGTCGGTCGCAATAGCGTTGGCTAGCTGGACGTTACCCTCGCTAAGACCGCCGACGATGCGACTGGCGAGAAAAGTGCGAAAATCCGTCGCGGCGACCCAGAGAGCGACGCTGAGGGTGTTACCAGCCATGGACCAGAGGAGAGCAGTTTTGCGACCGCGTTTGTCGGAGAGACGGCCAATCCAGGGAGCTGCGATAGCCTGCAGGAAGGAGAAGAGGGAGCCGAGGGCACCCCCGAGGAGGACGATGTCATAGCGAGAGTCGATTGGTTTGGCGAAGGCGTTCTTGTAGGCGTTGAGATAGTGGAAGACGCGGTTTAGAAGGGAGTTCGGCGAGGGATCTTGGTTGCGGTAGAAGGTGAGAAGAGACGGAAAGAGCGGAAGAATGAAGGTGAAGGATATCTGGTCGACGGCGGTTAGAAGTGCAGGTTGCGGTGGAAGCTGGAGGGGAGACGTACCAAATCCAAGAGCAACGAGGTCATCAAGACCTTGAGGATCTTCTTCCGCTGATCTGCGGCTACCGCCATTGTTGATCTGGAGGAGTTGGAGTGCGCAAGAAGTCCGGAAGAGGAGACGCCAAAGAGAAAAAAAAAAGGGAAAGAAAAGGAAACGTAGCAAGAAACGAATTAATCCAGCATGGGGAAGTGAGACGAGAGCTGGGAAGGGGTGAGGGGGAGAGAGGGGAGAAAGAGAGAGAGACAAGACACGAGATGACAACGCGACAGCTTCTTATGTCATAGCCCTGAACCCTACGTGCCATCCCTGCTCGGACATGACTGCCCCATTCGGCCAGCTACAGCTACCTGCGACTGACTAGTACTGGTATCTAGTAGATAGTCATGAAGACTCTAGTCTACCTTCTACGGACTACTGTCTGCCACCAGCTTCCGAGATGGGAAGAGTAGACCATGCCGCGCGTTCCATTGCCTCACTACTGCAGTAGCTTCATCCCTCCAGCTGTCAACAGCCGGAGTCTCCCCCCCCCCCCCTCTGCTGTAAACCGTCCAGACCTCCGTCTCCACGTGCCAACAAGATGTATGTGAATAAAATACATGAAAGGAACGGTGTAGGGGCAGCGACAAGAGAATCACCTTCATCACCCCCATCACCGGGATGCAATGGCTCCGCAGAAGCGGAAATCAAAGCGCGAAAGACAAGAAAAGGAAAAGATATCAAAGAGCAACAATATGCACGCTCAATAGTCGCAAACATATACAACAGGAACTTTTGGCAAGCAGATCCAAAAGAAACGTAGAGCAAAGTTGCCGAGCGGCTGGCTCGCCGGCCATCCTTCTTCGCCCTCCCATACCCGTTGTTGTAATCATTTCAAGAGTCATTGCTTTCGTCAACCATGACACCGCCATTACCCATGAGTTTATTAGTATGAAGAGATGAAAGACATGTGAAGGTCAGAGGCCACGGAGGCCACATAGAGCAGGAGGAAAACGCAGAGACGCAGTGTCGAAGATGCCCAGGACAATGCGAAGAAGCAATAAGGCGCTGGCGTGAAGTCGAAATTAAGTCGATGCAGAGAGGCACTTCTCCCAGACAAGGCCTTCGAAGCAGACGACCGATCTACTACATCCCAACCGAGAGACCAGCTTACTGGCTTCCAGCCGGGGCAGCACTCGGGATGCCGTTGCCGTTGCCGTTGCCATTGGCTCCGCCACGGCCACGGCCACCACCCCGTCCACGACCGCGACCGTGGCCTCGGAATTCACCACGTCCGCGTCCCCGAAATCCATCGCCACGCCCGCGTCCATGGCCACCACGGCCACGTCCGCGGCCACTGTGCTGTCTCTGGTGGTGCGCGGCTCCCTCGGCCGGCTTGGGCACGGTCGCATTCTCCCCGCTCGCATCGGTTGTCTCCACCGCAGTCTTGACCTCCACCTCGACCGCCGCGGGGGTTGCCTCAAGACCCGTTTCGGTCTCAGCCGGGTCCCGGGGGACTTCAATCCAGCCCTCCGTGTTGGCAGAGGAAATGCCAGAGGTGTTGGCATCCCAGTTGGCCTCCGCCACGGGGTTAGCACCGTCCCCAACCAACGTCTGAGAAGGAGGGGGGACCTGCTCGGGTTCGGTTTCGGCATCGGTGGGGGTGGTGTCGGTCACGACAGCAGCATCGGTGGAGTAGGAGGTATCCTGGAGCTCGGTGTAGCCGGCGTTTGCCACAGTAGGATCCGACACCGGTGCCGCCTCGGGGGCTTCGTCTCCGGAGGAGGGAGCAAGCTCAACGGAAGCCTGCTTAACCCTTGCATCTAATCAAAAAAAAAAAAAAAAAAGACTATTAGGACCAGAAAAGGACAGGACATGGGGTGTAGTGCGCACAAGTGACTTCGAGTTCAGTGCCGTCAACGCCGACGACCTTCTCGTCCGCGCCATCGATGATCTTCAGCATGGACGTGACTGCCTCCTGGGTGCCGCCGTAAACCTGGAAGAGGACACCTTCGAACGCACGGCTTTCGCTGGCAGTCTCGTCTCCAGACCGTCTCACGGTCGCGGCCGCGCAAAGGAACTTGCTGAGGCTAAGCAGCCGCTGCCGGAGCTCCTTCTGGCTGGTCTCTGAGGCCTCAGTGGCCGCTTGTTCCCGGAGAGTTTCGAGCTGCTCCTTGTGGGCCTTCTCCAGCTCCGCCTTCTGGCTGACCAGCCGTTCCTCGTAATGGGAAGCGAAGTCTTTGTACTGAGCGATCTGCTCCTCGATCTGGGCCACAGTGGCCTGAAGACCGGGCTTCTTCAAGGCCTGAGCCTTTTGATCGACATTGATTTTTTTCTCGTCGACGAGTTCGTCCAACGATTTGCCGGGGTTCTCCGCAAGGATGGCATCGACCTTAGCCGTTGCGTTCTGTATGAGGAAGAGATGTGAGCGATGGACCAGCGACCTGACTAGGATGAGTCATTTTCAACGTACCAGCTTCTTGAGAGCATTGCGCAGATTTCTGTAGCATCCCTGTCAGTATTCAATCCGGATGGGCCTTTCCCAAGACACAAGACCCAAATCTTGCGAATGCGCAGGCGGTGGGCTTCCATGACTGACGCACCTCTGCAGCTCCTTGAAGTGTTGGTGATCCAGGTTGTCCAGGCCATTCACTTCCTGCTTGGATGAGATCGAAGGGCTAGAGGCATGGTTCTGCTTCTGCTTCAGCTTCTCCGAGGCAGGTTCGGACTGTGAGGGAGAGTTCGTGTTGATGGATGTGGCAGCCATGACGCTGAGTTGTGAGATGGACGCCGAGAGTGGTTGTTGGTGTTTGCAGTCTTAAGTCTTTGGATAAAAATGGAGGGAGGAGCTTGGGGGGGGATGAGGGGAGGGATGTCAAGGTAGAAAGAAGTAAAGGCGTAAAAGGGCGTAGGGGGAGCGCGTAAATCAATGGAGTGACTGGGAGAGAGAGAAACAAAGGCGGCGTCGACGGCGGTGGATGAGAGCGCGAGTGAAGATGCGGGTGGAACTCTTCCGAACCTCTCAGCTCTCGTCCGTCCCAACCCTCTGGCCCCAATTCGCGCTCGGACGGGGGCCACCGCCGACGCGACGGGCTGTGGTTGGGTGGAGGTCGCTGATACTTGGAGCCTTGGTTACCTCTACTTTGTATGTATCTACTGTACAGGTTCAATTCCGACAGGGGAGACCCCTGCGGCTGGAAGGCCACCATGATTGTTGGGTATCATCACAACTCCTGATCAACGCCTTACCAGCTTCTATCGCCTGAACTACTCCGCAGCCCATTCCACAATAGAAGCCCCCACCCCCAATAAATCCGGAAACAGATAAAGACAAACCCAAAAAGAAACTATAGAACTCTCCCCCAATCCAACGCTGTGTGGTGCCGTTGTTATGCCAGGCAGCTCGAGATCTCATTGACGAGTTAGGCAGAAGCCCAGGGAATGAAGTCGACTCCCATGGTGCACAAACTCAACCTTTGAACTTCCGCAGTGTCTTCTATAGAGAATCGAACATCCAGGGTCAGTCTCGACCAGGACACACACCACGTCCAGGCAAAGAATGTCATACCTCAGTCACCTTCCGGACACTATTGGGCGAGATGTTCTTCTCGCCTGCTTTCCGCGACTGAATTGAGGATTCCCGCATCAACCTGAATAGACCACCGGATCGTCAGCACCGCGCTCATGCTCCGTTCTGCTCTCGGCTCCTCTCCAAACTGGCATTTATGGATGGCGGCGGCGTATCGAACGCGGGCAATAGACTAGGGTACCGACTCACTCTTGCATAAACAGCATGTAATCGAGGAAGATCTGAAGAGGAAGAGCGCGTTCGTGTCAGTCTCCCGTCATTGGACATCTGAGCTTATTAAAGGGCCTCCTACCAGAATATCTGCATTCTTGCTCAGACTGCGATTGGAGTGAGCCTTGACAACGCGCTTCACAGTCGCGCGCGGGTAGAGCTTCTGCGTCGCTGCCATGGTAGCTACTGGGACATGGAAAGGGAACCCGAGGCTGGCGTTGAGAAGAGGTTGTTTGGATGTGAGTGGATCAAGACAGCCGAGGAAGGAAATGACAATGAGAACAATGATAAGCTTGCCCGCCAGGGACGGGAGGCGATGGGCGATACGCAGCCGTCTTGCGCAAGGTAAGTTACGATTTGTAATTACCGTACCATACATACTATTGGGTTTCGGCTACCATGGTAATGCTGTATTGGAAACACCATGTCGGCAACCACTATCTACTAACTAGGTAAGGTAGTACTTCCAATGTCGAGATGTCGAGATAAAACACATATACAACAACTCTATTGGCATGGCTTACATCTCCATCTGGTTATAAACAATGAACGAGGCACATTTACCGAAGTCGACGGAGCAATTTCCAGGCATAAATGGCCGCTGTCGACCCCAGCGCGATCCTCCACACGACAAACATATAGATGGCGACTCGGACTCGGTCGTAGTAGCCGTTGAGCATGATACCAACTGCATATGTACTCTCGTCGGGGCTTTGGTCCGACGGGCCATAATACCTGCCCACTCCAAGTCCCCCAATGCCGACTTGATTGTGATCGGCTTTCGAATCGCTGGTCACCTTCGTCACGGGCAGTGCAGCTGTCTGACTGTCCACTGCGGTGTTGCTGGGGCGGGCCCCAGACTTGACCTGCTGTCGGTTGCGTTTCCGCAGACGATATGTAAGGGTATTTATAAGCAGTCGCAGGTCAGGCGCGGTAAAATTCGGGTAATTCCATAGCTCTACAGCAGTATGTGGTGGAAGCATATCTAGAAAGTCCGCCAAGATCCCAAGTGTCAGGCCCCAGAGTAGGAGAGGTTGACTCTGAGTGTTGGACTCGGCTTGACCGCCAACGCACCACGATTTCCATCGCTGAAACAGCGACGCAGGCGGCTGGGTGTTCCCCGGAACATATCCAGGAGTCGAGTTGCACTGCAGGCTCTCAGTTGGGCTTAACTGGATGGCAGCAAACTGCATGAACCCCATCAAGGAGCGGTATGCGAGGCGGGATATGAGCCCGCCCATATTCGCCAACCGCTGAGACATGTCCACATGTTCCACTGTGCGCAAGGACGAAGAGAGCAGGGCCCTGAGGGGTACCCAATGGGTTGAAGCCACTTCTGTGGGTTGTAGTTTTAGGGTCGGGGAGTCGCTGCTCGTTAGCAGGAAGACGTAAGGGCAAAGGACCATCAACCTAAGGAAAGCGAATTTGGTCAGCGCCGTGCGTGCTTCCAGCCGAGGAGACGGTGAAACCAGCGGCAGAAGGGACGGGGAGAGCAGAGTACATACGGAACAGTGCCCCAGCTCGAAGTTACCACTCTCTCCGGCAGATTCCCAACGTAGACACAGTCATTCGTAGTCAGATCAAGTCCTATCTCCTCCGAGGCCTCTCGGATCGCAGCCTCTTTGTCGTCGGCATCCTCCGGGTCTCGCTTCCCACCGGGGAGGGCGACATGGCCAGTCCAGCGATCTCCAACCCTCGAGGCTCGTTTGATGAACAGCGCCTCGGGCTCCCCGTTCTGGACCCAGGACTGCAAGAAGAAAGTATCTAAGCGGGTTTTGGCGGAGGCGGAGGCGGAATCGGTCGGGGGTGGAAAGGATGAGGGATCAGGCCAATGGTTATATGTGGGACGGACGCGAAGGATGAGGGCGACAGAGGCGCGTTTCTTGCACGACGGCGGATTGGGGACGTGGGGATATGGACGCTGGTGAAGGTCTGACAAGACGTCATGGAGGGATTGGGCCAACGAGACAGGCTCCTGGGGTGATGGGAGGCTTGGGGAATCCATTGGCCAGGAGGAGCATTAAGGTCATATGCAGTGAGATTTTTGTTGAAGAGGAGAGGAGGCGATCCCCACTGCAGTGGAGAAAAGGCGACAGACAGCGGTATACCAGTACTACAAAGGTAGATAGATACTGTGTACTCCGTATTATTGTCGGCAAGCTGCTGTCGGAAAGCGAATATAATAACATCATCGTCGGCCCAAAAGGCGGCCTGCTTATCGGCGAGAGAGCCGCGTTAGGACGACGTACGGTACTGGTATTACGGCGGGGGAGCTTGACGGCCAATTCGAGGCCGGCCGGGGAGCTGCCCGGCGCCGCAGCCAATCAGCAGGAGCCGGCCGGGCCAGCCGTGACACTAAACGGGCAAGAGCCACAGTGCCGGGCGCACGTGCATGGATACGGCGATGGGATGCAACGACTCGCCCAGGCTAAACGGCTCTCACTGCGAACTAGAGTATATTAGATCAATCTCCCGTCTGTCGCTGCTTCTCTAGGCTCTTGAAACACTCGCCACACTTTTCTCCCCCCCTCCTTCTTCCAGCGAGGTGATTTCTTCCGCTCCCATCCATCCCTTGCTTACACTGCTGCTGCCCTTTTCTCAATCCGACGGCAGCGTCTCCGCAGTCCGCAGTCCGCATTCCTTCTGCCCACTACTAGACCCCAGCCCTTGCGGAGCTAGTATCTCTTTCCTTTCAACTGTCGCGTGCCCAGTTTCCTTATCCCAGCATCGCCCGACATGCGTTTTGGAAAGACTCTGCGGAACTCCATCTATCCCCCCTGGAGTGGGAATTATATCGACTACCACCGCCTAAAGGCCCTGCTCCGGGAGCATGATGTCACTGGAGATGGCAGCGACTCGGAAACCACACCATGGACCGAACAGGATGAGGAGGCCTTCGTCGAGGAGTTGATAAACGTGCAGCTCGATAAGGTCAATGCCTTTCAGATGGAAACGCTACAGCAGCTGAGAGAGCGCACGTCGGCCTGTGAGACCCGGTTGCGCCCGTTGACTACCACTGCCGATGACGAGACCCCTGCGATTGTGAACGGTGAAGAGAAGAAGACGGTCGCCTCCGGGGTCCTCGAAGAGTTGGACAGTATCACCAGAGAGGTGACTGAGCTGGAAAAATATAGTCGGATCAATTTCACGGGCTTCCTCAAGGCCGCAAAGAAGCATGACCGCAAGCGCGGTACCAGATACCGGGTGAAGCCTTTGTTGCAAGTGCGGCTCTCGCAGTTGCCATTCAACTCAGAGGACTACTCGCCCTTGGTCCGCAGATTGTCTGTGATGTACTCCTTCGCCCGGGAGATCCTTAGCCAGGGCGTCGTGGAGATCAAGGACCCCGCCGAGTCTCGGTTTGGTCAGGGCGCCTACTCCTCGTTCAAATTCTGGGTGCACGCAGATAATGTCCTGGAGGTGAAGACCTATATTCTTCGGCAACTTCCCGTCCTCATCTACAACCCTGGTACCTCCAAGGACCTTACCACCGTTCCCGACGACCCCACGATTACCTCCCTGTATTTCGACAACCCGCAATTCGACCTCTACACCCAGAAGGTCGCTCGTGCCCCTGAGGCCGGTTCTCTTCGGCTGCGCTGGACTGGCAACCTGCAGGACAAGCCCGCTATCTTCCTGGAGAAGAAGGTTGTGACGGATGACGATCGCAGTAGGGAAGTGAAGGTGCAACTGAAGCAGAAACATGTCAAGGAGTTCCTTGACGGCGAATACCGATTCGACAAGAAGGTGCATCGGATGGAAAACATGGGCAACGGGGAATCGGAGCATGCCGAGTCTTTCAAGAAGGACGTCGAGGAGCTGCAATCCTTCATCAAGGAACACAACCTGCAGCCGATGCTCCGAGCCAACTACACGCGCATGGCCTTCCAGATCCCTGGAGATGACCGGATCCGGATTTCTCTGGATACCAATCTGGCTCTGATCAGAGAGGACTCACTGGAGGAGCTGCGCCCTTGTCGGGAGGCGAATGAGTGGCACCGTGGAGACATCGACGATGCCAACATGGAGTATCCGTTCAGCCGCATCAGAACCGGCGAAATCGCTCGGTTCCCCCATGCCCTGCTGGAAATCAAGCTGAGGGGCAGTACGGCGCACAATGCCGAGTGGATCAAGGACCTCATGGTTTCCCATCTCGTGAAGGAAGCCCCCCGGTTCTCCAAATTCGTCCACGGCGTGGCCCAGCTCTTCGAAGACTACGTAAACAGCTTCCCCTTCTGGCTTGGTGAGCTGGAAAGTGACATCCGACGGGATCCGGAGACGGCTTTCCACGAGGAACAAGAGCGACTTGCGAAGCGTGCCGAGGAGGAAATGGCGGTTGGAAGCTTCTTGGGCGGCAAGAGTCCTGCAGCAAGGCCCCTGGTGGGATCCCCGGTTCATAAGTTCACCGACGTGGAATCTTCCTCACGGGGCCGCCAGTCTCCGCAGGTCGCACACGCACAGCCATCCCAGCGTCCGTCGGCGCCCGAGGTGGCGCCGAGACCCGAACGCGACGAGCCCATCCAAGAAGTGGAAGAAGGAGAGCAAGCGGAGCAGCCCGTGACGCTGAAACGGCTGGCCGCTCTGTTCCCCTCCTTCCCCCTGTCCCGCGCCAACCGCGCCGACGAGGCTGCCTTGCCGCCTGGCGTCCGGGAACCCGGGACGTGGATCAAGGATTCAGGCCCGGTCCGGGTCGAAACCAAGGTCTGGCTCGCCAACCAGCGAACGTTCATCAAATGGCTCCATATCAGCATCCTGCTGTCCTCGCTCTCGCTGGGTCTGTACAACGCGGCCGGGAAGGACAACGATGTGGCTCGTGCCCTGTCCATTGTCTACACGTGCTTCGCCATCTTTGCTGCCGCGTGGGGATGGTACATGCACGAGAAACGGGCCCGCCTCATCCGCCAACGCAGCGGACGCGACCTGGACAACACCTTCGGTCCTATTGTCGTGTGCATCGGACTGGCCGTGGCGCTGGTCCTGAACTTTGCCTTCAAGGTAAGCCGTGCTAGGCTTCCATTCTTACCCCCCCTCCCTCCTGACTAACATGGCAATTAGTATAACTCTACTGTCGAGAGGATACGGGAGCGTGATAGTCTCGCGAACCCTCCCACGTTGAACTCGACCGGTTTCGCCAACCAGGCGCACCCGTGGCAACTGGTCAACCAGGGTGGACAGGCGCTTTGATCGGATGACTAGCTATCCAAAGTGCCGGTCTAGCAAAGGGGGGGGCAGGGGTGAGGCAGGGCTGTGTACAGTGCATTGCGATGTAAAATTGTCCATCCACCTTTGTGATTGTATACATAGGGTGTCTTGTCGATGTATGTATGTATTCTTAGCATTTTACTTGATTAAAAGTGAACCCCAGCGAGCGTCATTAGTTAGAATGGAAATGATTCTATACCCATGAGAATGACTGGACTTTCATCGAGTATGCCTACATCGTAGGGCCTAGTGGTCTAAGGGTGGGAGACGATATTATCTCTTGCCCATCAACGATGTCTGCTTTACTCACGGACTCGATGCTTCAAAATATAGTATTTCAGTTCATTCCGCCATTGTTATCATAACAACATGTCTTCATTGTTCTGGCATGAAAAAAAAAGAAAACGAAACGCTCAAGCTTCTAATGCAAGTGTATGTAGATGCACCAAACACGCAACCTCAACACAGCCCACGTCCCCCTTTCCCCTTCCCCCCCAAGACCCCCCAATACCCACTCTATCATAATCATGATCATGTATACCGCCCCGTCCCAGACGCAGTAGAGAGCAACGGGGCGCGCTCCGAATCCCTTTCCGTATGCGAAGACCCCGCGACTCCAGACAAAGGCCCACGGATGGGAAGTTTTCCGTTAGCAGCGGATTCATATAAAACGGAGTAGATGTAGCCGTCGAAGTTTGTTCTATGAGGAATAGGAATGGAGGAATGAGAATTAGCGCACTCACTCACTAGCTCACTCATACTCACAGCGTCCAAGAGGATAAGGTGGATTGAATGGGGATCAGGGGAAGGGAGGTACGTACCGATCGAAGAAGCCGCAAAATAGCCAGAGGTAGATAGTGCCCAGGAAGGCGATGATCCATTCGATGATGCCGGCGGTGCGGTAGTCATGCGCGTCTTCGGGGACGGTGAGGGAGATAAAAGCTACGCCGAGGAAGAGTTGGATGAGGATTAGGATGGTCGAGAGGGATGCGCTGCGTGGGTTAGTGGGTTGGTTGGTAGTAGATGTGAGTGGTATACATGTTGTATAGGGAGTCTGAGGGAGGTAAGAAAAGGGAGAGGGAAAGGAGGTTGCAGAGTCACATAACATACAAAACTCTCACTCGGAGACTCCTCTTTCCCCAGTTATGCTGCCACATGCCCCAATGGTACAGATAGGACGCAAAGCTCAGGACCTCATTGGAATACACGATTGCGGTGCCGGCGGACTGGATAGCCAGACCACCGAAGCAGATACGGAGGAAGATATGGTGGGCGTACTTGTAGCGGAAGGTATCCATGACGCCGAGCAGGATGAGCGCGGTGCTTGCCATTCCGGAGGCGAAGATGGAGAACAGAGAGATGACTTTGAGGGTTTTGAGGGTGTCGAGGTCTTCACATTCGTCTTCGTCTTCGTCTTCGTCTTCGTTGGCTGGGGTGATGTGACGGTGTATATCCGGGGCGGTGTTGTTGTTTTCAGGGTCGTGAAGGGAAGGGGGAGTGTTCTCGTTGTCGGGATGGGGACATCGCACCAGGGCGAATCCGGGCTCGTAGCGGACGACATGGACGGCAGCGACGGTGAACAGGAATCCGACGGCGGTCATGGAGGCACCGACGAGGAAGAGGGGCTTCAATTCGAACGAGGCGATGTCGGAGATGAAGCTAGCGAATAGACGAATAAGCATGAGGGTTGCGATAGAGGATAGAGGAAGAAGAGGTTCGGAGCAGCTCACGCGACATGGGGATTGCTTTGGCCCGGGTACTTGGGCATGCCACGACCGAGCCAGGTCAGGAGCAGAGCAGACAGAGTCAGGAACCAGACCAAGCCGGCCAGGAAGGGGAAGATGCGGAGTCGCGAAGGGGGGATGTTGAGGATGACGGCGTGGAGAGACGCCCAGACGGAATCATGGCCGCGGAGGAGAAGCGCGGTGATCATGGAGAGCTGTGGCAGGGTGGCAGGCAGGTTGGTTCCTGAATGAGGAGAAAAGAGGGAGAAGAGGAGGACTACTCCTCAGTCCTTCCTCCCGGACTTGAAGCATTCCAAGAATCCGGGCATTCCCCGGATTTCCGCGATGATGTCACTCGTGGCGGGGTGATCGACCAGTTGTATATAACAACTCCTATGAGTGACCCAGAAGAACCTAAGTACTTTGGTTCTACCCATCGGACCGTCTCCAACCTGCTGACAAATCAAGCTGCCTCGAGACGATGCTCAAATTTCTATCTATACAGATTTACAACCACCACTTTCTCACCTTCCCCGCCATTCAACCACTCTGACTCTTGTCTGATCATCCCTAGATAGCTGCACAATACATCCACCCATCACCATGACCAATTTCAACATCCAGATCATCTCCGACACCATCTGTCCGGTACGCATACGCATACCCACCCCCACCCCCAACCCCGCTCCCCTCCAACAAAATCCTAATCAAAAACAGTGGTGCTACATCGGCTTCCGCCGGCTCTCACGCGCCATAACCCTCCACAAAACGACCTACCCAAGCGACACCTTCACCCTGACCTGGCACGCATTCTACCTGAATCCCGCCTCCCCCGCATTCCCCGGCCTCGAGAAGACGGAAGCCTACGCGACGAAATTCGGCCGGGACCGGGCCTTCGCCATCTTCGACCGGTTGACGGCGGTGGGCCGGACGGAAGGGGTGCAGTTCAGTTTCGGGGGGCGGACGGGGCGGACGCGCGATTCGCATCGGGTGGTGTGGTGGGCGGGGAAGAAGGAGAAGGAGGGGGAGGGGGAGGCATCGTTGGAGGGGAGTCTGGTTGGGGGGCTGCAGACGAGGGTGGTGGAGAGGTTGTTCCGGGCGTATTTCGAGGAGGAGAAGAACATTACGGATCCCGAGGTGTTGGTGGAGGCGGCGGTGGGGGCTGGGCTGGAGAGGGAGGCGGTGGTGAGGCTGCTTGAGTCGGAGGAGGGAGGCGCGGAGGTCGACTTGGAGGCGGAGCGGGCAAGGCGCCAGTTGGTGACGGGGGTGCCGTATTTCATGGTCCAGGGGCAGTATGCGGTCGAGGGGGCCGATGAGCCGGAGACTTTCTTGGAGGTGTTTGAGCAGGTCAAGAAGATTGCTTGAAAGGAGAAAGACGATCTATAGGGAATGGTTGGAAACAGAACATGTTTTTACATTGATCGTTCTAGGTTTAAATCAGGCAACGGACATTTATCGTGCGATGCTCTTGATAGCAAACATGCAGACATAACACACACACAGCGAAGTGTAAGAAGTTTAGTAGCGGAGTCTAATCTGAAGACAGCCATCCCTTTGCCATTACGTCCTCCGAACCTCCACCCCAAGTCTTGGAGAGCACCCCTAACGCCGGAGACAATAATGCGAGTAAGGACATACCCAGAAGGAATCATGAAGAGGGTGAGCAATCGGCCGGCGCCCAAGAAGGAGATGTGCGCGCTAATCGTGAAGGACATCTCCCCGGCATAATACACGTAGTAGAAAGGGAAGGAAAGGTGAGCAGCACATAGAAGATCACAGGCACCACAACTCCAGGAAGCCGGAAGGAGGAAAATAAGAGAAGGAGAAGAAAGTCAAGTGACGGAGGGTGGGGTCGGATAACGCCTCTCGCCATGCAGGAAGAAAGTTGTTACAATGGATTTCGATCCCAGTAGTGGAGATGGCGAAAGCAAAGCGGAACCGCCACCACGTCTAGTGGGTAGGGGCCTGCTGCAATTTGAAGTCCGGGATGTAGTCGAACCAGTCGGTGTTGGTGTTGTAGCGGTACGCCTTAAACTCCACCCCGTACGGCTTGGGTTCCAGCATGTACAGCATCCCCAGGGGCACGTCCAGGGAGGCCACCTCGTCGCGCTTCAGCCCACGGAAGTACGCCAGCAGGACGCGCGCCACGGACCGGTGGGTCACCATCAGAACATGGTCGGTCGTCCGCTCCGCCTCAATGATCACCGCGCGAAGCCGGTTGATCACGTCTAGGTACCCTTCGCCGCCAGGTCCGGGGTAGCGGTAGTAGAGCTTGTTCTTGCGACGGGAGGCGTACTCGTTCGGGAACTTGTCGCAGATTTCATCGTAAGTCAAGCCTTCCATCTCGCCCGCGTAGAGCTCATCGAGCATCTTCATCTGCTTCACATCGTAGTCGTCTTCGTTGAAGTAGTCGACCGTCTGCACGGAACGTTGCATCATGGAGGACCAGACGCAGAAGTTGCGGGGTCGGCCGCCGGGGATCCACGACGGGTTCGGGGGCGTGCTGTCACCAGGGCGAGGGGGCAAGTGCCGCAGCATTTCCTTTTGCCTCTGCACCAGCTCCCATTGCTGTCGCTGGTGATCGATGAATCGATTCAGCGCCCGTGCGTACCGATGGCCATTCTCGCTGAGTTCCGAGTCGCCGCCAATGCGACCCAGCTGGTTGTCCTTGCTCTCACCGTGCCGTGTGATCCAGATCTGACGAGGCGATAGGTTGAAGTTCAAAAGGTAGTAGACCACCTGAGAGGAGAGGAAGCCATGGGTTTGGTGGGACACCATCTTGCGCCCAACGTCGATCATCTGGATGTATGCCATCCGGTTCTTCTCTTCATATTCGCCCAGAGGGACATACGACTTTTCGTAGAGGCTGACACGTCGCTTGAAATCCTCGAGCGCCTTGACCGGATCTTGATCCTTGTAGTCGGGACCCGATAGCTTGAGGCGCATGTTGGATTCCAGCAGTTCTTGGTCCACACAACTGCTTTCCAAGAACAAGATGTTGAGTTCGGGGCCAGCACGGCGGCGAATATGATCAACGATCGCCTTGCGACGCTCCATGGTACTGTTGGTAGCATCGAGAATGCCGACACTGCCGCCTTGCTCGAGGATGTAATCCAGCAGTTCATCCAACGTATCCAAAGCCACCTGCTCTCTGAGCTTCACAGCCAGCTGGTTTTTGGGGTCGAAAAAGCTGGCGGACTGGTCGATGGGCTCGGGGGATGCTTCTTGGACAGCCTGCTGCTCCTCCGGGCTGGCGTTGAACGGTGGGACAATCTCACTTTGCCCAGGGTCGTCCTCATGAAATTCTTTTTCTTTCCCGTTGACGAGGATCTTCGTAGGGATCACGGGAGGGGGGAGCGTGCTCTCAAGTTCGGGAGGCGATGTAATGGCACCGTCCGATACACTCGCGGTGGCCTCAGGCAGAATGTCCTTCTTCGACGGTTGGTTCATCGTTCCCACGCTGACACTGAGGCGTCGCACCGAATCGACGAGCTCGCTGTGAATGGTGCTCGCTCTGTGGCTGGGACGTCGTCCCGCGACGGCGGGGGACTTTCCGGCAGCAACACGGCGACGCTCTCCGACGTTGAAGATCTCTGTATCATGTTGCAGCCAGTTCAGATACCGAGCCAACTTCTTGGTGACGTAACTCTTTCCCCGGGCAGGAAGGCCGACCATGACGATGACTAGCTTGGACCCCACATCTCGTTGGGCGATACGGCCATCGGGCGAGACCTTGGACTTGGTGAGACCGGGAATATCAAGGGTGGTAGCGCGCACTCGGCCGGGGGTAGAAGGGGTGGTATTCGCTGTGCTGCAAGGCGGGTTAGCGTTTCACGGAGATGACAAGTTCACACTAGCTTAGGACAGTGTATCCAATGAAAAGCCAAAAGGGGGAGGGGAGGAGGAAGAGAGAGAGAGGGGCAGAAGCAATAAGCAAGGCGGGTGAAGGGAAAGGAATGCAAGATAAGATGATGGGATCACGCCTGACAGCCGCGGGACCGACAGGGCCAGTCGGGTCGACAGGACCCGAGTTGACGACTGTCGATCATTCCGGGGCAATGTGTAGGACGTCAGGCCGATAGGATCTAGAATGCTCTTTTTCGGCGCCTCGAGGAACCGATGCGAGATCTAGGCAGCGGGCGAAAAGGACGGACCAACGGAGGCGAAGGGAAAGGGGAGGAACATACAATTGTGGAGACGAGGGTGCGGTAGAAACCGGAGTGTCTGTTAGGGCAAAGCCGACACCATCCTTGGGCGCCTGGGATCCCTTGTGGACATCGGAATGCAGCTCGTTCCCTAGCGCTCGTCCGACCAGCGTCTTCGGGGGAGGCATAAGATTGGCGTCCCTCCCGGCTCCCGAGCTGGAGTGCGATCCGTGGGGTTTTGCCGACGCGCCACGTTGATGCTCAGGCAGCGACGCGCAAGTCATGATGGCGGAGCGTGCAATATCTGTGTGTTGAGATTGAGACATCGGGGCCGCGAGTGGCGCCCGGAGATGCGGCGGGGGAGAGGAGGGAAAAGGAAAATGGAGTTCGAGAGTCGGAGGGGGGGGGGGGGGGTTCGATAGTTGAGAGGTCGAAGATATAGTGAGGTGGGCAGAGGCGATGGCGATTCACTGGCCGCACTGGCCGCCGTTCGGCTGTCCAAGAGGCAATGACGGAGGGGTCGAGAGGGAAAAAAAGGAGGGGGAAGTTGTGGTGGTCGTGCGCGGATGAGTCAACCAAGTCCGTCACGGCGGGTTTCCTTCCGCCAACAACTCTCTCTCTCTCTCTCTCTCTTATACAACCCACCACGGAGTCTAGTCGCGTCTGGCCTGGTCTGCTATCGACGGCACCCACCCCAGGATAGGAGGCAACAAGAGACGAGAGTGATGGATCACAGCACGCGATTCCTCCAGGGCGGCGGCACCATGCAATGCAAGGCTCCTTTTCCGGGTCTTCCGAAGGCCCCCAAGGCGAATGATTCCAGGCAAGGAACGGGATTCGAGCACGGGGTGGCGGGTGCGGCTTCGGTTGGAGGATGGGGAGAAGCTTGAGAAGAATTGGTTCGCACCTGCGACCGGCATATATTTTTGAACGCCCCAGCGGCGCCGCCGATGAAGTCACTGATTCCTGGGTACTGCGTCGGTTCGTCAGGAATAATAAACGGTGGAGCTTCCGCGGGTTGATCTACAGCATGACCACAGATGATGTCAAATCATATCCACCGCCATGACCCTCCGGCTTTATAAGGTCCTCCCGGTTATCCGCTGTACCAGAGACCCCGCTTGTCATTCTGCACCGTCGATCGGAGAGCAACAGAAAAAAGAAAACAAATAGTCATTGCATCTAGCATTAACTATGGATGGAGGCACAAGCACCCCCAGAATGCTTGGCCTAGGTAAGGGTGTCAACCACTCCCTTCTCGGCGGCATTCCGCCAGCCCTGAAACCCCCCCGGCCCGACCGGGAACCCATAGATTCTCGCTTCCTTATGCGAGGTATACGCATGAATCTGTACATTTCGGTCGGCTCTGTTGCAGCCGCGCAGCCATGCCAAGGATTCCGCTCGATCTCGGACTACCTTGTCCCCATCGGTCTCGCACAGGATGGCCCCATTGGTCCACGTCTCTCCCTTGCTGCCCATCTGATCCCTCCAGTCAGAGCCAAGCCTCCCACCCCGACTGATCTGACCACATCGATTCTGAGCATTTAGTAAGGTTACCTGGAACATCTCTTGACCCCACAACGCCTGGATAGCTGATAATCTGGCCGTGGGACGAGCTAAACCGTGTACGACCTCCACACCACGCACCACTGGGCTGTAAGAGAGAACCTTTCGGCAGGTCTGCAAGTCCATTGCGCATCCCGGGCGCCGGATAGGCCGAGGATGGAAGCAACATTCTGCGATACGCTTGGCACTTGGCAGTTACGCAGGGAGGCCAGAAGCGCCTTACCTAGAGATTTGCTAGGCTGCCAGCGAGTCGGGAGGGTCTAGTGGTCCAACCTCAGAGTCAGCGCGATAAGGGTGGCGTAGGCGGCGATGCTCAGAGCCGTCAGAACCACCACCGCATTCCCACTCGTCCTGAACTTGTGACGGATGCCATCTTCTCCCACCTCGGCGAAGAATTGCCGGTTGCCTTGCTGGCGACGGAAGAGCCCGATGATGAGCACCCCGGTGCCGTAGATGGCGAATAGCGCCCCGGTACTGTAGAACTCGCTGGTGAAGATCTTGAGGACCACCAGGGCGAATGAGAACTGTGAGAGCGCGGTCCGGATGTAGGCTCCTTCGAAGGTCCGCTGGGCGGCTCGCACCTCGACAATCTCGTCAGATGTCAGTGCAACGGTGCGGGCACGGTGCATCCGGAGCCGATAGCGGTCCGCAGCACGACGCTGGTGCCAGTTAGTACGAATCTCATGGTCCCAACCAACCACTTCGCGGGCAAGCCGATAAAGAAGAGTGGCATTCCCCAGTCACCCGACGCACCTCGAACATCGCGACGTGTCATGTAATCTCGTGGTATGATTATGAGCCGATTCTCCGGTTGACGGGAAGGACGGCGCCAGCAGGTCGTTTGTTATGAGTCGCGGCGGGCGAGTTGACCTCTCCGATCTGCGAGCTCCCGAAGCTGACGAGGGAAGAGACCGTCCGGTGTATGTCTCTGAACGGGTCGAGGAGGAGGTTGAGGTTGAGATTGAGATTGGGCGAACTGAGGAGCTGCAGCAGTCCGTCGCTCACGTGGACGAGCCGTCCGTGGCTAGAAGGGGAATAGTGGGCTAGGCACGAGACTTGGGGTTGGGTGTCTAGACTGTCTTACACAATAACACTACGTACTCCGTACAGAATACAGACAGAATGCTGGGTGCTGTTATTCTGGGCACTGCCGGAGGATATCCGGAGGGTGAAGCGATCAATCACTCTCAGTTCAATACCCAAACAGGGCAACGGACGGAACCTGAGGCAGCCGCGATGATATCAGCGCCGAGAGCAGGTCCACCAATGGGCGGCCGCCTTTCTCTAAGCCGGGGGCGTTCGGCGAGTGAGATTGCCCAAAGCGGGCGCAATAGCCGCCCCCATCTTTCTCCGCCGTTCGGCTTTCCGTCCGAATCGCCCATCTGAAAATGGGGGTTGGCGTGGATTGTCCACCGCGCATCGCCATCGCTGCAACTTGCATGGCGCTCGGCTGTTCGTTCGCCAATTCCGACGCCAGCGACCTCCTTCCCCTCTCCCCCTTGACCGCTGCCCCGTCCTCTTCTTCTTCTCCCCCGTGTGACCCTTTTGAACCTCTGCCACCCCGCCCATCCATCAGTTACAAGCCGAATCCACGGAGCACACGGTGAGAAGATGGGCAAGGTCTTCGACGCGGCAGAAGGTAGGTCTTCAAAGCCCCGAGCTGCGTCATCGGCGACCGTCCACGAGGGAAAGCATGGGAGCTAACGGGGAACCTCAGTCGCAAAACACAACACCCCAGAAAGCTGCTGGGTAATTCTATATGGCAAAGTCTACGATGTATGTCCGCCCGACCATATATCCATTGATTCTCTTGCCCTTGTCTCTCGGCTAAACAAACAATCCCCCCAATCAGGTTACCGACTTTCTATCAGAGCACCCTGGTGGTGCCAGGATCATTCTGAAGCTCGCAGGCAAGGATGCCACCGAGGAATATGACCCCATCCACCCCCCAGGGATCCTGGAGGAAAACCTGAAATCCGAAGCATTCCTGGGAACCGTCAATGCTGATACTCTGCCCAAGGTGCAGGCGGAGCCTCCGTCAGATGCGGTGGAGCAGGAGGGTCCGCCCCCGATGGAGGATCTACTCAACATGGACGATATCGAGCAGGTGGCCACGAAGAACGTGAGCAAGAAGGCCTGGGCCTATTACTACTCCGCGTCTGATGACAAGATTACGAAACACTTCAACACCGAAGTCTACCGCTCCATTCTCCTACGCCCTCGGGTGTTCGTCGACTGCACAAAATGTGACCTTGATACCACCGCCCTGGGCCACAAGCTCGGCATGCCCATCTACGTGTCGCCCGCCGCCATGGCCCGTTTGGGCCACCCCGCGGGCGAAGCGGGCATCGCAGAAGCCTGTCGCAGCTTCGGGGCCATGCAGATCATTTCCAACAACGCGTCCATGACGCCAGAGCAGATTGTCCAGGATGCCGCTCCAGACCAGGTGTTTGGGTGGCAGCTGTACGTCCAGGTAGACCGGAAGAAGAGCGAGGTCATGCTGGAACGCATTAACAAGCTCAAGGCGATCAAGTTCATTGTTCTCACCCTGGACGCTCCGGTACCGGGTAAGCGAGAGGACGATGAGCGTGGCAACGCAGTGGGGGCATCGGCACCGGTTGCGAGCGCCGCCCAGGCTGCATACAAGGCTTCGGATAGCGCTTCAAATGCCAACAATGGTGGAGGAGGTGTTGGACGACAACTTTTCGCGGGCACGGATCCATCACTGACATGGCGAGAGACCTTGCCCTGGTTGGCAAAGCATACGGACCGACCCATCATTCTGAAGGGTCTGCAGTCCCACGAGGATGCGTACATCGCATCTCTCCACACTCCCCAGGTCAAGGGTATCATCCTCTCCAACCACGGCGGGCGTGCTCTCGACACCGCCCCTCCCGCGGTGCACACGCTGCTAGAAATCCGGAAATACTGTCCCGAGGTTTTCGACAAACTGGAGGTCTGGGCCGACGGCGGCATCCGTCGAGGCACGGATGTTGTCAAGGCCCTGTGTCTGGGTGCCAGGGGCGTGGGCATTGGACGGCCTGCTCTGTGGGGCTTAGGAGCCGGCGGTGTCGAGGGTGTGAAACGCACCCTGCAGAGTAAGCTCCAAACCAAAAATGCCATAGAGTGACTACTGATGATCCCAGTTCTATCCGATGAAACCAAGACATGCATGCGGTTACTTGGGGTGGAGCGTGTGGAAGATCTGGGTCCTCATCACGTAAGAGCCGTCCTTCGTTTCATGTCGTACCAAGTTACCCAGCTAACCTGCCCCAACAGATCAACACGCGTCTGGTGGAACAGCAGCTTTACGATGGTCCTTCGGGACTGGATAAAATCCGGGGCACATTCCGTGCCAGGCTATGAACATGGGCCGGCCCTTGATAGACTTGCTACTCTCGAGATGGCTGTATATATCCTGATGTGACTTCCTTTAGCCGCTTATACTACGTAAAGCCTAGCGTATAATGCACTGACTTCGATGCCAACTCTACATTAAATCAGCTGTTAAAAATGACGAGGGTTACTCAATCTGGCGGCTTGCAGTCTATCACAGCCGGAACAGGCTTATTATCTCCACACGAAGAAAGTATTGTCACCATATCAGCCAAATAACTGAAGTCAGTCGACCGTCCATCTCAAGTTCATCATGCGACTGCCACTACCAAAACCCGGATTTTCCAACCGCCTCCCTTAGTATATAGCTCCGCAACCATGTCATCACACCACTCCGATTCCGTGCGGGTATCAATGACCCAGTCTAGACCTATGTTCTAGACCTGGACGACGCATTGTAAAGCATACTAGTAAAGTGGATACGGCGGGCCAGTGGGCGCAGGATCGGGTGATGCCGTGCCAACCCAACCCAACCCATCATGAGACCGGGTGGCGGAGAGAGAAAAGACTACAGTACAGTGTACAAGAGCTGGTCTCGGGCCGAGTGGATGATAGCTGCGCTCGTTCGGCCGGGATCGAATATTGATTGATTCGGACTCGGGTCGGGATGATGCTCAGATGGGGCTCAGGGTGTCGGGTGGGGACTGAGTGGTGGCAACCAGGTGGGGTGGTTGATCATGTCGTTATGTCTGGTGATTGAGGAGAGCATGGTGGATGGATGGATGCATGGTCCTGGCGGAGCTGATGGGTGAGGTGATGGAGATATCATCATCATCATCATCGCCAGCTGAACCTGATGCTGCGCGATGGTTCTGTTCGAATGGCGCTTGGAGGAAGGGGTGATATCATCTTGCTGTTATAGGACGCGGCTAGACAATACTTCCAGTAGATACTGGGCGTAGTAAGAGGGAGAGAGACTCTACCTACTCTCCACTATCTATCGGCTTGAACAGTGGTTTGCAAAATGGCCACATTCCCCCAAACTGGTTTAGTTAGTGCCCGCCTGCAAGGACATACTACCACTTGACTTTCTATCAGATCTGTCGCTCTTTCTTCACAGACCTCCAGCTCATCCGATCCCAGGGTGGGGAGAAATTTAGGACAAAGACACCATTCAAGCGACAACTTGAACATGGCCAACCCGAAGATGAGCGCTGTGTCAGGGTGCCGCATCCTGATGTGGCCGTCGAGTATCAAGCGAGGCAGAGGGATGTGCTCGCTGGGAGGACGGGGATGATGGAGGTTGGGGAGGAGGGGCGGCGGGGAGAGATTGATGACGGTTGGGCTGAAGATTTCGATTATGAGAAGTACGGCATTGAAGTGGCATTCTAGAGTTGCTGTTCCGTCACCCGTTGTAGTCATGGGGATAGATGACTACTATTTACCTTGTCGACTATCCTCTGTATGTAAGCACTAGCTCTCATATAGCATAGCCTGCATAGAAGTCAAATATCAGCAGACTCACTTCATTCTTAGGTTTGTACTGTAAGCTTTTGGCAGTACATTGCAACATATCTTCGTTCTTCACTCTTCACTCTTCACTCTGAAACAAGGACTTCCACACTCCCTCAAACCAACTGCGATCTTTCTCCCAAGCCCTGAGAATGATATCCCTCCCTAGCCGAGCCACATCCTCAACCTGCTGCGGCGTGCCCCATCCGGCAGTCTGAGTTCCCCAGCAGATGAAATGGACACCCACATGGATCAATGTCCGGAATGCCATCTCGTCGCTCAGACCCCGATACCCGTCCATGAAACCCTGGATAATCCACTCCCCGGCATCGATATCCTTGTAATGCTTCAGCATGTACAGTTCCGCGAACATCTGGCCCAGATCAAGGGCTCGAGGCCCGCATTGACATAGCTCCCAGTCTACGACGAAAAGCTGGATTTTTGATGGCTTTTCCAGTGCATTTTTGGAGATGATCATACTGTAAATATCAAAATTAGCATCTTTGCCACCACACAGGCGACAGATGAATCGGTAAAGAGCACACTTACTTGCCCGACCAGAAATCTCCATGGATGACCCCGAATCCTTCCCCGTCGTTTCTGGACATCTCGGCCGCCGCCATCTCCCGCACTGCCCCAAACACCTCCCGACAATCCCCGAGTATCTCAGGGTATTTATCGATCCTGGAAAGGAGAACATCATAATTGATAGTGAACTTCAGACAGCGCATGGCGTGGTTCTTCTCGATTTCCGCAACCACGCCCGCCTGGCGCTCCGCGTCAGCCCAGGAGTGGAACGTGTGCAGCCAGGTCCCCAATGTGCAGCCAATCAAGGTCGCCCATCCTCGCGAAACGCTCCCAGACATGGCTGCCAGGATCAGGAAGGACTTCAGGTCCAGAGAGTCGGGAAGGTCTTCCGTGAGCGCGGTGTTAGTATGGCGATTGAATGTGAAGAGATGGGGTGTTTTGACAGTGGCTAGACTGCTATGGTCTTCAGCCCGTCCATTTGTGAGGCATAAGCTGGGGAGACTGTTGAGAGCCCTCAGGATGGCTTCTTCAGCTAGCTATATCTCATGTGTTGTGTGAGTTGTGATGACATCATCGTATATATCGAGACAGGAAGATGCTACTTACACAACGCTCAGCAGATAACTTGAATGCCTGATTCGACGCCACGTAATCCTCGCTATGCTTGACTATCACGGTCTTTATTCCATTTGGGAGAGGATGTGAGAGAATCGCCCGGTAGACGAAGTTGGCGGTCCCCCCGCTCAGTTGGGTAAGAGAGGCGCATGCATAGGGCGTGCCGGAGAGTTCCTGGGTGATGGCTGCGGAGAAGTCTTCGTCGACCATGTTGCTTGGTCTTTGGATCAATTCAGGAGAAGGGGAGATGGTCATTTATCGCGCCTTGAGACAGATCCACGCCCGCTGCCTGAGGTGGCACATGTTGATGAGTCACGGCGCGTTGTTGTCGGGGTCCCGTTGCAGTTTAGCTGCAATCATCTGGCAGTGAATACTTCCTCCTCCTCCCCTCCTCCTCTCCGCCCTCCGCACTGCCCTCCGCACTGCCCTCCGCACTGCCCCTCCGCTTGGATACGAGTTGCCTGTGGGGTACAACTCTTGTGGGTATGACTGAAAACATGGTGAGGCAGACCATGGTGGCGGAATTGACCTGCATCGAGGTGCTTGGAAGATCAACAACTATGCCCAAGTTCCGAGGATGAGAGTTTGGTTCCGAAAGTCTACCAGGTAGGATAAGAGTGCCTGAGCGGATGCTTGTGGCAATGTCATAGGATGAAGCTACAGGATACAGGAAACTGAAAAGGATGTCAGGTATGTTTCACCATATGCCGCAGCTCATGTTCCTTTGCCTTGCAGACTAGACACTTCGAGGCATTCTTTGGCTCAAACCCATGCCAACCTCCCAACTTGACGAAACCTGATTACCCATCTGGGTCCATGATGCATACCTACAAATGATAGCCAGTCTGCGGACGTTCAAAGTTTGGAGCCATAACATAGGCAGGAATACTGGGCCAGCACATACGTAATGGGCACCTACGGTGCTACTAATATATTTGATCGCGATGCTACGGCTTTGGAGGACCTTTGTACTATACAGCTACCAGAGCAAATTATCCATGTGCCATCATGACTGACGAGTTTCCATCCTTCCAGCCTTATGCCCTCACGCCTCTCGACCACATTGCCCCGCCGCTGTATGCGCTGTTCTACTTGTCCTTTCGGCCTGAGCACCCGTCCCAGACACTCGTCACACTGAAAGGCGGCATTTCGCACTTGGTATCCAAATGGCCTTTCTTGGCTGGCAATGTTGTCCAGATTCAAAGGGGAAAGAAAATCGGACTGGAGATACATCCACCGGCTGCCTCAGACCTTGTCGACTACCCAATGCTCCAGGTCAAGCATCACCAACAGCCCATCTCGCACATACCGTCCTTGACTGTCATCGACAATGAGTTGCTACACATCCCGACAAAAGTGCCGATTGCCTATCCTATACCTGCCGTACGGTTCCAGGCCAACATCATGCACGACGGCATTGTTCTCTGCCTCGGGTGGCACCACCAGGTCATGGATGGGGTTGGCGTTAGCACTATCCTAGGATCCCTCTCGCGGTGCTGCCGTGGGTTGGAAGGGAAAATACCTCCTCCTCCAACGGACCTCCAGAATGAGGGACGTGCAAGACGACAGATCATTGAAGCCGCAGACTCAGAAGATTCTAGCAGTCATAACCATGACGGCGCGTATGATAGTATAGACTACGAAGAGGCGTGGGATGACTCCTTCGAGCCGATTATATCTCGCCGATATGCTTTGTGTGCGGAAAGAGTCGCCTATCTCAAGGATTCCTGCAATGCTCTGATCCGGGACCTTGTGATCGACCACCCCATGACATGCCGCAACTCAGATGAGAGCAACTCGGAATATCCAGAAGAGAATGACCGCATGTCGTGTGATGACGCAGTCACTGCATTGACATGGCTCTGTTGTTCACGCGCACGCCTCAGAGCGGCATCGAGAAGATCAACCGGCTTGCCGCACACCTCGTCCTTGTCACGACTTGTAGAGGTTCGATCTCTGATGCAACCTCATCTTCCAAGAAGCTACTTGGGAAATAGTCTTGTGGTTGCGAGGTCCCAGTGCAACTGGGATGATATTCCGGGCTCTCATGATGACCCGCCTCCAGCTAGTGGAGGAAACCGTGTTGGGGAAGAAACAATTCACGCGCTTCTGAAACTAGCTCTAAGATCTCGAGCCAAGTGCAAGTCCATCAATGACAAGCATGTCCGCGGGTTGATAACCGAGGTGAAGAACTGCGATAACTACGAGGAATTTGCTGAAGCCCCGGCTGAGGTCGACATGTCCAGTCTCCGAAGGCTCGGTTTATACAGGCTGAACTGGGGCCCCCACCTAGGTCCTATGGTGGATTTTGACGCGATTGACAGTCGCACTGATGGCTTATCGATGATCCTGCCCGCCAGGCCTGGAAAGCCAGGGCAGACTCCGTGGGAACTACGCATTACTCTTCCATTGACGGTCATGGAACAATTCCGGCGAGATGAACTTGTTAATTGGGCAACAGGGGCAAAGAAATCAGAGTTCAAGCTATGATGTAACGGGTCAAGGTAAAATGTTGGAAGTATCACCGAGCACCGAGCTACCCCGGGTTTGTTTCTTGCTTCCTTGATAGAGCTTTTAACCTTCAAAACATTAGAAATCAAGTTAAGCTTATTTTCGCCACCAAACTCAAGTCGACGCTTTGCTCTCTGTTAGAAGGGTCCAAACAAAATAATAGATGCCTCGCAAGGACCGTGACGGTCTTGAACTTGCATTGTAAGGTATCCAGTCTACAAGAATCACCCTATATTTAATGTTAGGCCGGAGGATGAATAGGAATGAAGGCTGCTTCTCCTATGAGAGAATCACTGTCACTGTCAAACACAGTGCTATCATATCGAAAGCGCATGCAGTCCAACACTCCAACTGGTCAATCCATCCCCCCCCCCCTGTCTCTCCTTGTGTCAGACCATGAATCATCATCACACCCATTTTAGTGTTTGGACATCTTCTAGTCGAGTGGTTTTATTTCCCACCTTGAGTAGGCCGTCCATTCCAAGCTAAAAAGACGCAACAACCGACAGGATATATTTACTGAACATTGGTTAGTACTCAGAATGCCTCGTCATCCTCCCCTCACCAGAGGATCGACCTACATACTTCTTCGACTAGTACAGAGTATAACAGCTCGGGACACCGTGGAGATGGCGGTAAGTGCCACTGCGAACGCTGCCCATTGTTATAGGAGAGATCCAGCTTGATTCTTTCAATCTGACACTCCGGCTTGAATAGGGCTTCGTTAGACCATTAACGCGGAGATTTGTTATGGCATGGCCCCTGGATGGATAGATGTATAGGCTACCCATCTATCTATGCTGTACGGAATATTGTTTACTGATCGAATATCTAGATATAACATCAGAAACTGAATATAGATACCGTTTTTAGGCATATCTCAAAACACGGCAGCATAGTTAACTAGCAGCAATGACTAAGCGGCAGGTGGAGCGACCCACATGGCAATGGTGAAACATGCTGGTGGTCTAAGGCGTTTATGCTAGACTCTAGAGTCATGGTGTGCACCGCTAGCAATCAGAAACCATCGCCACCGCAGATACTCAAGCCTCAAGTCTCAAATACCTAGATAGATAGTAGATCCCCTGTTTCCTGTTTTAAGATGCCTCCAACCCTTGTTCCCATATTCCAGTTCCACTAACCTAACTGCCAAGAGACCTGAAACGGAGCTACTCGTTGTTCTCGGGTTTTCCGAGATATGCGTAACTCAGTGAACCCTAACTATACTTGGCTTTCCTGAAATTTTGGCATTCGCATGGAACCAACCTCTCCGTACTACTTACTCCGTATGCCAAATCGAACTAAGCAGAGTGCCTGCAGGTATAGATGCAGTATGCCGAGCGAAGCTGTAAGTAGTACTATCATGTATTATATATCTATTGATACTGAATAGTACTCCGCAGATAATTTATCTAGATATATAGAGCCCTAGACAAGTAGCCACCGCCACTAGGCTGCTACAATACGCAATCTTCAGCAAAGGCTAGATGAATAAACCTCCAATATGATTCTCACCCCGGCACTCTTCCATCCATTCGCCCAAATATAATTAAAAGGGTAATAATTAATTAATCAATCTTTCTAGATGTAGACAGTTCGATTACTAAGCGGCAACAACGATTTTAACTATAGTACGGGGCAAGATAGAATACGGGTAGAATAGTAAGTACTATGTAGAATATAGGGCTAATCAGGGGGCCAAACCGCGCCCCGCTTTTAGATTAGAGTCTAGACAGGATTGTGAAGCTCTGCAACTAATAGATAATGTTAGAACAGTGCTTCCGGCTGGCGGGAGGGCTTCCGATGGTTTACCGGGCATAGATAGCATGGCGCAGCCGGATCCGATGGGATGGGATGGATGGGATGGGATCGGAAGGATTTCTGGTTTCGAGTTGTTGGCTCCCTCCCTCCATCACTGACCTGGGTTTGTTGCATTGTTTTTGTTTCTGTAAGGACTGGTATCCTTTTTTTCTTTGGCGAGGGAATGGGCCGGGGAATTATAAGTGGTTGTGTAGCTGTGCTCATGCATGGAAGCATAGGACTGGATGGAAATAGTTAAGCGGATAAGGTTGTTATCTAACATCTAAACTAGTATTAAGCGATTTTGTACAAGCTCAGTGACGTGAGCAAAGGCTACTGTTCAGACTCAGAAATGAGGCATGGAAAGGTCTAAGGGCATCCCGACTGACCTCTGTTTAGGAGGTCTCCACAGTGAATGTGCCGTTGAGCCTGAGATCCCGGGAGCTCGCTCCAACATACACCTCGTAGGTACCCTCGGCAACCAGCCACTGCTGGGCCGTAACATCCCAGTAAGAGAGGTCGCGACGGCGCAGCTCGAAGGTGGCCTTCTCCTGCTTTCCGGCGGCGATTTCGATGCGCTCGAAACCACGGAGCTGGCGAACAGGCTGGTTAGCGGAGGCAGGGAAGCCGAGGTACAGCTGGGGAACCTCCGCGCCGTCCAGCGAGCCGGTGTTGGAGACTTCGACGGAGACGCTGCCCACGTTGTCCCATAGGTCGGCGTAGCCGCCGACGGTGCGGTTACCAGCGGGGGCCTTGGAGAGGGTGGAGGGCTTCTTGATGGTCAGGCCGGAGTAGGAGAAGGTGGTGTAGGAGAGGCCGTGACCGAAGGGGTATCTGGGAGTGACGTTATGTGCGTCGAAGTAGCGGTAGTCAAGGTAGACACCTGTGAATTGGGTTAGTTGTTGAGGTGAGATAAAAGTACGGGGGGGAAGAGACCGGATCTTACCCTCGGTGAAGTTGCATTGGGCGGTATAGCAGATGCCCACGTTGTAGTCGGTCTCGTTCTTTGCGATGGTGTGGATGAGGCGACCGGAGGGGTTCACGTCTCCATAGAGAACATCGATGATGGAGTTACCAGACTCCTGACCCAAGAGGGATCCGTAAAGCACGGCGGTAACATTGTCGTGCTCGATCCACTGATCCACCAACCGGGGACCAACGGTGTTGATCACGACCACAGTGTTGTTGCAGTTATCGGCGACGGTGTTGACCATTGTATCCTGGTCGTCGTTATACAGCTCAGTACGATCAGCACCCTCTCCGGAAAGAGCATTCAGGAAGACGAGACAGACGTCGGCGTTTGTGGCATAGTTGGCATAAGAGGGGGTCACAGCGGTACTGTCGGTTGACTCTGGAATCAGCTTAGAGCTTGAAGCGCCTGTATAAGTGTCGTTCATAATCCAACGCATCATCGTGCCATCCTCAACAGCTTTATTCGTTAGAGAAACATAGGGCGTCACCAGGTAGGGGTAGGAAGCCTGTGCGGAGCCCGTGCCAGATGCCAGGTGACCTTGATACGTCGGTCCGGCACCATCGATGTTCATGCCTTGGTTGGGTCCTCCCATGACGGGGCCAGCATGTGCACCAAAGACACTCATAACACGGGGCTTGTTCAAGGGCAAAGCATTGTTGTTCTTCAAGAGAGCCATAGATTTGGCCCCATTCTGGCGGATAATCTTCGAGTGGTTGCCTCTCACATTCACATACGCATCTTCGGCTTCGGATTCGGGTTGAAGGCCGTTGTCCAGACCAACATAGTAGTAGCCCATCAGGTTGCGGGTGACCATATCGTTCAGACGGGTCTCAGTCAGGGATCCATTAGACAGCATGGTTTCCATGGTGGAGGTGCTCCAAATGCGACTGGATCCGTAGTCCTCTCCGTTGATAGCAGACTCTAGAGCACTGTTCTGAGCCATCGTGTCAGGCCAGACAAAGCCCGGGAAGCCAAGCTCGGTCTTCAGATGCTTCAACAACAGGTCAGAGTTCTCGCAACTCCGAGTATCATTGACCTTGGTCATGGCGCACATCACGGCGCCCATGCCGTTCTTGGCAGCATCATAGAAGGGCCACAGGTAGGTCTCATGAAGGGTTTTGTCATCCGCATTGGATGAGTATGGCGCAGAGCCGGTGTCCGAACTGACAGCCCGGCGACCCATTGAGCCGGGAAAAGAGCCGCGACCTGGAGATGAAGAGTTGGAAGAGCCAGGGCCCATTCCCCCCGAGGGAAATCCCCCTCCACCCATGCCGCCTGGTCGCATTCCGCCGCCACCGCCGCCCATGCTCGTTCGGTTGGTTTCCTGCTCATAGAGAATAAAGTGCTGCGAGGTTAAGGAGCATCGTGTCAGTAATGAACCAGACGCCTCTAAAGATGGACTGTGCAAATCTTACCTTGGCACCAGGAATAACACCAGCAGCCACATAGCCCTTTGTTGTCAGACCAGTAGCTTGGCCATTGAGATAAGGATCGGGACCAAAGCCCTCGACGTTCCGGCCACCCCACGGCGTGCGTCCCATGGGTTGAGAGGTAGGACCAGCTACCACCTGCATGCCCTTGTTGTAGAACTCGGAGCCAACCGCCTTGGCCTGGTCGTAGATAGCATCGCGGTCCCAGGTCATAGCGAGAGCCGAAGACAAGCTGAATGCGGAGACGTAGAAGTAGTTCTGGAGACCCATGTCTCCATCGAGGATGTTGAGGGCAGTAAAACTGCCATTGGTAGAATCAACACTGCTGCCCGTGATCAAGGCCAGCTTCTGGGCAGTGGTCAGGCCTGCAACGAAAGCAGAGGCCTTCTGGTAGGCGGGTTCCCAGTCTCCCAGGGCCACTGGGCGAGGTCAGCAACTTGGAACAAACATGCCTTCCAAGGGCAGAACTATTCATGGAAGATTGTACTGCATACCACCATCATATTTCAGCAAACCCAGAGTGGAAGAATTCGATGAGGCACCTGTGACGGCGACAAGGGCCGCGGCCACAATAAATGAAAGGACTTTCATGTTACAAAAGAAACGTCAAAGAATGAAGCCGTATAAAAGGCAAATGAGGGAGTGGCACAGTTGGCACAGTGACAAAATAAAAAGAATGACAGAACAGAAACAGACAAGCTTCTGGTAGTTCATGGATCCATGGTGGGCATGGCACTCTATTTATCCTCCAGGAGCTCGGCATGATGCTCTCATCTAGTGCGATTCAACGCCAAACCAGTCTGATAAGCAAGGTACATAGCCCATACAGCCCTCGATTGACTGGTGCTTGCGACAGGATCCACATGGTTTGCACCTGACTGGTGTTCAAACAACCCATTGAATGTATTGCCAACTCGGAACTTCCGGTCTCTTCAGCATCAAGGGTCATGAAGCCACAATATTGAGTCCCTGCGGAGGCCGGCGGTCATGGTTGGTGACGGTCTAACCCTAGGTGACGCGGCGTTCCGTCGGAACCAAAGCGCAACATTTGGCGTGTTTCAAAGAATCTGCTTGATGATAAGAGTAAAGTCTTGCAACGTCTGCATCATGCAGTTACGGGAGTTTGCAGAAATGCCAACGGGTGGAAGACTGGTACCGGGAACTTCACTGGCCAGCAAGATAGAAAGTATATGGTATTTTTCCTTGCAAAAGCACACCAGGAGTCATTTCCGGTCCAGACAAGGTGAGAAATAAGCACATTCTCCCAATGACTGAGGGAGATCCTGGCCTCTTTGAGTTTGGTGGGGGACGTCAGCCATAGAAACTGACAAGTCCCGAGTGTGAAGGATAGACTCGATATCTGGTTTGCGGCAAACCACTGTACCGGCGTGGCCGAGGGCCGGAGGCACCAAGGGGAAAGCTAGGGACGACCCGGATGGGCCCCACTGGCGACTAAGCCCAGGCTGAATCTCTTTGCAGGTCGCCCTGGGCCGAATCTGGCTAGAACTAGGAGTCGATAAGTTCAGTCGAGTTCATATGAGACCGGCTTTTATTAACGGTCTGTTCATGCCAATGCCTCTCCTGCGCCTGCTCCAGGGGTCTTTCAGGGACGGGCTCAGTACAGAGTATACATCCGGATATCCATTGACCCGAGTATGTCAGAGATCAAAGAATCCACGGAACGTCCACCTCTCTGCGGCTGGAATGAGGGTTTGAAGATGGGCGCGGGGGACGAGAAACCGCTGGATGAAGGGAAGAAGGGTGAGGGGCCATTAGGCCAACAGTAGAGTACATATCGCACATGTGTCCTCGTTGATGAAAGTAGAGCGGTTTTTTTTGGGTAAATCCTTTGGGTAGGGTAAGGAATGGTACCACTTTGAGGGCAATGCATATTATCATACGTTCATGTGATGGCGCCGACCTCAAGACTAGAGCGGCAAGCTAAGCTTTCCTGTGGATGAGACTACTGATTGACATCTCCCGGTCTGTCTTGGTGCTCCAGATTATTGACAGGAAGGGTTCTGGTTGTAGTCCGCAGAATCAGGCACCCGACGTATAGTAGGGGTTGCAATAAACAGAGCATTCCTTCCTATCTACAGAAATGTGAGACTCCTGACTTCTCTCGGGCGACTGGCCTCGCCCGTCGGCCGGACGAAAAGCAATTTAATATCTCACCTATCTAAGTTGTCAGTTTTCAGCCCCCACGGGCCCCATCCGTGCTAGCCAGCATGAAGGAGATAGATATATTGCAGGTCCGGTGACCGATGCATCCCCGATGCACGGCCTCAGGCAGCCTAGAGTCACGTGATCCGCGCCTCCAGCAGCAGCAGGGCGACGAGTCGTAATAAACCAGGCAATCGTCCATTCCCCAAGACACATCAGGACTGCAACTGCCCGGCTGGACTCTTGATTGTGAGGTGACCTTCCAGACTGAATTGGTTCGAGGGCGAGCAGCCGCCCAACTGCCCTGGGTCCGCCTGAATGCAATCAATGAATGTCTCGGGTCCACGCGCACTGTCCAAGGTCACGCTCACTCAGTCTGTCTGTTATGATCAAGCAGGGACGATGGTTTGGGTCAGTCAATGCGTGATGAGCATCTATACCGGAGACATGTGAGCACTGTTGGCAAGGGGGATGAATTGAACGGGCCCTAGAGGGGGGAGACGATGGTGAAGTACATCGGGACCAGCCGTGTTGTTTGTTCGGGATGGAGGGAGCGACGAGAGGAGGGAGGGGGGGGGGGGGAAGAGGGAGAGAAGAAAAGAGGAGAACGGGAGGAGTGACCACACTCCCCCCCCCCCCCCCCCCCTCCCTCTCTCCCTCTCCCTCTCTGTATTCTTCCCCCCCTCTTCCCAACCAAATCTTCAAGTCCCCGGCATTGACCTCGACTCTCCCTTCTCCACCTTCCACCACTTTACAACCAAATTCTACATCCAGAGTCCACTACCACCACCATCTCCCGCCCGTTGCAGATCCTCCACACAAATTACGCGTCTTACTTGGGTTTACCTGACAGCTCCGAAGCTGGGACCTTTGTGTTTCTTTTCGAGCTGCAGGCCGAAATTTCCCACCCCTGGATTCCCTTTACTCGGCCCACGCGCCGCGGATCGGCCAGGAAGATCTCATTCGATCCGTCTCGTCCTGTTTTCCTCCATCTCGAAAAACCTCTTTTCGATCTGGCCCGACTGCGACGCCGCCAGCGACGTCATGACCAACACCACCCCTTCCCCCACAGCAAAAGCGTCCCCAAATTCGACCTCCCCACCCACATCAGCGGCGGCGGGAGTCAAGCGGAAACGCGGCTCGGCCGCCAAATATTATGCCGTGAAGGCGGGCTATCAGCCGGGGGTCTACTATAATTGGAAGGATTGCTTGACCCAAGTCACCGGGTACAAGGGAGCCGTCTGTAGGTGCTGCAGCGTTCCATTGCGCCAGGCCAGCTTACTGACGCCCGATTCTAGTCCAGGCCTTCCCTTCCTACGAGGAAGCGAATGCGTTCTTGACCGGGACCAGCGCCCCTCCGGCGCGGGGCGGCACTCCCCTGGATTCAGAACCCACCCGATTCTACGGCATCCAGCGCGGACGAATACCCGGCGTGTATACCGACTGGGCGAAGGCGCAGGAGCAGATCAAGGGATTTCCCAAACCGCGGTATAAGAAGTTCGCGACCCGCGGGGAGGCGGAGGAATTTGCGAAGGGGGGCCAAGGGCCGGGCGCTACCTTTGGAACGGTCACCGGCGCACCAGGTCTGATGAATGGCGTCCCCTTGGATGCTGAAGGCGCCCCATGCGAGCCGGGCAATGGCCCTCTGCCGACCGGGGCAGAGGATGGGTTCGATCCCAACGTTCTTTTGGACCCCAAAACCGGCAAGGTGGTGTACAAGCCCGAAGACCAGAAGACGGTGACAAAGATGAAGACCGCTGGACCTCCGGGGATGCTGCGCATCTACACCGACGGGAGTGCTTTGAAGAATGGCCGAGCAATGGCCTCAGCGGGCGTCGGGGTATACTTCGGGCCTGGAGACTCAAGGTTTGTCTCCTTTCCCGTTCCTCTTTTCAGTCGTGTGCCCTTGTTGGCCCGCTTCAGAAGCATCCGCATCTCATTATCCCTTTGCTGACCCCATCTCTCCCAGCAGGAATGTCTCCGAGCCCCTCAAAGGCAGTCGCCAGACGAACCAACGGGCCGAGTTGACGGCGATCCTCCGGGCTCTGGACATTGCGCCTCGCCATCGGGATGTGACCATCTTCACCGATAGCCAATATGCGATCAAGTGCGTGACCGTGTGGTTTGTCAAGTGGCGGCAGAATAAGTGGATGACTGTGGGCAATAAGCCGGTGGACAACAAGGACCTGGTCGAATCGATCCTCTCCAAGATTGAAGAGCGCACCGAACTGAAAGTGAAGACCTTGTTCGAATGGGTTAAAGGACACAGCTCCCACCCAGGCAATGAGGCCGCTGACCGTCTGGCCGTGAACGGGGCCCATCGTGGGATTTCGGAGAAGGCTGCCGCGTTGGCCGCCTCCAAGGAGCTTCCCGAGGAGGTTGATGACGATGACGATGACGATGACGATGATGAATTCTGAGACCAGAGCATTGCGATGGCACAATCGCCAATGCCCTTCTCCCTTTCTTTTTCATGGGGTCCACGGTTGGGCCAATGGTTGGGCCAACGGCGCTCCTGTCACGGTGCTGGTAGACTGCGTTGAAACAGGTGACTGATGTCCCAGCTGTTTGTTATATGTCGATCGAGACATGACTGATTTGAACGAATCCCCGGGCGGGAAATATTGGTGATGAATTGAAGCCTGATTGCGGGGTATTCGTAGCAGTAGTGCGTAGACTTGGAGAGTACTACTACTCCTACTATCTACTCCTGCTGTAGTAGCCTCGGTCTGTGGAGATTTCCCGACGCGGGCGGAGGGAAGGTTCCACCTCCATAAATCCGTCCCCGCAACCGCAACTTTTCTCTTCCTTCCCACTGACAAATCGCCCTCCGACTTCCATCATCGTTGCTGCGCCCGATCACCCGTCTCGTCAGAGTTTCACAACCTTATACACTTTCTCGTCTCGCGGTTGCCCGTCTGTCACCTGTCACCCCGTTCCCTCCCTCCTCCGTCGCATATCAGGCTCGAGATCGGGCTGTCTCGGGTTACAACGATCGGACTGCTCCCAGGGCGCTCCCTGCTTGTCGCATCCAACTGTTGGAAGATCACCCTGCCTTTCCGATGACGGGAAAGCTTGCGACCAGACCGATTTATAGTTTGATTGAATAACACGTGCTGGACACTTGATTGAGCGTTCAAAGTGCCGGAGAGCCTTCTTTGGTCACCCGCAGACCTCCCCGACCTCTGCAGAGCAAACTATCCTGCCCCCCCCCCCCCGCCTTCTAGTCATCGATCGAGGGTTCTGGTTCTTCCAGCACCATTTTCTGGGCTGAGTCGCTGGTAGAATAAAGGAATAGTGCTCCAGCAAGAGCACGAACTCAAGATGCCCACCTTATCGTTGATCAACTTCAACATCGTCTGTGCGACGTTGGGAGGGTTCATCTCCATCTTTGGGTTGGTCTCGTATCTGTTCAAGGAGAGGTTCTATTTGTCGGAAGCATGTACGCGCAGCTTTCCTAAAGCCTCAAACTAGTAGAGTACTGACACTGTACAGTGATCTCATTGCTGGCCGGCGTGATCTTCTCCCCCCACGCAGCCAACTTTATAAGACCCCAGGAGTATGCGCTTGGTTCCGAGCAGAATCTAGAAGATATCACCATGTATTTCACCCGCCTCGTCCTTGGGGTTCAGCTAGTTCTCGCGGGGGTACAACTCCCCAAGCGCTACTTGCAGATCGAATGGAAGAGCCTATCGCTCCTCCTTGGACCCGGGATGGCTGCCATGTGGATGTGCAGCAGCTTGATCATTTGGGCGTTGGTACCGGACTTCCAGTTTGTGCCTTCCCTCATCGTGGGCGCTTGTATCACTCCTACCGACCCTGTGCTTTCCAACTCCATCGTAAAGGGGAAATTTGCGGACAAGAACGTCCCACGTCCTTTACAGCGCATTATTGTCGCCGAGTCAGGCGCCAATGATGGCCTGGGCTATCCATTTCTCTTCTTCGCTATGTATCTCCTGAAATACGTCGGAATGAACGGCGAAGGATACAGTGGAGGGGCTGGGAAGGCCATGGCCCTGTGGTTCTACGAGACCTGGGTTTATACGATCTTACTGAGCGTTGTCTACGGGATCACCGTAGGCTGGGCATCTCGCGAGCTGCTCCACTGGGCCGAGGAGAAGCGTTATGTCGATAGGGAGAGCTTCCTTGTCTTTGCCATCGCTCTTGCTGTACGTTCAACTCTAGTCAAACTTGACTCACTACTAACCCTTAGCAAAGCTTTTCGTTGTCGGGACATGTGGGATGATAGGCACAGATGATCTACTAGCCTGCTTCATTGCAGGCAACGTCTTCACGCAAGAGTATGTCATTTTACCCACTTAATCTGAGCTTAATGCTGACGTTGCTAGTGATTGGTTTCGTTTGGAGACCATGGATGATTCGCTGCAGCCCACAATCGACATGTTGCTGAACTTGGCCGTCTTCATGTGGTTTGGCGCTGTCTGCCCATGGCCGTCATTCCTCAACAATGGTGTGATCCCCATCTACCGCTTGATCTTTCTGGGGATTCTGATCCTGCTGGTTCGACGGATGCCCATCATCTTCGCAATGCACAAGTATATCTGCCAGATTGAGCATTTCTACCAGGCGGCGTTCGTCGGGTTCTTCGGACCCATAGGGGTGGGCGCTGTCTTCTATCTGTCTGTCGCCCGAGAATTCCTACTCCAGATCACCGTCAACGGCAAGGTTCGCGAAGACGCCCAGAAGGTGGCTGAAGCAGTGGATGTGATTGTGTGGTTTCTAGTGATTTGCAGCATTGTAAGCCCCCCTCCCCTTTATTCAATGCGCATCAACATGTTCTAACTTATATCAACCACATCAGGTCGTCCATGGCCTTTCCATCCCTCTCGCGAAAGCCGGATACCACCTTCCACGGACAATTTCCCAGGCACTCACCACCACCACAACGATGGAGTCCGACCACATCCCCATAGGCAATAACTGGCGTACGCACAGTACGGCAACGCGAAGTATCGGGCTTGTGAACAACCGGAACCGGAAACGAGTCGCTGCAAGAGAGCCGACCTCTGAGTCCCCGACCTTCGAGATCCACTCGGAAACGGGACAGGCGGAGGAGCCGGCGAGGCCTGTTAATCTCATAATCCGGGAGGATGGAGTAGAATATGCATCCGAGGCGACGCCGACTGAAGGTCCTTAACCGGTCGATCATCTGGGGAATGGTTGCGGTGCCATGTGTTGAAGTCACCTAGCGGAGGATTATTTTTTTATGTCTTGAAGTCGATATTACGTGTGTTCTTTCAGACTCCTGTCTGATACAAGGGGGGGGGCAGGACCAGGGTTAGGAAGGCATGACTCAGAGGGAGAAGGCACGACGCAGCGGAGGAAGGCGCAACCCAGCCAAGGGAAGGTGCCAGGGGGGGAAGGTGCAGCCTAGCAGTGTGGGCGTTGCAGATCCGGTGATGATGATATTGGTGGTCATTTGGGGGAATTGTATAGGAGGAATGGCTGTACAGAGATGTTCTTTATATCGGGGGCATTTACTGGGTTGTATCTTTGGCCGGTGAGTTGAACTTGATGTGGTGGATTGGATATATTTTGTCATTTAGAATTTGTTACTTCTGCATCCGGTAAGTCAACCTCAGCGAATTAAGCACTGCAGTATAGAAACCCCTCAAGTGATTCAATACTACTGAAACACACATCCACCGCCCTCTACCAAACAACTTACCAAGTAGCAGTATCCATCATCATCTATACGGAGTGCAACAGCATACATAAACTGTACCGACCGACATGCAGGATAGGTCTCACCCGCAGAAGGAACCAAGCTCTTTCTCACTTGATATTACACATGTCTGTACGTAAAGATAAAGTGTAATGAATATTTTGATATTTCCTAAACACGCTTTTTAAGTCATGAGCCCGCCCATCCAGTCGCGGAATGCAAGTCTTTTCTTTTCTTTTCTTTTCTTTCAGCAACCCTGTCTCTCTCTCTCCCCCCTTCCCTATACCACCAAAGCCACGCGCAACCAACCACCCAACCGAACAACTGAGCAACCAACCCCGATAACACACCACTCACTATGTCCCATCATTAAGGTAAAAGAAGAAGATATTAAAGAGTGAAAGAAGAGAAGATCTCTGAGAAGTATGCGTGTCAAAGGGTAAAAAAATTGAAGAAAAGAAAGAATGAGAAAAAGAAAAACAGAATAGGCATTGATGCATGGTAGGTGGTAGAGATAGATACCTGCTATAACACACGATTTTACCCAAAATCAACCGTGGGAGAGAGCAAGACAATCGTAACCACCGAACCATGCATGTATCGATGCATGGCATCATATTCCAACAGAAAACTCCATCATCATTCAATGAATGCTGTTTGTTGTGTGCTGCCGTCCATCTTCGGACTCCCCTGGCTCACTCAAAAGTCTCAAATAACCACGCCGCGCCACCGCCGCCGCGCTCTTTCCGGATAGATAGATAGAGAGATGTCTATGAGGATGGGGAAAAGGAAAATCATGCAGTCGTTATAAGCCCGTCCACGCCACAACAAAAAACCCCATCTGCATTCAGCGAGGCAAACCAAAGGGCTATGCGAGGAAACTTGGGGTATATATCAGGGCGGCATCCCGCCAGAGATAGCACCGCAAACACTCGAGATCACGAAGAAAGACGGAAGAGTTACAGAGGAAATTTCATCAGGAATACACGAAGAGGAAGTAAGGGGGGAAGAAGCGGAGGGAAATCAAAAAAAGGACGGTTTGGAAGAAGACCCGCCACGGGCAGGAACTAGATAGCAAGCAAATTAGATAGGACATGTCGCTGCGAAAGTCGTGCGGATTGACAAAGCAAAGAGCCCAGTATTCTTTTCAACGTCGCCCGGACTTTGCAGCGACATGTCATGGAAGTCAGTCATAGCACAGACCTATGACCTATAAGCGGTCACAGTCGACGCCATGTTGTATGCGCAGTCGACGGATGGACTTGGAGTCGTTTGACTCTGTCGATGTGTGGTGTTCAGTATGTGCCAAATCGAGGTTGGCTGACAATCGGGCAGCGTTGAAGTAGCCAGCGCCCTCGTGTTGAGGACAAGGGAGAAATGTGTGAAGGGATGGTTCGTGCTTGTTGATTTTCTTGATTTTCTGTCGATTGCCGATGGTCCCTGGGGGCTGAACTTCTCCAGAACGTGCCCGATTAGGCGATGCGCTCGTAAAACAACAGGTATGCCACCTTGTTGTCCCGAGACCCGTACCGTCCGATGGGAGTGCGGACGCCGGAAGATGCGCCGGACGGTCCCGAGGCACCGGCGGTGGATTTCTTGCTGGAGTGACCACTGGAACCTGTTCCGTTGACCTGGCTCCAGCCTCTCTCGTTCTCGGCCTGCTCATAGTCATCCTGGTCGATACGATCATAAATGTTGACGTTCGAATTGTCCCGCTTATGCTGCTCGAGCGCCGCCGCCAGGACCTTCGGGTCCTCCTCACCACCAGCCTCGGCAACGTCCTCACTCCGAACGCGACGAATGGCAGTGTCGTCAAGGCGGATCCATTCGCGACCATCTTGACGACGAACATCCACGGTATAGTGACCACCGCTGGCATTTTTGCCGTGGTGGTAGATGACACCGGCGAGCCGGTACTTGGGCAGGCCGCCCTGCGCCATCATGATGTTGCGCTTATTGGGCGGGAAAACCTCGCGGGGGATCTCCAGATCGAGTGGGTACCCGATCTTTTTCCAGATCTTCTGGGTGCCTCTGGTTACACTGTCGTACTGGAAGCGTTTCAGGTGAAGGATGAGGACAGGCGGCAGATTCTCGATGAAAATCTGCTTGGTAGCTGTGACGTTAGGGCCGCGCGAAGAGTTAAAGTCTCCCTGAATGCTTTCCGGCTTCGTCAGTCCCTTGAGAGCATCGATGATGTTATTGGTCTCAGGAGATCCGATGTCAAGCTGCAGCGACTGGTAAGGCTCCAGAGTCACGGAAGCTTTGTTGCCGGGGACTCTGAACTCTGACCGGATCTTTCCGCCAAAGATCTTCGTGACAGGAGATTCCAGAGCGATGTGGCCAGATGAGCGCGTAACTGCCGCCTTCTGCTTGTGTCCGACTTCCAACCAGCCATCGCCCGACTCTCCGTTTGCAGAGTCGGCCTCCGAGCGCGAGCCGGTTGTTGCAGGTGCATCCTTGGAAGCACGGGCGCACTCTTCGTGCATTTCTTCCAAAAGAAATCCGAGGAATTCCTGAGCGTCCTGTTGATGACCTCTCTAAACGCACAACGTCTGTATCAGTCTCCATTTGTACCATACATAGTCAGAGCTGGGGATAGACCTACCCGCATATCGCGGAAGCGCGGCAGCTGCCTGATCACCTCGTAAACAAACTCCGGGATGAAGGATTCGCCGTACTGCTCGAGCTCGTTGGGTTTCAATCGCATCTTCAGCTGTTCTTCGGTGTGAGCAGCATCGATGATACGGAACTCGCGCAAGAACATGATCCTGTAGAACGGGCAAGTCAGAACACAAGATTTAAAGAACAAGGAAGAAGCAGGAGACTGAAGTCTGGGTCCATAACACCAGGCTCGGGAATACTCACAGAGCATCAATCATTGGGAAATCGCTATTAAAGCTGTGAGAAGCTCTCCGTCCGATGTGGTCCAAGAACTGGTAGAAAGGAACGCAGGAGACCAAAATTTGAAGAACCTGTACAGCAAAACAATTAGCGGCGGGCTGCAGACTCGGATTCGGGGGAACATACAGAGTTCATGTAGCACATATTACCGGTATTCACTAGTCCTCTGGGCTCGAGGAAAGCGACCTTGTCGCTGTACTGCGAAACATCGTCTCCCAGGGTTGTCAAGACATCCGCAAGGGACTCATTCTTGGGTTTGACGACACCGTTAGACACAGCCGAAGATGCGTTGGGAGCAGTCGCCCCTTTGGCAAGTGATCTTGAACGAACCAAGTCCGCCCACGACTTTGGCACCGCAGCAGGTGAGGCTTGCTTGGGAGGACCATCAGCCGTCGACTTCTGCGAATCCTCGTTTGTGCCTTCCTGGGCCACGCCAGCCACACTGACTGACTTGGGCGTCTCGGACAAGTGGCTGGAATCGTCCTTGGCCGTTTGGCGGGGAGTTACCGGTCCTGGGACAACTGGAACAATGGGAACCACAGGGGCAGTCGGCTTGGTCTCTTTAGACTGTGACTGAGGACGGATGGGAAGGTTCTGAGCGACCGAGGAGGGCGTTGTGGGCTGCGTCGAGTTCGCGAGAGACGGAGCAGCAGACAATGTCGGAGTTTGGGGCTCCGATGGTGTCTGCTCATGCTCCAACTCTCTGACTTGTGTCTCGGCCTGATCAGTTCGCTGGGTCTCCTTTGCGGGGAGCTCCACAGACATCGACGACGACTGCAGGGCACGGCCTTTCCGGCGTGTGCGAGGGGCTCTGGCAGGGAACGGGAGTTCGGGAACGGACACCCAGGGGAGCTAGAATGATCTCTGTCAGAAACGGGAGCCAAGCGCGCGAGCAATGCAGATAACTTACCGGTGCGCGGAAAGGTTCCTGGAGAGCTGGAGCGACCTTCACGGGTGCCGGGCCGGGGGACGGAGGCACGGCGGGACTCGGAGGGAGATGCACGGGAAAAGTGGCAGGGGATTGCGCCTGTGGGGGAATCGGCAAAGGTGGCAATCCCACTGGAGGAGACATAGTGGCCTGAAGAGGAGTAGAGGTCCTCGGCTGCACAGGAAGGGACGGAATATGGGCGGGCGCCATTATAGGCTGGGCGGGGGGGAATCCCGAGACAAACATGGGCCCATAATGGGTTGGATATGGGCGAGGAGGGAGCTGCTGCATCGGGGGGTAAGGCGTGTACCACTGAGGGTATTGCTGCGACGGGTATGCGGCCGGGGGCGTGTGGCCGTTCATATGGGGGTGGTACCCCATGTAGGTAGGAGACGATCGCATGTTGGGGGGGCCTGCGGTGTAAGGGACATCTTGCTGTCGTCGAGTCGGCATGGGTGGCTGCCCATGGGGCATTGCGGGCATGTGGTGGTTCATCATGTCCAGGCAGTCGTAGAGTCGCCTTGACTATTCAGCCACGCGTTGCCTCAATGGGAGCCATACGAGAATCCGAAGCGAGAGAAGGCGGAGCGAGGGGGGGCTGCACGGATTAAGCAGCCATTCTAGCACCCGGAGGGGACGCTGGCGAGCTGGAACGAGGTGATGAGCGATCTCTTGGCAGTGCTTGGTCTAAGGCAGTTCGCCAGGGATCAGCACGGTGTACGGAGTACAGCATGAAGTTGCGCAAAAGATTCGGGGAAGGGTTGGGGATGGGGTTGAATGGGCAAGGTGTGGTACGAACCTGGCGCAGGACAAAGGGAGAGAGAGGAGAATAAGAATGGAAGAGAGAAATACCTGAAGAAGAATCAAAGATGGCCAACGAGAGGGGCCAAGAGGGGGGGGGGGTTGGGTGGTGGGTTGGGTGGTTGTGGTGGTGGTGGTGGAGCGGAGGAAGAAGAGGGTGGGAAGGTCTGGACTGTTGGCAGCAGCACAAGTCAACTAACTCGGGGCGGATTTCCTGGAGCTGAAGACAAGATGATGTTTTTTTGGCGCCCGGCACGTGCCTGAGGCTCTCGCGCGCCAAGAGATGACATACTCGCCCCTCGCCCGCCCTCCTGCCTCTCTTGCTCG